CTGCGGAGCTTGGCCGGAGCCGCCGCGGCGCCGGCGCCGTCCCGGGGCCGTTTCTTCCCCAAATTCCCAAAATTCCCGAAATCCGCTGGGAATTCCCGAGGGTTTTCCGGGATTTCCTCACAGCGCCGGATCCAGTCGGGATCCAGAGAGGCCAAAGTTCGCCCAACGTTCCGCCGGAGCTGCCGGAACCTTCCGGAATCCGCGGGAAATTCGGGATGGGGGAGGAGATCCAGGAATTCCGGGGAATTTTCGGGATTTTTTTCCGACGGCGAAGTTTCGGTGTCGAGATCCGGTGGTTTTGGCGGTTCGGGAGTTTCGGGATTCGGCAAATTTTGGGAATCGGAGATTTTGGGGGGTTTCCTGGGATTTCGGGTCCGGCGAGGGGTCAGAGGCGGCTCCTGGAGGGAAAAATCCCAAATTTTTTAGGCTTTGGAGTTGGAAATCCCTAATCCCAAATCCGAGTTTTGGGGGGTTCCAAATTTTGGGGTTCTCTGAATTTTGGGGTCTCTAATTTTTGGGGTGTTGAATTTCAGAATTCTCTGAATTTTGAGATTCTCCAATTTTGGGAGTCCTTAATTTTGGGGGATCACAAATTTTGGGATTCCCAAAATTTTGGGATTCTTCAGCTTTTGGGGTCTCAAATTTTCAAGGTCCCAAATTTTGGAATTGTCAAATTTTTGGGATTCTCCAATTTTGGGGTCTCTGATTTTTGGTGTCTCCAACATTTGGGGGTTCCTAAATTTGGGGAGGTTTCCAATTTTTGGTGTCTCCAAATTTTGGGATCTCCAATTTTTGGGGTGTTTAATTTTGGGATTCTTTGAATCTTGGTGTCTCAAATTTTTGGGGGTTCCTAATTTTGAGGAAGTTTCCAATTTTTGGGATCCCAAATTTTGGGATTCTCCAAATTTTGGGGTCTCTGATTTTTAGGGTCTCAAATTTTGGGATTCTATGGATTTTTGGATTGTCCAGTTTTGGGGGTCCTTAATTTTGGGGGATTTCAAGTTTTGGGATCCCAAATTTTGGGACTCTCCAACTTTTGGGGTCTCTGATTTTTAGGGTCTCAAATTTTGGGATTCTATGGATTTTGGGATTGTCCAGTTTTGGGGGTCCTTAATTTTGGGGGATTTCAAGTTTTGGGATCCCAAATTTTGGGATTCTCCAATTTTTGGGGTTTCTGACTTTGAGTTCTCCAATTTTTGGGGGTCCCAAATTTTGGGATTCTCTGAATTTTGGGTTCTCCAATTTTGGGGGATTTCAAATTTTGGGATTCTCTGAATTTTGGGATTCTCCAATTTTTGGGGTCTCTGATATTCGGTTCTTCAATTTTCAGGGGTCCCAAATTTTGGGATTCTCCAACTTTTGGCGTCTCCAAATTTTGGGATTCTCCAATTTTAAATTCTCCAAATTTTGGGAGGTCTCTAATTTTGGGGGATCCCAAATTTTGGGCTGTAAAAGGCCCCAAAACCCCCTCAGGAAATTCCATTTTTTTCCATTTTCCCCCTTTCCTGACCTTCCCAGCTGTTCCCAGTTTGGCTTTGAGCTTCATCCCAAAAATCTCCGAAATTCCCGTCGGGGTTTTCCGGCTTTTCCCGGGAATTTTTGGCGCCCGGTTCAGGTGGGAGCCCCAAGATCCCGAATCTTCCACCTGTAATGACACCAAAATCCCCCAAAATCCCAAACCCAAAATCCAAAAAATGCCCTAAAAATCCCAGCCCCAAATCCCAAAAAAATCCCAAACCTAAACTCCAAAAATGCCCCCAAAAATCCACAAAATTCCCCAAATCCCAAAAATTGCCAACCCATGACCCTAAAAATCACCCCCAAAATCCCCCAAATTCCCCATCCTAAGTCCCAAAAATCCCCAAAATTCCCAATCCTAAATCCCAAAATCCCCAAAAATCCCCAAAATTCCAAATCCCAAATCCACAATCCCCAAAATCCCAAATACTCCCAATCCTAAACCCCAAAAATCCCCAAAATCCCAACCCAAAATCCCAGAAATTCCCAAAAATCCCCAACATTCCCAACCCCAAATCCCAAAAAATTCCAAAATTCTCAACCCTAAACCCCAGAAATTCCCAAAATCCAAAAATTCCCCACCCAAAATCCCAAAAATCCCAAAATCCCCAAAAATTCCCAATATTCCCAACCCAAAGTCCCAAAGTTCCCAACCCTAAACCCCAAAAATCCCCAAAAGATCCCAAAAATTCCCAACCCAAATAAAAAAAATTCCCAAAATCCCCAACCCCAAATCCGCAAAATCCCAAATTGCCAAAAAATCCCCCAAAAATCCCAAAATTCCCAATCCTAAATCCTAAAAATCCCAAAAATTTGAGCCAAATCCCATAAAATCCCAGCCCAAGACCCCAAAAATCCCCAAAATTCCCCCAAAAATTCCCAAAATCCCAACTCCACCCCTTGGTACCTGTTGGTCGTTAGTGGCCGTTTGGGAATTTTGGGATTTTTGGGAATTTTGGGATTTTTGGGACTCTCCGGCGGCTCCGTCCCAGCGCTGCAGCGCCCAAAACTCCCGGTACTGAGCTGGGGAGAGGAATTTGGGAAATTTTGGGAGTTTTAAGGGAAAAAAGAGGAAAAATTGGGAATTTTCGGGGAAATTTGGGAATTTTGGGAGAAATTTTCAGAGAAATTTGGAAAATTTGGGAAAATTTGGAGGAAATTTGAAAAAAGTTGGGAATTTTGGGGGGAAAACAAGGGATTGTTTGGGGAAAGTTGGGAATTTTGGGAGAAATTTGGGGGAAATTTTAGGAAAAAATTGGGAATTGAAAGGGAAAAAAGAGAAAAAAGGGAATTTTAGGGAGAAATTTTGGGGAAATTCTGGGGGAAATTTGGGGCTTTTGGGGGAAAATTTGAAAAAAAAATTGGGAATTTCTGGAAATTTGGGAATTTTGGGGGGAAATTTCATAATTTTGTGGAAAATCTGAAAAAAATGGGAATTTTGGGGAAAAATTGGGAATTTTGAGGGAAATTTGGGGGAAATTTGGGCATTTTGTGGGGAATTGGGTTGAATTTGGGAATTTTGGGAGAAATCTGAAAAAAATTCAGCATTTTGGGGAAAATTTGAAAAAATGGGGAATTTTGGGAGAAATCTGAAAAAAAATGGGGAAATTTTGGGGAAATTTGGAAATTTTGGGAAAATTTTTGGGAATTTGGGAGTAAAATTGGGATGTTTGAGGAAGTTTTGGGGTTTGGGGATTTTGGGGGAATTTGGGGATTTGAGGAATTTTGAGGAAATTTTGGGGAAATTTTGGGAAAAAATTGGGGATTTGAGTGAAATTTGGGAATTCTGGGGAATTTGGAGGGAAATTTTGGGATTTTGGGGAAAATTTGGGGATTTTGGGAAGAGATTTGGGGGAAAAATTTTGTGGATTTTGGGGGAACTCACCCCTGATTTCCTCTGGAGCTTCTTTGATGTCGGCCTGGAAAAGAAAAAAAATCCCAAAAAATGAGAATTTGGGAATTGCTCCCATTGGCTACGAGATGATTCGGGGATTTTTTGGGAATTTTTGGGTTTTTTTGTGGGAATTTGGTTTTTTTTGGTTTTTTTTGAGGGGATTTGGTTTGTTTGGGTTTTTTTTTGGTGGGGACTTGGGGCTTTTTTGGGGTTGCTTTTTGTGATTTTGGTTTTTTTTTGTGGGAATTTGGTTTTTTTTGGTTTTTTTATTTTAATGGGAATTTTGGGATTTTTTTGGAAGGAAAATTTGGATTGGGCCCTAAAACCCCTTCCAAGACCCTCCTGAGGCTCTGCTGGATCTGAGCCCACCCCAAAATCCCCCCAGGCACCCCAAAAACGGCCCCAAAGATTCTGGGGACACCCCAAAATCCCATAAAGCAAAAACCCCTTTCCAGGGACCCCAAAACCACCCCAAAAACCCCAAAACCACCCCAAAAATCCCAAATACACCCCAAGGTCATCCCAAAAACATCCAGGACCCCCTAGACCACCTCAAGAACCCCCTCAGACCCCAAAACCTCCCCCAAAACCCCCAAAACCTCCACAAAAACCCCAAAACCTCCCCAAAAAACCCCAAAATAACCCCAAAAATCCCAAGGACCCCACTAAACCAACTCCCCCCACTCCAGAAAACCCCAAATCACCCCAAAGACCCCAAAACCTCCACAAAGACCCAAAAAATACCCCAAAACCCCCCAAAACCACCCCAAAGACCCCCAGTCCATCCCAAGGACTCCAAAATCGCCCCCAAAACCCCAAAACCACCCCAAGATAACCCCAAAACCCCAGGACCCCCCTAAACCAAATCCTTCCAATCCAGAAAACCCCAAAATCTCCCCAGAGACCCCAAAACCCCTCCAAATACCCCAAGACATCCCAAAAGACCCAAAACCCACCCCAAAACCTCTTTAAACCAACTCCCCCCAGTCCAGGGACCCCCCAAAACCACCCCAAGGACCCCAAAAAACCCCAAGGACCCCCTCAGACCCTAAATGTCACCCCAAAACCACCCCAAAGACCCGAAAACCTCCCCAAAGACCCCAAATCCTCCCCCAAAACCCCAAAACCTCCCCCAAAAACCCCAAAATCAGCCCATCCTCAATTCCCGGTGACCCCCTCAGGAATTTCCCCCCTCAGGAATTTCCCCCCTCAGCAGCACCTGGTTGGGTTTGCGGCACCATTGCCTCAGGAATTCTCCTTCCCAGCGCTTCAGCAGCACCTTCAGCTCCTGCCGCCGCTCCATGGCCGGATTTGGGATGGGAAATTTGGGATTTGGGATCGGGATTTGGGATTCGGGCTCGAAATTCGGGATTTGGGGTTTGGGATCGATGGCGGCTCCAGAAGCCGCCTCAGAGCGAACCGCGCGCTCCCGCCAAGCGCCAGCCAATGGGAACGCAGGGATGAGTGATTGACAGCACAGCGAACCAATAGAAATGCTTATATTTTACAGCACCCGCCCATTTCGCTTTAAACCAATAAGAATTCAATAAACAGCTGACAGACAGCTGTAGTAACCAATTAGAAGAAAGGATACCGCCCCTGAAGCGGGCTTAGCTCGCTGATTGGTCGCCGTCACGAGGAAACACGGAAGTGGCGCTGCCGTACGGACGGGGAGCGGCGGGGGCCGCGGGCGGGAGGTGAGTGGGGGTCGCCATGTTGGGGGGGGCGGTTTGGGGGTCCCTGAGGGGGTCTGGGGAGAATTTTGGGAATTTTGGAAGAATTTTGGGATTTTTGGGGGAATTTTTGGGGTGCGGGGGGGAATTTTGGGATTTTTAGGGGAATTCTGGGGATATGGGTTGAATTTTGGGGGTTTGCGGAGAATTTGGGGGGAATTTTGGGATTGTTTGGGGGAAATTTGGGGGTTTATGTGGGAATTTTGGGGATTCCTGTGGGAATTTTGGGGAGAATTTTGGAGATTTGGGGAGAATTTTGGGGTTTTTTGGGTTTTTTTTGGTTTTTTTTTGGTTTTTTTTTGTTTTTTTTTTTTGGAATTTTGGATTTTTGTAGGAATTTTCTGATCCCTGTGGGAATTTTGGGGAGAATTTTGGAGATTTGGGGAGAATTTTGGGTTTTTTTGTTTTTTTTTTTTTGGTTTTTTTTGGTTTTTTTTTTTGAATTTTGGATTTTTGTGGGAATTTTCGGATCCCTGTGGGAATTTTGGGGAGAATTTTGGGGATCCCTGTGGGAACTTCGGGATTGTTTTGGGGAAGTTTGGATTTTTTGTGGGAATTTTGGGATCCCTGTGGGAATTTTGGGGATTTGGAGCGAATTTTGGGGGAATTTGGGGATTTTTGGGGGAATTTTGGGCAGAATTTTGTGGATTTGGGGAGAATTTTGGGATTTTTGTGGGAATTTTGTGGATTTGGGGAGAATTTTAGTATTTTTGTGGGTATTTTGGGGATTTAAGGAGAATTTTGGGAGTTTTGAGGGGAATTTGGGGATTTTTGTGGGAATTTTGGGATTTTTGTGGGATTTTTGGGGATTTGGGGAGGATTTTGGTGATCCCTGTGGGAATTTGGGGATTTTTGGGGGGAATTTGGGGATTTTTGTGGGGATTTGGGGATTTTTGATATTTTTGGGGGAATTTTGGTATTTTTATGGGAATTTTGGGGGGAATTTTGGGGTTCCTGTGATCTCCCCTCACGCCGCCATTTTCTCCCTCCTTTCCTCAGCTTTGGGCCCATCCTGGAATTCTTCGCTTCTCCACCACCCAAAAAATCACAAAAAATCCCCAAAATCTCCCAAAAAAATCACAAAAAAAAAAAAAAATCGAAAAAAATCACAAAAAACTCCCAAAGATTCCCAAAATCCCCAAAAAACCCCAAGAATCCCAAAATTCCCTAAAAAATCCTCACACATCTGCAAAAAAACCATAAAACCCCCCAAAATCTCCACAAAAACTGAAAAAAATCCCGGAAAGTCCAAAACCTGCGAAAATCGCCAAAAAATCACTTAAAAATCCCCCAAAATCCCAAGAAACCTGCAAAATCTCCAAAAAACCCCCTAAAACTCCCAAAAATTACCGAAAAAATCAAAGAAACCCAAAAAAATCCCAATAATGTCTCCAAATATCCCAAAAAATTACAAAATTCCCTAAAAAATCCTCCAAAAAAATCCCCAACAAACCGAAATATCCCCAAAAAAAATCTTCAAAAAACCCCCCCAGAATCTCCATTAAACTCCCAGAAATCGCCAAAACCCTTCGAAAAATCCCCAAGAATCACCAAAAAATCCCCAAAAACCCCGAAAAATCAGCAAACACCCAAAAAAATCCCTATAATTTCCCCAAAATTCCCAAAAAAACACCAAAAAACCCAAAAAATCTCTAAGTTCCAAAAAAAACGCTCAAAAAATCCCTATGAACCACCCAAAATCTCTGAAAATCGCCAAAATACTCTAAAAAATCCTCCAAAAATCGCAAAAAAATCACAAAAATTTGCCAAAAATCACCAGAAACTCATCCAAATCCCCTCAAAATCTCCAAATTCCCTAAAAACCCTCAAAAAATCCCTATAAACCATTCAAAATCTCTGAAAATCACCAAAATTCCCTAAAGAGTCCGCCAAAAATCACCAAAAATCACCAAAAATCCCCCAAAATCGCCAAAAACTCACCAAATCCCCAAAAAATCCCTATAATTTCCCCAAAATTCCCAAAAAATCACAAAAAACCCAAAAAAACCCAAACATTTCCCCAAAATTCCCAAAAAAAACACCAAAAAAACCCCAAAATCCCTATGTCTCCAAAATTCCCAAAAAATCACAAAATTCCCTAAAAAACCCTCAAAAAATCCCTATAAGCCACCCAAAATCTCTGAAATTCCCTAAAAAAAATCCTCCAAAAATCGCCAAAAATCACAAAAAAATCGCCAAAAATCACTCACCAAAAACTCCCTATAATTTCTCCAAAATTCCCAAAAAATCACAAAAAAAACCTCAAAAAATCCCTATAAACCACCCAAAATCGCCAAAATTCCCTTAAAAAATCCTCCAAAAATCACCAAAAAATCTCCAAAAAACATCAAAAAAATCACAAAAAAAATCACCAAAAAATCGACAAAAATCACCAAAAATCACAAAAAAATCGCCAAAAATCGCCAAAAAATCACCAAAAATCACCAAAAATCCCCCCAAAATCGCCAAAATCGCCAAAACCCCCCTCATGGAGTCCCTCCTGTCCCTCTCCGCCCGCCGCGTCGCCTCTCGCCCGCCGCTGCCGCCGCTGCCGCCCGACCTGTTCCCGGTGCTTTTCGGCGCCGCGCTGGCGACCAGGCGGCCGTTGGTGCTGCGGGAGCTGGTGAGCGCGTGGCCCTTCCCGGTGCTGCACCTGCAGCGCCTGCTGGGCCGGCAGGAGCTGCTGCGGGACCACCCCTGCAAGCTCTGCCTCCAGGCCGTCATCCTGGCCGTGGTGGCGCAGCTGCGCCGGCAGCTGGAGGAGCCCGGACGCCGCTCCAGGTGGGTTCCCATTTTTGGGGGTTTCTTCCAATTTTTGGTGGTTTCTTCCAATTTTTGATGGTTTCTTCTTGGTTTGGATGGTTCCTTGCCATTTTTGATGGTTTCATAGATGCCATTTTCATGGTTTCTTCCCATTTTTGATGGTTCCTTCTCATTTCCGACGGTTTCCACTCATCTTTGATGGTTTCTTCCCATTTTTGGTGGTTCCTTCTTGGCTTTGATGGCTTCTTCTCATTTCTGATGGTTTCCTTCCATTTTTGAAGGTTCCTTCCCATTTTTGATGGTTTCTTCCCATTTTTGATGGTTCCTTCTCGTTTCCGACAGTTTCCTCCTGTCTTTGATGGTTTCTTGCCAATTTTTGATGATTCCTTTCCACTTTTGATGGTTCCTTCCCATTTTTCATGGTTTCTTCCCATTTTTGATGGTTCCTTCCCATTTTTGATGGTTTCTTCCCATTCTTGATGGTTTCTTCTCATTTTTGGTGGTTCCTTCTTGGCTTTGATGCTTTCTTCCAACTTTTGATGGTTTCTTCTCGTTTCCAATAGTTTCTGCCCGTCTTTGATGGTTCCTTCCCATTTTTGATGGTTCCTTCTCGTTTTTGGTGGTGTCTTCTCAGTTTTGGTGGTTCCTTCCCATTTTTGATGGTTCCTTCCTGTTTCCGATGGTTTCCTCCTGTCTTTGATGGTTTCCTCCCATTTTTTATGGTTCCTTCTCATTTTCGATGGTTTCCTCCCATTTTTGATGGTTTCATCAATGCCATTTTTCATGGTTCCTTCCCATTTTGATGGTTTCCTCCCATTTTTGATGGTTCCTTCTTGGTTTTGATGGTTCCTTCCCATCTTTGATGGTTCCTTCTCATTCTTGCTGGTTTCCTCCCATTTTTGATGGTTTCCTCCCAGTTTTGGTGGTTTTTCCTTCTGGTTTTGATGGTTGGGGCTGCTGCGGGACCACCCCTGCAAGCTCTGCCTCCAGGCCGTCATCCTGGCCGTGGTGGCGCAGCTGCGCCGGCAGCTGGAGGAGCCCGGACGCCGCTCCAGGTGGGTTCCCATTTTTGGTGGTTTCTTCCCATTTTTGATGGTTTCTTCTAATTTTTGATGGATTCTTCTTGGTTTTGATGGTTCCTTGCCATTTTTGATGGTTTCATAGATGCCATTTTCATGGTTCCTTCCCATTTTCATGGTTTCTTCCCATTTTTGATGGTTCCTTCTCGTTTCCGATGGTTTCCTCCCGTTTCTGATGGTTCCTTCCCTTTTTTGATGGTTCCTTCCCATTCCCAATGGTTTCCACTTGTCTTTGATGGTTTCTCCCCATCTTCTGTGGTTTCCTCCCATTTTTGATGGTTCCTTCTCATTTTTGATGGTTTCATCGTTGCCATTTTCATGGTTCCTTCCCATTTTCATGGTTTCTTCCCATTTTTGATGGTTCCTTCTTGTTTCCGATGGTTTCCTCCTGTTTTTCATGGTTTCCTCCAATTTTTGATGGTTCCTTCTAATTTTCGATGGTTTCTGCCCATTTTTGATGGTCCCTTCTCATTTTCAATGGTTTCCTCCCTTTTTTGATGGTTTCATCAATGCCAATTTTCATGGTTCCTTCCCATTTTGATGGTTTCTTCCAATTTTTGATGGTTCCTTCTTGGTTTTGAGGGTTCCTTCCCATCTTTGATGGTTCCTTCTCATTCTTGGTGGTTACCTCTTGGTTTTGATGGTTTCCTCCCATTTTTGATGGTTTTTCCTTCTGGTTTGGATGGTTGGAGCTGCTGCGGGACCACCCCTGCAAGCTCTGCCTCCAGGCCGTCATCCTGGCCGTGGTGGCGCAGCTGCGCCGGCAGCTGGAGGAGCCCGGACGCCGCTCCAGGTGGGTTCCCATTTTTGGTGGTTTCTTCTAATTTTTGGTGGTTTCTTCCAATTTTTGATGGTTTCTTCTTGGTTTTGGTGGTTCCTTGCCATTTTTGATGGTTTCATCGATGCCATTTTCATGGTTCCTTTCCATTTTCATGGTTTCTTCCCATTTTTGATGGTTCCTTCTCGTTTCTGATGCTTTCCTCCCGTCTTTGATGGTTCCTTCCCATTTTTCATGATTTCCTCCCATTTCTGATGGTTCCTTCCCATTTTTGAAGGTTTCTTCCCATTTTTGATGGTTCCTTCTCATTCTTGGTGGTTTCTCGTCATTTTTGGTGGTTCCTTCTTGGCTTTAAAGGTTTCTTCCAACTTTTGATGGTTCCCTCTTAGTTTTCATGGTTTCCTCCCGTTTTCGATGGTTTCCTCCTGTCTTTGATGGTTTCCTCCCATTTCTGATGGTTCCTTCCCATTTTTGATGGTTTCTTCCCATTCTTGATGGTTTCTTGCCATTTTTTATGGATTCCTCCCATTTTTGATGGTTCCTTCTCATTCTTGGTGGTTTCTTGCCATATTTGGTGGTTCCTTCTTGGTTTTGATGGGTTCTTCCCATTTTTGATTGTTTCTGCTTAGTTTTGATGGTTTCTTCCTGTTTCCAATGGTTTCCTCCTGTCTTTGATGGTTTCCTCCCATTTTTCATGGTTCCTTCCCATTTTTGATGGTTCCTTCTCGTTTCCGATGGTTTCCTCCTGTCTTTGATGGTTCCTTCCCATTTTTGATGGTTCCTTCCCATTTTTGAAGGTTTCTTCCCATTCTTGATGGTTTCTTGCCATTTTTGTTGGTTCCTTCTTCGCTTTGATGGTTTCTTCCAACCTTTGATGGTTCCTTCCCATTTTTGATGGTTTCCTCCCATCTTTGATGGTTCCTTCCCATTTTTGATGGTTCCTTCTCGTTTTTGGTGGTGTCTTCTCAGTTTCGGATGGTTCCTTCTTGGTTTTGATGGTTTCTTCCCATTTTTGATTGTTTCTACTTAGTTTAGATGGTTCCTTCTTGTTTCCGATGGTTTCCTCCTGTCTTTGATGGTTTCCTCCAATTTTTGATGGTTCCTTCCCATTTTTGATGGTTCCTTCTTGTTTCTAATGGTTTCCACCCGTCTTTGATGGTTCCTTCCCATTTTTGATGGTTCCTTCCCATTTCCAATGGTCTCCCCTTGTCTTTTATGGTTTCTCCCCATCTTTGTGGTTTCCTCCCATTTTTAATGGTTCCTTGCCATTTTTGATGGTTCCTTGCCATGTTTGATGGTTTCATTGATGCCATTTTCATGGTTCCTTCCCATTTTCATGGTTTCTTCCCATTTTTGATGGTTTCTTCTCGTTTGCGATGGTTTCCTCCTGTCTTTGATGGTTCCTTCCCATTTTTCATGGTTTCCTCCTCTTTCTGATGGTTCCTTCTCATTTTTGATGGTTTCTTCTCATTCTTGGTGGTTTTCTTGCCATTTTTGGTGGCTCCTTCTTGGCTTTTGTAGTTCCTTCCAACTTTTGATGGTTCCTTCTCGTTTCTGATGGTTTCCACCCGTCTTTGATGGTTCCTTCCCATTTTCGATGGTTCCTTCCCATTTTTGATGGTCTCATCAATGCCAGTTTTCATGGTTCCTTCCCATTTTGATGGTTTCTTCCAATTTTTGGTGGTTCCGTCTTGGTTTTGACGGTTTCTTCCCATCTTTGATGGTTCCTTCTCATTCTTGGTGGTTTCCTCTTGGTTTTGATGGTTTCCTCCCATTTTTTGATGGTTTTTCCTTCTGGTTTTGATGGTTGGGGCTGCTGCGGGACCACCCCTGCAAGCTCTGCCTCCAGGCCGTCATCCTGGCCGTGGTGGCGCAGCTGCGCCGGCAGCTGGAGGAGCCCGGACGCCGCTCCAGGTGGGTTCCGGCACAGTTGTCGACGTTCTTCCGACTCACTCGTTGATCTCCGGGGTTTCTTCTTCTCAGTTTTGGTGGTTCCTTCTTGGTTTTGATGGGTTCCTCCCATTCTTGGTGGTTCCTTTCCATTTTGATGGGTTCTTCCCATTTTTGGTGGTTTCCTTCCCATTTTTGGTGGTTCCTTCTTGGCTTTGATGGTTTCTTCCAACTTTTGATGGTGTCTTCCTGTCTCTGATGGTTCCTTCTCGTTTCCAATGGTTTCCTCCCATTTTTGCTGGTTTCTTCCCATTTTTGATGGTTTCCTCTTGTCTTTGATGGTTCCTTCCCATTTTTGTTCATGCCTTCTTGGTTTCGATGATTCCTTCCAATTTTTCATGGTTTCTTCCCATTTTTGATGGTTTCTTCTCATTTTTGGTGGTTTCTTCCCATTTTTGATGGTTTCTTCGAATTTTTGATGGATTCTTGGTTTTGATGGTTCCTTCCCATTTTTGATGGTTTCATAGATGCCATTTTCATGGTTTCTTCCCATTTTTGATGGTTCTTTCTTATTTCCAATGGTTTCCTCCTGTCTTTGATGGTTCCTTCCCATTTTTCATGGTTTCCTTCCCATTTTTGATGGTTCCTTCCCATTTTTGATGGTCCCTTCTAATTTTTGATGGTTTCTTCTCATTCTTGGTGGTTTCTTGCCATTTTTGGTGGTTCCTTCTTGGCTTTGATGCTTTCTTCCAACTTTAGATGGTTTCTTCTAGTTTCCGATGGTTTCCACCCGTCTTTGATGGTTCCTTCCCATTTTTGATGGTTTCCTCCCATTTTTGATGGTTCCTTCCGGTTTTTCATGGTTTCCTCCTGTTTTGGTGGTTCCTTCCTGATTTTGAAGGTTTCTTCCCATTTTTGATGGTTTCTTCTCATTTTTGATGGTTCCTTCTTAGTTTTGATGGTTCCTTGCCATTTTTGATAATTTCTTCCCATTTTTGATGGTTTCTTCTTAGTTTTTCGATGGTTTGCTCCCATTTTTGATGGTTTCCTCCCATTTTGGATGGTTTCCTCCTGTTTTTGATGGTTCCTTCCCATTTTTGACGCTTTCTTCCCATTTTTGATGCTTTCTTCTCATTTTTGATGCTTTCTTCCTATTTTTGACGCTTTCTTCTGTTTTTTGATGCTTTCTTCTCATTTTTGATACTTCCTTCCCATTTCTTATCCTCCCTCCCCACTTTTAACTCTTCCCTCCTTTTTTCCAGCCTCCGCGTGCTGGACATGACCGGACTCCCGGACTCGGCGCCCGGCCGGACTCCAACCGGGATGAGCGTCTGGTCCGGCACGGTGGCATTGGCCAAGGCTTGCCTGGAGCTGTCCAAGCACCAACGGGAATTCCAACGCCGCGGATCCAAGCGGCACAAAGGCCGTTCCGGCACCGCCGCCGCCGCCGCGCCGCAACCGCCGGGCGTTGACGTCCACGCCGACCTCTTCGTCAACGGGACGTCCTACGGGATCCTGCGCGACGCCCTCCGGAGCGGCGCCGCCGGCCCGCTGCGCCTCAAGTGCCGCGAGTTCCAAGCGGAAGAACTCTCGGCCGCCGGCATCGCGGCGTTGTTGGAATCCTTGGATCCGGCGTTCCTACGGAGGGTGGATCTCCGCTTCAACAATTTGGGATTGACCGGGCTGTCGGTGATCCTGCCGCATCTCTCGCGCTTCCCGCAGCTGCGCAGCCTCAAGCTGCAGTACAGCAACGTGGACGTGCGGCGCCCGACGCCGGAATCGGCCATCGGGATCCGGTGCCTGGCCGGGCAGTTGGGAATGCTGCCCAGCCTCCGCGAGCTCAACCTGGGATCCTCCCGGCTCTCCGGGAACCTGCGCCAGATCCTCTGGTGAGTTCCGCGCCGAGCCGCATCTCGATGTCCTTGCAGCTCTTTCCCAACCTCAGCCATTCCACAATTCCATGATCCCATCATTCCATGATTCTCAAACCTTGACCTTGATGGTCTTGGAGACCTTTCCCAACCTGACTCATTCCATAATTCCGTGACCGCGTAACTCCAAAATCCCAGAATTTTCAGAGGTCGAACTCGATGTTCTTGCAGCTCTTTCCCAACCTGAGTAATTCCATAACTCCATGACCCCCTCAATCCAAAATCCCAGGATTTTAAGGATTTGAACGCGATGTTCTTCCAGTTCCTTCCCAACCTCAGCCATCCCACAATTCCATGATCCCATCATTCCATGATTCTCAAACCTTGACCTTGATGGTCTTGGAGACCTTTCCCAACCTCAGCCGCCATTTTGTAACTCCATGATCCCATCATCCCAAAATCCCAGGATTTTCAGAGGTCGAACTCGATGTTCTTGGAGCTCTTTCCCAACCTCAGCCATTCCACAATTCCATGGCTCCATCATCCCATCATTCCATGAGTTTCAAACCTTGAATTTGATGTTCTTAAAGACCTTTCTGAACCTCCTCCATCCCATAACTCCATGACCCCATCATTCCAAAATCCCAGGATTTTCAGAGGTCAAACTCGACGTTCTTGGCGCTCTTTCCCAACCTGAGTAATTCCATAACTCCATGATCCCATTATTCTATGATTTTCAATTCCTTTACCTTGATGATCTTGGAGACCTTTCCGAACCTCATCCATCCCATAACTCCATGACCCCATAACTCCAAAATCCCAGGATTTTTTGAGGTCAAACCTGAAGTTCTTTCTTGATGCTCTTCCCCAACTTCAACCATCCCACAATTCCATGGCTTTATCATTCCATGATTTTCAATCCTCCACCTTCATGTTCATGGAGACCTTCCCAACTCCAGCCGCCATTTTGTAACTCCACCATCCCACCATCCCACGACTCCCAAACCTCTCCCACCTTTCCCCGACCGCTCCCAACCTTCCCGTGGCCTCACCTCTCCCTTTTCCCTCCCGCCAGCGACCTCCGGGCGCCGTTGGAAAGTTTGGAATTGTCCTTCTGCTCGCTGCTCCCCGCCGACCTCGCCTTCCTCTCCCAAAGAGTCTCTCCATGGCTCCGGAGCTCTGGGATCCGCCATTCCACGGTGCCAGGGCTCCGTGATCCATCATCCCATCATTCCATGAGTCTCAAACCTTGACCTTGATGGTCTTGGAGACCTTTCCCAACTCCAGCCGCCATTTTGTAACTCCATGATCCCATCATTCCAAAATCCCAGGATTTTCAGAGGTCAAACTCGATGTTCTTGGAGCTCTTTCCCAACCTCATCCATCCCACAATTCCATGGCTCCATCATTCCATGATTCTCAAACCTTGACCTTGATGACCTTGGAGACCTTTCCCAACCTGATCCATCCCATAACTCCACAACCCCATAACTCCAAAATCCCAGGATTTTTTGAGGTCAGACGTGAAGTTCTTTCTTGATGCTCTTCCCCAACTTCAGCCGTCCCACAATTCCATGATCCCATCATTCCATGAGTCTCAAACCTTTACCTTGATGTTCATGGAGACCTTCCCAACCTCAGCCGCCATTTTGTAACTCCATTAACCCATAACTCCAAAACTCCAGGATTTTAAGGATTTGAACTCGATGTTCTTCCAGTTCTTTCCCAACTTCAGCCATTCCACAATCCCATGGCTCCATCATTCCATGATTCTCAAACCTTGACCTTGATGTCCTTGAAGACTTTCCCAACTCCAGCCGCCATTTTGTAACTCCATGATCCCATAACTCCAAAATCCCAGGATTTTAAGGATTTGAACTCGACGTTCTTCCAGTTCCTTCCCAACCTCAACCACCCTACAATTCCATGATTCCAGACTCTGATTATCCTCTCCCTTTTCCCTCCCGCCAGCGACCTCCGGGCGCCGTTGGAAAGTTTGGAATTGTCCTTCTGCTCGCTGCTCCCCGCCGACCTCGCCTTCCTCTCCCAAAGAGTCTCTCCATGGCTCCGGAGCTCTGGGATCCGCCATTCCACGGTGCCAGGGCTCCGTGATCCCATCATCCCATCATTCCATGAGTCTCTAACCTTGACCTTGATGGTCTTGAAGACCTTTCCCAACCTCAGCCGCCATTTTATAACTCATGATCCCATCATTCCAAAATCCCAGGATTTTCAGAGGTCAAACTCGATGTTCTTGGAGCTCCTTCCCAACCTCATCCATTCCACCATTCCATGGCTCCATCATTCCATTATTCCATGAGTCTCAAACCTTGACCTTGATGTTCTTGAAGACTTTCCCAACCCAAGCCGCCATTTTGTAACTCCATGAACCCATAACTCCAAAACTCCAGGATTTTAAGGATTTGAACTCGATGTTCTTCCAGTTCTTTCCCAACCTCATCCATCCCACAATTCCATGATCCCATCATTCCATGAGTCTCAAACCTTGACCTTGATGGTCTTGGAGACCTTTCCCAACTCCAGCCGCCATTTTGTAACTCCACGATCCCATCATTCCAAAATCCCAGGATTTTAAGGATTTTAACGCGATGTTCTTCCAGTTCTTTCCCAACCTCATCCATCGCACAATTCCATGATTCCAGGCTCTGATTATCCTCTCCCTTTTCCCTCCCGCCAGCGACCTCCGGGCGCCGTTGGAAAGTTTGGAATTGTCCTTCTGCTCGCTGCTCCCCGCCGACCTCGCCTTCCTCTCCCAAAGAGTCTCTCCATGGCTCCGGAGCTCTGGGATCCGCCATTCCACGGTGCCAGGGCTCCGTGATCCATCATCCCATCATTCCATGAGTCTCAAACCTTGACCTTGATGTTCTTGAAGACTTTCCCAACCTCAGCCGCCATTTTATAACTCATGATCCCATCATTCCCAAATCCCAGGATTTTCAGAGGTCGAACTCGATGTTCTTGGAGCTCTTTCCCAACTTCAGCCATTTCATAATTCCATGATCCCATCATTCCATGATTCCATGAGTTTCAAACCTTGACCTTGATTTTCTTGGAGACCTGACTCATTCCATAATTCCATGACCACGTAACTCCAAAATCCCAGGATTTTTAGAGGTCAAACTCGATGTTCTTGGAGATGTTTCCCAACCTCAGTCATTCCATGATTGCAATGTTGGATTCCACAATTCCACAATTCCATGATCCCATCATCCCATGAGTCTCAATCCTCTACCTTGATGTTCATGGAGACCTTCCCAACTCCAGCCGCCATTTTATAACTCCATGAACCCATAACTCCAAAACCCCAGGATTTTAAGGATTTGAAGTCGATGTTCTTCCAGTTCCTTCCCAACCTCATCCATCCCACAATTCCATGATTCCAGGCTCTGATTATCCTCTCCCTTTTCCCTCCCGCCAGCGACCTCCGGGCGCCGTTGGAAAGTTTGGAATTGTCCTTCTGCTCGCTGCTCCCCGCCGACCTCGCCTTCCTCTCCCAAAGAGTCTCTCCATGGCTCCGGAGCTCTGGGATCCGCCATTCCACGGTGCCAGGGCTCCGTGATCCATCATCCCATCATTCCATGGGTCTCAAACCTTGACCTTGATGGTCTTGGAGACCTTTCCCAACCCCAGCTGCCATTTTGTAACTCCATGATCCCATCATTCCAAAATCCCAGGATTTTTCAGAGGTTGAACTCGATGTTCTTGGAGATGTTTCCCTGCCTCCTCCATTCCACAATTCCATGATCCCATCATCCCATGATTCTCAAACCTTGAACTTGATGGTCTTGGAGACCTTTCCCAACCGGACTCATTCCATAATTCCATGACCACGTAACTCGAAAATCCCAGGATTTTCAGAGGTCGAACTCGATGTTCTTGGAGCTCTTTCCCAACCTGAGTAATTCCATAACTCCATGACCCCCTCATTCCAAAACTCCAGGATTTTAAGGATTTGAACGTGATGCTCTTCCAGTTCCTTCCCAACCTCATCCATCCCACAATTCCATGATCCCATCATTCCATGATTCTCAAACCTTGACCTTGATGGTCTTGGAGACCTTTCCCAACCCCAGCCGCCATTTTGTAACTGCATGATCCCATCATTCCAAAATCCCAGGATTTTCAGAGGTCAAACTCGATCCTCTTGGAGCTCTTTCCCAACCTCATCCATTCCACATTTCCATGATCCCATCATTCCATGAGTCTCAAGCCTTGAACTTGATGTTCTTGAAGACCTTTCCCAACTCCAGCCGCCATTTTGTAACTCCATGAACCCATAACTCCAAAATCCCAGGATTTTAAGAGTTCGAACTCGATGTTCTTCCAGCTCTTTCCCAACCTCATCCATCCCACAATCCCATGGCTCCATCATTCCATGAGTCTCAAACCTTGACCTTGATGGTCTTGGAGACTTTTCCCAACTCCAGCCGCCATTTTGTAACTCCATGATCCCATCATTCCAAAATCCCAGGATTTTCAGAGTTCGAACTCGATGTTCTTCCAGTTCTTTCCCAACCTCAACCATTCCACAATTCCATCATCCTATAATTCCATGATTCTCAAACCTTGACCTTGATGGTCTTGGAGACCTTTCTGAACCTCATCCATCCCATAACTCCATGACCCCATAACTCCAAAATCCCAGGATTTTCAGACGTCAGACTTGAAGTTCTTTCTTGATGCTCTTCCCCAACCTCATCCATTCCACAATTCCATGGCTCCATCATTCCATGATTTTCAATCCTCTACCTTGATGTTCATGGAGACCTTCCCAACTCCAGCCGCCATTTTGTAACTCCATGATCCCATAACTCCAAAACTCCAGGATTTTAAGGATTTGAACGCGATGTTCTTCCAGTTCTTTCCCAACCTCATCCATCCCACAATTCCATCATCCCATCATTCCATGAGTCTCAAACCTTGACCTTGATGTTCTTGGAGACCTTTCTGAACCTCATCCATCCCATAACTCCATGACCCCATAACTCCAAAATCCCAGAATTTTCAGAGGTCGAACTCGATGTTCTTCCAGTTCCTTCCCAACCTCAACCATCCCACAATTCCATGATCCCATCATTCCATGATTCTCAAACCTTGACCTTGATGTTCTTGGAGACCTTTCCCAACCTCAGCCGCCATTTTGTAACTGCATGATCCCATCATTCCAAAATCCCAGGATTTCCAGAGGTCAAACTCGATGTTCTTGGAGACCTTTCCCAACTTAAACCATCCCACAATTCCATCATCCCATCATTCCATGAGTTTCAAACCTTGAATTTGATGTTCTTAAAGACCTTTCTGAACCTCATCCATCCCATAACTCCATGACCCCATAACTCCAAAATCCCAGAATTTTCAGAGGTCAAACTCGATGTTCTTGGAGATGTTTCCCAACCTCATCCATTCCACAATTCCATGATCCCATCATTCCATGAGTCTCAAACCTTGAACTTGATTTTCTTGGAGACCTTTCCCAACCTGACTCATTCCATAATTCCATGACCGCGTAACTCCAAAATCCCAGGATTTTTAGAGGTCAAACTCGATGTTCTTGGAGCTCTTTCCCAACCTGAGTAATTCCATAACTCCATGACCCCCTCATTCCAAAACTCCAGGATTTTAAGGATTTGAACTCGATGTTCTTCCAGTTCCTTCCCAACCTCATCCATCCCACAATTCCATGATTCCAGGCTCTGATTATCCTCTCCCTTTTCCCTCCCGCCAGCGACCTCCGGGCGCCGTTGGAAAGTTTGGAATTGTCCTTCTGCTCGCTGCTCCCCGCCGACCTCGCCTTCCTCTCCCAAAGAGTCTCTCCATGGCTCCGGAGCTCTGGGATCCGCCATTCCACGGTGCCAGGGCTCCGTGATCCATCATCCCATCATTCCATGAGTCTCAAACCTTGACCGTGATGGTCTTGGAGACCTTTCCCAACCTCAGCCGCCATTTTGTAACTGCATGAACCCATCATTCCAAAATCCCAGGATTTTCAGAGGTCAAACTTGATGTTCTTGGAGATGTTTCCCAACCTCATCCATCCCACAATTCCATGATCCCATCATTCCATGAGTCTCAAAACTTGACCTTGATGGTCTTGGAGACCTTTCCAACCCCACACATCCCATAACTCCATGACCCCATAACTCCAAAATCCCAGGATTTTCAGAGGTTGAACTCGATGTTCTTGGAGCTCATTCCCAACCTCAGCCATTCCACAATTCCACGATCCCATCATTCCATGATTCTCAAACCTTGACCTTGATGGTCTTGGAGACCTTTCCCAACTCCAGCCGCCATTTTGTAACTGCATGATCCCATCATTCCAAAATCCCAGGATTTTAAGGATTTGAAGTTGATATTCTTCCAGTTCTTTCCCAACTTCAGCCATTCCACAATTCCATGGCTCCATCATTCCATGATTCTCAAACCTTGAACTTGATGTTCTTGAAGACTTTCCCAACTCCAGCCGCCATTTTGTAACTGCATGATCCCATCATTCCAAAATCCCAGGATTTTCAGAGGTTGAACTCGATGTTCTTCCAGTTCTTTCCCAACCTGAGTAATTCCATAATTCCATGATCCCATCATTCCAAAATCCCAGGATTTTAAGGATTTGAAGTTGATATTCTTCCAGTTCTTTCCCAACTTCAGCCATTCCACAATTCCATGATCCCATCATTCCATGATTCTCAAACCTTGACCTTGATGTTCTTGGAGACCTTTCCCAACCTCAGCCGCCATTTTGTAACTCCATGACCCCACAACTCCAAAATCCCAGGATTTTCAGAGGTCGAACTCAATGTCCTTGGAGCTCTTTCCCAACTTCAGTCATTCCACAATTCCATGATTCCATCATCCCATCATTCCATGATTTCCAAACCTTGACCTTGATGATCTTGGAGACCTTTCCCAACCTGACTCATTCCATAATTCCATGACCGCGTAACTCCAAAATCCCAGAATTTTCAGAGATCAGACCTGAAGTTCTTTCTTGACGCTTTTCCCAACTTCAGCCATTCCACAATTCCATGATCCCATCATTCCATGATTTTCAATCCTCTACCTTGATGTTCATGGAGACCTTCCCAACCTCAGCCGCCATTTTGTAACTCCATGACCCCATAACTCCAAAACTCCAGGATTTTAAGGATTTGAACGCGATGTTCTTGGAGCTCTTTCCCAACCTCATCCATCCCACAATTCCATGATTCCAGGCTCTGATTATCCTCTCCCTTTTCCCTCCCGCCAGCGACCTCCGGGCGCCGTTGGAAAGTTTGGAATTGTCCTTCTGCTCGCTGCTCCCCGCCGACCTCGCCTTCCTCTCCCAAAGAGTCTCTCCATGGCTCCGGAGCTCTGGGATCCGCCATTCCACGGTGCCAGGGCTCCGTGATCCATCATCCCATCATTCCATGAGTCTCAAACCTTGACCTTGATGGTCTTGGAGACCTTTCCCAACCTCAGCTGCCATTTTGTAACTCCATGACCCCCTCATTCCAAAATCCCAGGATTTTCAGAGGTCCAACTCGATCCTCTTGGAGCTCTTTCCCAACTTCAGCCATTCCACAATTCCATGGCTCCGTGATCCCAACATTCCATGAGTTTCAAACCTTGAACTTGATGATCTTGGAGACCTTTTCCAACTTCAACCATTCCATGATCTCGTCATCCCAAAATCCCAGGATTTTCAGAGGTTGAACTTGATGTTCTTGGAGCTCATTCCCAACCTCAGTCATCCCACAGTTCCATGGCTCCATGATCCCATCATTCCATGAGTTTCAAACCTTGAATTTGATGTTCTTAAAGACCTTTCTGAACCTCATCCATCCCATAACTCCATGACCCCATAACTCCAAAATCCCAGGATTTTCAGAGGTCAGACTCGATACTCTTGGAGCTCTTCCCCAACTTCAACCATCCCACAATTCCATGGCTTTATCATTCCATGATTTTCAATCCTCCACCTTGATGTTCATGGAGACCTTCCCAACTGCAGCCGCCATTTTGTAACTCCATGATCCCATCATCCCAAAACCCCAGGATTTTCAGAGTTTGAATTCGATGTTCTTCCAGTTCTTTCCCAACCTCATCCATCCCACAATTCCATGATCCCATCATTCCATGAGTCTCAAACCTTGACCTTGATGTTCATGGAGACTTTCCCAACTCCAACCGCCATTTTGTAACTCCATGAACCCATAACTCCAAAATCCCAGGATTTTAAGGATTTGAACCCGATGTCCTTCCAGTTCCTTCCCAACCTCAGCCATTCCACAATTCCATGGCTCCATCATTCCATGAGTCTCAAACCTTGACCTTGATTTTCTTGGAGACCTTTCCAACCTGACTCATTCCATAATTCCATGACCACATAACTCCAAAACCCCAGGATTTTTAGAGGTCAAACTCGATGTTCTTGGAGCTCTTTCCCAACCTGAGTAATTCCATAACTCCATGATCCCCTCATTCCAAAACTCCAGGATTTTAAGGATTTGAACCCGATGTTGTTCCAGTTCCTTCCCAACTTAATCCATCCCACAATTCCATGATTCCAGACTCTGATTATCCTCTCCCTTTTCCCTCCCTCCAGCGACCTCCGGGCGCCGTTGGAAAGTTTGGAATTGTCCTTCTGCTCGCTGCTCCCCGCCGACCTCGCCTTCCTCTCCCAAAGCTCCCACGCCGCGTCCCTCAAACGCTTGGACCTGAGCGGCCACGACTTCTCCCAGGGGCTGCTGGAGCCGCTGCGGCTGCTCCTGGAGGAGACCTCGGCCTCGCTGCTGCACCTGGATCTCATGGAATGCCGCATGGCCGACGCCCAACTGGCCGCGCTGCTGCCGACGCTGCGCCGCTGCCGCCGCCTGCGCTTCCTGGGCCTCTACGGCAACTCCCTGTCCACCGCCGCGCTCAAGGATCTGCTGCGCCAAACCGTGGAGCTGCCGGATCTCCGATTGGTCGTTTATCCCTTCCCGGCCGATCGCGCCCCACCGGAGACGTCCGGTTGGAATTCCGAGGAATCGTCGGATCTCGAGGATGTTTCGGTCAAGGTCGACGCCGAGTTTGCCGGAATGTTGGCGGATTCTGGTAGAAGCGATGTGGTTTGGACGTCCAACCCTTATGGACACAAAGATCTGGATTTCTTCTCCTTGTGAGCCAAAATCGCCGAAATCGCCGAAATCCGGACGTTCCTCACCTCGTTACGGTGTTTTTTCTGTTTGTTTTGGTGGTTTTCCACCTGGTTTTTGTATTTTTCCCCTTTATCCCGATGGTTTTTGACTCATTTTAGGATTTTTCCCCCTTATCCCAATGTTTTTTGTCTCATTTTGGGATTTCTCCCCCTTATCCCGAAGTTTTTTGTCTCATTTTGGGATTTTTCCCCCTTATCCCAATGGTTTTTTGTCTCATTTTGGGATTTTTTCCCCCTTATCCCAATTTTTCCCCTTTATCCCAATTTTTTTTTCCCTCATCCCAATATTTTCCCACCTCATCCCGATGTTTTCTATCCTATTCTTGGATGTTTCTATCCCATTTTAGGATTTTTCCCCCCTCATCCCAACGTTTTTTGTCTCATTTTGGGATTTCTCCCCCTGATCCCGATGTTTTTCCAGCCGAGTTCGCCGGAATGTTGGCGGATTCTGGTAGGACCGACGTGGTTTGGACGTCCAATCCTTATGGACACAAAGATCTGGATTTCTTCTCCTTGTGAGCCGAAATCGCCGAAATTTGGGCATTCCTCGCCTCGTTCCGGTGTTTTTTCCGTTTATTTTGGTGGTTTTGTGCCGTGTTTTTGTATTTTTCACCTCTATGCCGATGGTTTTTGTCTCATTTTGGGATTTCTCTCCCTTATCCCAATGTTTTTCATGCCTTATCCTGATATTTTCCCCCTCATCCCAAAGTTTTTTAATCTCATTTTGGGATTTTCCCCCCTTATCCCAATTTTCCCCCCTTATCCCAATTTTTCCCCTTTATCCCAATATTTGCCCCTCTCATCCCAAAGTTTTCTCTATAATTTTAGGATTTTCCCCCTTATCCCGAAGTTTTTTGTCTCATTTTGGGATTTCTCCCCCTTATCCCGATATTTTTCCAGCCTTATCCCGATATTTTTCCCCTTTATCCTAAAGTTTTTTAATCTCATTTTGGGATTTTCCCCCCTTATCCCAATTTTTCCCCTTTATCCCAGTATTTTCCCACCTCATCCCAATGTTTTCTATCCCATTTTAGGATTTTTCTGTCCCATTTAAGGATTTCTCCCCCTCATACCAAAGTTTTTTGTCTCATTTTGGGATTTTTCCCCCTTATCCCAATTTTTCCCCTTTATCCCAATATTTTTCCCCCTCATCCTAATGTTTTCCCCCTCCTCCCAAAGTTTTCTGTATAATTTTAGGATTTTTCCCACCTCATCCCAATGTTTTTTGTCTCATTTTGGGATTTTTCCCCCTTATCCCAATTTTTCCCCTTTATCCCAATTTTTTCTCCCTTATCCCAATTTTTCCCCTTATCCCAATTTTTCCCCCCTCATCCCAGTATTTTCCCACCTCATCCCGATAATTTCTGTCTCATTTTGGGATTTTTCCCCCTCATCCCAATGTTTTCCCACCTCATCCCGATGTTTTCTATCCCATTTTAGGATGTTTCTATCCCCTTTTAGGATTTTTTCCCCCTCATCCCAACGTTTTTTGTCTCATTTTGGGATTTCTCCCCCTTATCCCGATATTTTTCCCCTTTATCCCAAAGTTTTATAATCTCATTTTGGGATTTTTCCCCCTTATCCCAATTTTTCCCCTTTATCCCAATTTTTTCTCCCTCATCCCAATATTTTCCCCTTTATCCCAAAGTTTTCTGTATAATTTTAGGATTTTTCCTTCTCATCCCAAAGTTTTTTGTCTCATTTAAGGATTTTCCCCCTCATCCCAAAGTTTTTTGTCTCCTTTTGGGATTTTTCCCCCTTATCCCAATTTTTCCCCTTTATCCCCAATTTTTCTCCCTCATCCCAGTATTTTCCCACCTCATCTCAATATTTTCTATCCCAATTTAGGATTTTCCCACCTCATCCCGACATTTTTTGTCTCCTTTTAGGATTTTTCCCCTTTATCCCAATTTTTTCTCTCTCATCCCAATGTTTTCCCACCTCATCCCAATATTTTCTATCCCATTTTAGGATTTTTCTATCCCATTTTAGGATTTTCCCCCCTGATCCCGATTTTTTTTATCTCCTTTTAGGATTTTTCCCCCTCATCCCAATGTTTTCCCCTTTATCCCAAAGTTTTCTGTATAATTTTAGGATTTTTCCCCCTCATCCCAACATTTTTTGTCTCATTTTGGGATTTTTCCCCCTTATCCCAATTTTTCCCCTTTATCCCAATATTTTCCCCCTCATCCCAAAGTTTTTTAATCTCATTTTGGGATTTCTCCCTCTCATCCCAATTTTTTCCTCCTCATCCCAATATTTTCCCCTTTATCCCAATGTTTTCTGTCTAATTTTAGGATTTTTCCCACCTCATCCCGATATTTTTTATCTCCTTTTGGGATTTTTCCCCCTCCTCCCAAAGTTTCCCCTTTATCCCAATTTTTTCTCCCTCATCCCAATATTTTCCCACCTCATCCCGATGTTTTCTATCCCATTTTAGGATTTTCTATCCCATTTTAGGATTTTCCCCCCTCATCCTGAAGTTTTCTATCCCATTTTGGGATTTTTCCCCCTTATCCCAATTTTTTCCCCTTTATCCCAAAGTTTTCTCTATAATTTTAGGATTTTTCCTTCTCATCCCAATGTTTTTTGTCTCATTTTGGGATTTCTCCCCCCTATCCCAATTTTTCCTCTTTATCCCAATTTTTTCCCCCTCATCCCAATATTTTTCCCTCCTCATCCCGATGTTTTCTATCCCATTTTAGGATTTTCTATCCCATTTTAGGATTTTTCCCCCCTCATCCCAACGTTTTTTATCTCATTTTGGGATTTCTCCCCTTCATCCCAATTTTTCCCCCTTATCCCAAAGTTTTCTGTATAATTTTAGGATTTTTCCTTCTCATCCCGAATTTTTTTGTCCCATTTTGGGATTTTTCCCCCTCATCCCGATGTTTTCCAGCCCCAAATCCGAAGTTTTATCTCAGAATTTTTATTGCCGCGTTCAGAGGGAAAAGAATTCCCGGGATTTGTTTTGTTAAATTAATTGTTTAATAAATGTTAATTATTCAGCTTCGGTAATGAGTCGGTAATTAATCAGCTGCTGCCACCCAAATTCCAGCCAAATCCCAAAACCTTCATCCCAAAAATCCCAAAATTCCCAAATCCTTCATCCCAAAACCCCAAATCTCCATCCCAAAAATCCCAAATTCCCAAACCCTTCATCCCAAAAATCCCAAATTTCCCAAAACCTTCATCCCAAAAATCCCAAAATTCCCAAAACCTTCATCCCAAAAATCCCAAAATTCCCAAATCCTTCATCCCAAAAATCCCAAAATTCCCAAATCCTTCATCCCAAATCCCAAACTCTTCATCCCAAAAATCCCAAAATTCCAAAATCTTCATCCCAAAATCCCCAAATTCCCAAATCTTTCATCCCAAAATTCCCAAATCCCAAAATTCCCAAATCCCAAAATTTCCATCCCAAAAATCCCCAAATTTCCAAATCTTCACCCCAAATCCCAAAATCTCCATCCCAAAAATCCCAAATTCCAAAATCTTCATCCCAAAAATACCAACTTTCCAGATTCCAAAATCTTCATCCCAAAAATATCAAAAATTCCCAAAATCTTCATCCCAACAATCCCAAAATTCCCAAATTATTCATCCCAAAATTCCCAAATCCTCAAATCCCAAAATTCCCAAATCCCAAAATTCCCAAAAATCCCAAATCCCAAATCCCAAAATCTTTATCCCCAAAATCCCAAAATTCCCAAAATCTCCATCCCAAAAATCCCAAAATTCCCAAATCCCAAAACGTTCATCCCCAAAATCCCAAATTCCCAAATTCTTCATCCCAAAATTCCCAAATCCTCAAATCCCAAAATCTTCATCCCAAATCCCAAAATCTTCATCCCAAAAATCCCAACTTTCCAGATTCCAAAATCTTCATCCCAAAATCCCCAAATTCCCAAATCCTTCATCCCAAAAATCCCAAATCCTTCATCCTAAATTCCCAAATCCTTCATCCCAAAAATCCCAAAATTCCCAAATCCTTCATCCCAAAAATCCCAAAATTCCCAAATCCTTCATCCCAAATCCCAAAAATCCCAAAATTCCAAACTCTTCATCCCAAAAATCCCAAATCCCAAAATTCCTAAACCCTTCATCCCAAAAATCCCAAATTTTTAAAATCTTCACCCCAAATCCCAAATCTTCATCCCAAAAATCCCAAAATCTCCATCCCAAATCCCCAAATCTTCATCCCAAAAATCCCCAAATTCCCAAATCCTTCATCCCAAAAATTCCAAATCCCAAATCCTTAAATCCTTCACCCCAAAATCCCAAAATTCCCAAATCCTTAAGCCTAAAAATCCCAAAATTCCCAAACCCTTAATCCCAAAAATCCCAAATCCTTCAGCCCAAATCCCAAAATCTTCCTCCCAAAAATCCCAATTTTCCAAATCCCAAACCCTTCATCCCAAAAATCCCAAATTCTCAAATTTTTCATCCCAAAAATCCCAAATCCCAAAATTCCCAAATCCTTTATCCCAAAATCTCCATTCCAAAACCCCCAAAATTCCCAAGTCCTTCACCCCAAATTCCAAAATCTTCATCCCAAAAATCCCAACTTTCCAAATCCCAAACCCTTCATCCCAAAATTCCCAAATCCTTCCTCCCAAAATTCCCAAATTTTGTATTTCCGATGGTTTTTGGTTTTGTGGGTTTTTTTTTTTATTCAGTGTCTATTTGGGGTTTTTTGGGATTTTTGGGAAATTTTGGGGCTTTTTTTTGGATTTTTTTTATCAGTGTCTATTTGGGGATTTTTGGGGGGTTTTTTGGGCAATTTTTTGGGGTTTTTTGAGGGTTTCCCAATATTTTTTTTTTAGTTTTTCCTTGATTTTTTTGAGGCTTTTTGGTCCTTTTTTTGGCATTTTCTTCGAATTTTCCAAAGGTTTTTTGAGGTTTTTTTTCGGGGTTTTGGGGGGTTTTTTCAGCCTTTTTTGGTTTTTTTTTTCAGGGTTTTTGGCGTTTTTTTTGGTGTTTTTTTGGTGGTTTTTTTTGTGGTTTATGCGCAGTTTTTGTGGCGTTTTCTGGGTTTTTTGGGGTTTTTTTTTGGGGGTTTTTTTGGGGGTTTTTTCAGTGTCAATTTCGGGATTTTTGGGCCTTTTTTTGGGTTTTTTTTTGTCATTTCTTGGGTTGTTGTGACATTTTTGTGGCGTTTTTTGGGAATTGTCCAATGGCTTTTGGGATTTTTTTTGAGTATCTTTGGGGGATTTTTGATGGTTTTTTCGGAGTCAATTTGGGGATTTTTGGGTGGTTTTTTGTGGGTTTTTTTGGCATTTCTTACATTTTTTTGTGGGTTTTTCAGTCATTTTTTGGAGTTGTCCCTTGGGTTTTTGTGATGTTTTTGTGGCATCTTATGTGAGTTTCCCAATGATTTTTTGAGACTTTTTTTTTTTTATTTTTTGGGTTTTTTTTTTTATTTTTTGCGTTTTTTTTGGGATTCTTGGTGCTTTTTCGGATTTTTTTGGGGGATTTTTTTTTTAATTTTATTTTTGGGGTTTTTTTGGTGTTTTTTTTGATGGTTTTTTGGTTGTTTTTTGGTGATTTTGTGTCATCTTCTGAGGGTTTTCCAGTGGTGTTTTGGGTTTGTTTTGGGGTTTTTTGTGGGTTTTTTTTTTTATTTTTTGTAAATTTTTTCGGTTTCTTGGTGCTTTTTGGGATTTTTTGGGGATTTTTGGATTTTTTGGGGGGGGGGGGTTTTTTGGGGTTTTCTTTGGTTTCTTGGGGATTTTTTGGCCTTTTTTTAGGGTTTTTTCGGGGTTTTTTGGGATCTTTTGGCGGCGATTTTTGGCAGTTCAACCAAAACCGACTCAATAATTCATTAACACCAGATTTTAACGAATGGATGAATTTTTGACTGTTTCCATTCCAATTTTTTTTTGATTTCCTGGGGATTTTTGGGGATTTTTTGGTGGGTTTTTTTGGGATTTTTTTGTGGATTTTTATGGGGTATTTTGGGAATTTTTTTATTATTTTTTAGGGTTTCTTTATTTATTGGGTTTTTTTGGGATTTTTTTGGGTTTCTTTGGGGTTTTTTTGGTTTTTTGGGGATTTTTATGGGTTTTTTGGGGTTTTTTTTATTTTTTGGATTTTTTTGATTTTTTTGGATTTTTATGGGGTTTTTGGGGTTTTTTTGGATTTTTTGGGATTTTTTGGGATTTTTTTGGGTTTTTTGCATTTTTTTGGGATTTTTTGGGATTTTTTGGGATTTTTATGGGTTTTTTTAAGATTTTTTTGGATTTTTTTGCTTTTTATGGGGGTTTTTTTAAGTTTTTGGTTTTCTTTTAATTTTTTTGATTTCTTTGTGATTTTTTTAATACTTTGGGGTTTTTTTTGAATTTTTTTGGGATTTTTGGGGGTTTTTTGGCGTTTTTTTGGGTTTTTTTGGGGTTTTTTGGGATTTTTAAGGGATTTTTTTTGGGATTTTTTTGCATTTTTTTGGGATTTTTATGGGGTTTTTTTGAGATTTTTTCGGTTTTTTTCAATTTTTTTCATTTATTTGTGGATTTTTTTGGTTTTTTAACTATTTCCACTCCAATTTCCCCCCTCTCCCCCCTCCTCCCTCCGCGCCCTCTCCTCCCTCCCGGCCACCAAACCCTCTGGGCTGAGCCGAACCTCCTTCCCGCGCCACCGAAAATGCGTCGGCGGCTCCGCGGGGCCGTGGCCGGAGCCCAACCCCAACTCAACTCTGGGGCCAACGTTGAGCGCACCAATCCCGCGCCGCCCAGCCCAGACGGGATTGTTGGGGTTGTTTTGGGATTTTTTGGGGTTTTTTGGGATCTTTTGGTGGGTTTTTTTTGGGATTTTAGGGGATTTTTATGGGGTTTTTTTGGGATTGTTTTTCTTTTGATTTTTTGCGTTTCTTTTTCTTTTATTTTTAAAGGTTTTTCTTTGACTTTTGGGGGGATTTATGGGGTTTTTTGGGGGATTTTTGGAGATTTTTTGGGGGTTTTTTGGGATTTTTGGGGGTTTTTTGGGGATTTTTTTTATTTTTTGGATTTTTTTGATTTTTTGGATTTTTTGGGATTTTTATGGGTTTTTTGGTGTTTTTGGGATTTTTTTGATTTTTTTTTTTTTTTTGGTTTTTTGGGCTTTTTTTTATTTTGGGTTCTTTTGGGTTTTTTGGGGATCTTTTGGTGGTTTTTTTGGGGATTTTATGGGCTTTTTTGGGGTTTTTTTGGGATTGTTTTTATTTTGATTTTTGGGTTTCTTTTTATTTTAATTTTTAATGTTTTTCTTTGTTTTTTGGGGAGATTTTTTGGGTTTTTTTGGGATTTTTGGGGATTTTTTTGGGTTTTTTTTTTGATTTTTTGGGGTTTTTTTGGGATTTTTATGGGTTTTTTGGGTTTTTTTTTTTGATTTTTGGATTTTTTTGATTTTTGGGATTTTTTCGGATTTTTATGGGTTTTTTTGGGGATTTTTATGGGTTTTTTTGGGGATTTTTATGGGTTTTTTGGGGTTTTTTTTGGATTTTTTTTATTTTTATGTTTTTTTTAACGTTTTTGGGTTTTTTAAATACTTTTGATTCCTTTGTGATTTTTTAAATACTTTTGGGGGTTTTTTGCAATTTTTTGGGATTTTTGGGATTTTTTTTGGATTTTTATGGCGTTTTTTTAAGGTTTTTTGGTTTTTTTAATTGTTTTTATTTTTTTATGGATTTTTTAATACTTTTGGGGTTTTTTTGGAATTTTTTTGGATTTTTGTGGGTTTTTTGGTTTTTTTGGGGATTTTTCTGGGTTTTTTGCTTTTTTTTGGGTTTTTTTTGGGATTTTTATGGGTTTTTTTGGGATTTTTAGGGGATTTTTTGGGTTTTTTCTTTTTTTATCATTTATTTGTAGATTTTTTGCCTTTCTCGACCATTCCCACTCCAATTTTTTCGGCGTCACCGCCCCCCCTCTCCCCCCTCCCCCACCCGCGCCCTCTCCTCCCTCCCGGCCACCAAAACCTCTGGGCTGAGCCGAACCTCCTTCCCGCGCCACCGAAAATGCGTCGGCGGCTCCGCGGGGCCGTGGCCGGAGCCCAACCCCAACTCAACTCTGGGGCCAACGTTGAGCGCACCAATCCCGCGCCGCCGAGCCCAGACGGGAGTTTTGGGGTTTTCTTGGGATTTTTGGGGGATCTTTTGGTGGTTTTTTTGGGATTTTTGGGGTTTTTTTTTTGTTTTTTTTGGGAGTTTTTATGGGTTTTTTTGGGATTTTTATGGGGTTTTTTGGGATTTTTATGGGGTTTTTTGGGATTTTTTTATTTTGATTTTTTGGGGTTTTTTTGGGGAGTTTTTGGGATGTTTTGCAGTTTTATTGGGATTTTTTGGGGATTTTTCTGTTTTTTTTGGGGTTTTTTGGGATTTTTATGGGTTTTTTGGGTTTTTTTTGAGTTTTTGGATATTTGGGATTTTTGGGATTTTTTGGGATTTTTATGGGTTTTTTTGGGATTTTTATGGGTTTTTTGGTTCTTTTTTTATTTTTTGGGTTTTTTGGATTTTTTGGGTTTTTTTGGGATTTTTATGGGTTTTTTTTGGGATTTTTATAGGGTATTTGGGTTTTTTTGGATTTTTTTTATTGTTGGGATTTTTAGGGATTTTTTGGGTTTTTGGGGTTTTTTTGGCTTTTTTTGGGATTTTTTTGGGTTTTTTGCATTTTTTTGGGTTTTTTTTGCGTTTTTTTTTTGGATTTTTATGGGGTTTTTCTGGGTTTTTTTCATTTTTTGGGTTTTTTGGGTGTTTTTTGGGTTTTTTTGGGATTTTTTGGGATTTTTGTATTTTTTCGCAATTTTTTTGCTTTTTTTGGGATTTTTAGGGTTTTTGGGGTTTTTTTGGGGATTTTTTCGATTTTTTTGCAATTTTTTGGGTATTTTTGAGATTTTTTGTGGGTTTTTGGGTTTTTTTGGGATTTTTAAAGTTTTTATTCAATTTTTTTCATTTATTTGTGGATTTTTTGGGTTTTTAACTATTTCCACTCCAATTTCCCCCCTCCTGTCCCCCCTCCTCCATCCGCGCCCTCTCCTCCCTCACGGCCACCAAAACCTCTGGGCTGAGCCGAACCTCCTTCCCGCGCCACCGAAAATGCGTCGGCGGCTCCGCGGGGCCGTGGCCGAAGACCAAGGCCCAACTCAACTCTTGGGCCAACGTTGAGCGCACCAATCCCGCGCCGCCGAGCCGCGCCGGCGCCGGGTGGTAGAGCCGCCCGTTCTCCGGCAGCGCCGCCAGCGCCTCGGGCCGGAACGGCACCGTCAGCGCCGCGCCGGCGTTACCGAAGGCGATTTCGGCGCCGCCGGGCAGGAGGTGGGTGAAGACCACGGGCAGGTCGGCGCAGCGAAGGAAATTCCGCTCGCGGCCGCAGCGCGACACGAACGGGAACCGGGAACGGAAACGGCCGGAGACGTTCCGCTGGAGCCGGGAGAAGAACTGGGACAGGAAGGCGGCGTCTGCGGAGAGAGGGGAGAGGTTTTAGGGGTTTGGGGGGGTTTTTTGGGGTTTTTGGGGTTTTTGGGGGTTTTTTATTTTTTTTCTAATTTTTTGGATTTTTTTCTGATTTTTTGGGGGGTTTTTTTGATTTTTACGTGTTTTTTTCTTAATTCTTTGGGATTTTTTTTTCAATTTTTTGGGATTTTTTTGGGGTTTTATTTGTGATTTTTTGGGGTTTTTTTTGGGTTTTTTTACAGATTTTTTTGGTTATTTGGGATTTTTAGTTTTTTTGGTTTTTGGGTTTTTAAAATTTTTGGGATTTTTCGGGATTTTTTTTGGTTTTTCTGGAATTTTGGGGTTTTTTTTTAGTTTTTTGGGGGATTTTTGGTTGTTTGGCATTTTTTGGGGTTTTTTGGGCTTTTTAAATTTTTTCTGTTTTTTTGGGGATTTTTTGGGATTTTTCGGGTTTGTTAGAGTTTTTTTTTTATTTTTTGGGGTTTTTGAGTTTTTTGGGTTTGTTGGGTTTTTTTTTTTATTTTTGGGGATTTTTTTTATTTTATTGGGTTTTTTTAGGGATTTTCATGGGTTTTTTAGGAATTTTTTGGGATTTTTTCGTTGCCCTGTTCCGCTGGAGGCGGGAGAAGAACTGGGACAGGAAGGCGGCGTCTGCGGAGAGAGGGGGAAAATTGGGGGGTTTAGGAGGTTTTTGCGGATTTTTGTGGGGATTTTGGGGTTTTTTGGGGATTTTTTTGGGTTTTTTGGGGATTTTGGGGATTTTTGATGTTTTTTTAGAGATTTTTTTTTGGGTTTTTTGGGATTCTTTTGGGGTTTGTTTGGGATTTTTTTTGAGATTTTTTTTTTTTGATTTTTGGGATTTTGGGGGATTTTCTGCGTTTGTAGGGTTTTTTTGATGTTTTGGGGAGTTTCTTTGGATTTTTTGGTTTTTTTGGGATTTTATTTGGAATTTTTTTGAGATTTTTTTCGTAGGTTTTTTTTCAGATTTTTCTGGGGTTTTTATGCAGTTTTTTGGATTTTTCTGGGTTTTTTGAAGAAATCTTTTTGGGGTTTTTTTTTTATTATTTTTTGGAGGATTTTGGGGATTTTTTTGGGTATTTTTTGGATTTTTTTCTAATTTTTTTTTTTTTTTTTTTGATTTTTTGGATTTTTTGACATTTTTTTTTATTTTTTTGGGGGGGGGTTTGGGATTTTTTTGGATTTTTATGGGGTTGCTTGGAAAAGTTTCGGAGTTTTTTAAAATTTTTTTATTTTTGGGGGGGTTTGGGATTTTGGGGATTTTTTTGTTTTGTTTTGGTTTTTTTTGCCGGATTTTTTGGGTGGTTTTTTTTTGATTTTTATGGGTTTTTTGGGGGGGGAAATGTTGCATTTTTTGGGGGTGTTTTGGTGTTTTTTTGGTGCATTTTTGGGGATTTTATTGGATTTTTATGGGATTTTTTGGGTTTTTTTGGGGTCATTTCTTGTGGATTTTTGGGATTTTTTTGACGTTTTATAGGGATTTTTGGGGTTTTTTTGGTGGTTTTTATGGCATTTTCTGGGGATTTTCCAATGGTTTTATGAGGCTTTTTTGGGTCTTTTTTCGGTTTTTTGGGGGATTTTTTGGGGTTTTTCGGGGGGATGTTTCAGGGTTTTTTGGGAGGATGTTTTGGGGTTTTTTGGGATATTTTGGGATTTGGGGAGGGTTTTTTGGGATTGTTTTTGGGGTTTTTTGGTAGTTTTTTGCTGGATTTTTGGAGTTTTTAGGGATTTTTGGGGCGTTTTCTGGTGGTTTTTGTAGCATTTCTGGGTGTTTACTGAGGGATTTTTTGGAGTTGATTTGGGGGATTTTTTGTGTTTTTTGGTGGATTTTTGGGGGTTTACTGGGATTTTTATGGGATTTTTTGGGTTTTTTTGGGGGGGATTTCTTGTGGATTTTTGGGATTTTTTGGAGGTTTTTTTGGTTTTTTTTGGTGGCTTTTATGGAATTTTCTGGGGATTTTCCAATGGTTTTATGAGGCTTTTTTGGGTCTTTTTTGGGGATTTTTTGGGGATTTTTGGGGGGGTTTTTTAGGGGTTTTTTGGGATTTGTTCAGGATTTTGGAGTGGTTTTTGTGGAATTTTCGGGGGTTTTACAATGGCTTTTGGGGTTATTTTTGGAGGTGATTTTGGGGGTATTTGGGATTTTTTGGTGTTTTTTTGGGATTTTTTTGGGTTTTTATGAATTTTTTAGGGGGTTTATTGGGATTTTTATGCTTTTTTTTAATGGGGGGGGTTGGTGGTTTTTTGGTGGATTTTGGGGTTTTTTTTTATTTTTTTGGGGATGTTTTTGGGATTTTTTTGGTGATTTTTGGTGGATTTTTGTAGTTTTTTTGGGATTTTTTTTGGGGTGTTTTCAGGTGGTTTTTGTAGCATTTTCTGGGTGTTTTCTGAGGGATTTTTTTGGTTTTTTGGAGGTGATTTTGGGGGTATTTGGGATTTTTTTGGGGTTTTTTTTTTAGGATTTTTTGTTGATTTTCTTGGTGGTTTTTGGGTTTTTGTTTTGTTTTGTTTTTTGGGTTTTTTTATCGTTTTTTTGGATTTTTTTTGCATTTTTTTCAGTGAATAATTAAGGAGGTGAATAAATAAGGAGATGAATAATTAACAACGTTAATAATCAACAAGGTAAAAAATAAGGGAAGTGACTAATTAATAATTAATGATGTGAATAACTAAAGAGTTGAATAATTAATGAGACAAATAATTAACAAGGTGAATAATTAAGAAAATGACTAATTAACGAGGTTAATATTTACCAAGGTGAATAATTACGAAATTGAATAATTAATGAGGTGAATAATTAATAAGGTGAATAAATAAGGAGCTGAATAATTAAGGAGGTGACTAATTAAGGAGGTGAATAATTAACAATGTCAATAGTTAACGAGGTGAATAATCGAGGAAGTGAATAATTAACGAGGTGACTAATTAGGGAGGTGCCTAATTAATTGGGTACCTCGGAAACACGTGGTGAAGTTTTTCACTTTGGCGTCGTCCAGGAACAGCTGCAAAAAAAATGGGGAAAAAAGTCAAAATTTGGGGATTTTACCCCAAAAAAATCAAAATTATGGGTTTGGGGTTTTTTTTGGGGATCTTTTTGGGTTTTTTGGGGGGGGGTTGGGGATTTTTTTGGGGATTTTTTGGGGGTTTTTTGGTTCTTTTTTATTTTTGGGGGGGGATTTTTTGTGGTTTTTTTGGGATCTTTTTGGGATTTTGGTGGTTTTTTTGTTTTTTGGGGTTTTTTTTGGGTTTTGTAGGGTTTTTTTTGGTTTTTTGGGGTTTTTTTTGGGATTTCTTGAGGTTTTTTGGGGGTTTTTAGGGGTTTTTTTTTGTGGGTTTTTTTGTGGGATTTTTTTTTTTTTGGTTTTTTGCAACATTTTTGGGGTTTTTCAGGGATTATTTGGAGTTTTTTTTTGATTTTTTTTTATTTTTTTGGGATTTTTCTGGGACTTTTTGATGTTTTCTTGAGGGGTTTTTGGAGATTTTTTTGGGGGTGTTTTGGGGGTATTTTTGGGGTTTTTTTGGGGATCTTTTGGGGTTTTTTTATAATTTGGGGTTTTTTTGGGGGGATATTTTGGGATACTTTTGGTTTTTTGGGGATCTTTTTGGGGTTTTTTGGGATTTTTTTTGCGATTTTTTTTGTTTCTTTTGGGATATTTTTTGGGTTTTTGGGGATATTATTGGGGTTTTTAAAGTTTTTTTTCAGATCTTTTTGGGCTTTTTTGGGATATTTTGTTTTTTTGTGGGATATTTTTGGGGGTTTTTTTGGGTGTTTTTTCAGGTTCTTTTTGGGTTTTTTGGGGATTTTTTGGGGTTTTTTTGGGTTTTTTGGGATCTTTTTTGGATCTTTTTGGGTTGGATTTTTTTGTTGTTTTTTTGGGGGGATTTTTTGGGATCTTTTAATTTGGGTTTAAACCGGGTTTAATTTGGGTCCGTTATCGATCCTTATCGATCCTTATCCCTCCCTCATCCACGTCCTACCAATCCCTTATCGATCGTTCTCGCTCCGTATCGGACCCTTATCAACCCCTTCTCGACCCTTTATCCACCGTTATCGATCCTTATCCCTCCGTTATCGATGGTTATCGATCCCTTATCGATGGTTATCGATCCCCTATCGATGGTTATCGATCCCTTATCGATCGTTCTCGCTCCGTATCGGACCCTTATCAACCCCTTCTCGACCCTTTATCCACCATTATCGATCCTTATCCCTCCCTTATCGATGGTTATCGATCCCCTATCGATGCTTATCGATCCCTTATCGATCCCTGCTCGCCGCCCTCACCTGCCCGTGCAGATCCAGGTAATAGAAATACTCGCGGATCCCGGGCTCGGGCCGCTGGCCCTGCCGGTAGCTCAGCCCCGGGAGGGCGCAGAGCCGCAGCACCGGTCCCGCCCTCATCGCGACTGTCGCGATTCGGCCCCGCCGCCTCCTCCTGTCGCGACAGGCGACAACGACAGCGCCCGCCGGAAGTGACCCAATGGGGGACCGCGATCCGCGGGCACCGCGCGTGTGCGGCGGCCAAAAGGTTCCGGGGGGGGAGCGGAAGTGGGAGGAGAAAAAGCCCGGCGGGGGGGGGATTTTATAGAATTTTATAAAATTTCCAGATTTTATAAAATTATGGATTGTATAGAATTATGGATTCTATAGAATTATAGAGCATATAGGATTCACCAAGTGTTTTTCATAGGGGGGGATTTAAAAAAGCGACTTCATAAACCGCCCCCCCCCGCAATAGATCCGCTATTGGTTCCGCCCCCCCGCCGCCATTTTGACCTTTTTGCCCTCAGGGAAAAGCGCCGAGATGGGAAAAAAAAAAAAGGCAAAAAATTGGGAAAAAAGTGGGAAAATGGTAAAAAATTAAGAAAAAAGTGGGAAATGAGGTGGGAATTGGGAAAATGAGGGGGAAATATCAAAATAGTGGGAAAATTGGGGAAAAAAGTGGGGAAATGAGAGGGAAAATCTGAAAAAATGGGGAAAATGAGAGGAAAAATTGGGAAAAAAGATGGAAAATGAGGGGGAAAATTGGGGAAAAAAAGGGGGAAATGAGGGGAAAATTGGGAAAAAAAGGGGGAAATGAGGGGGAAATCTCAAAATAGTGGGAAAATTGGGGAAAAAAGTGGGGAAATGAGAGGGAAAATCTGAAAAAATGGGGAAAATGAGAGGAAAAATTGGGAAAAAAGATGGAAAATGAGAGGAAAAATCTCGAAAAAGCGGGAAAATGAGGGGGAAAATTGGGAATTGAGGGGGAAATTGAGAAAAAAGATGGAAAATGAGGGGGAAATTTCAAAAAATTGGGAAAATGAGGGGGGAAATTGGAAATGAGGGGAAAATTTGGAAAAATGGGGGGTAAAATTGGGAAATGAGGGGGAAAATTGGAAAATTAGGGGGAAAATTATGAAATGAGGGGGGAAATTGGGAAATGAGGGGGAAAATCTCAAAAAAGTTGGAAAATGAGGGGGAAATCGGGGAAAAAAGATGGAAAATGAGGGGAAAATTGGGAAAAAAAGGGGGAAATGAGGGGGAAATCTCAAAATAGTGGGAAAATTGGGGAAAAAAGTGGGGAAATGAGAGGGAAAATCTGAAAAAATGGGGAAAATGAGAGGAAAAATTGGGAAAAAAGGTGGAAAATGAGAGGAAAAATCTCGAAAAAGTGGGAAAATGAGGGGGAAAATTGGGAATTTAGGGGGGAAATTGGGAAATGAGGAGGAAAATCTCAAAAAAGTTGGAAAATGGGGCGAAATTGGGAAAAAAAGATGGAAAATGAGGGGGAAATTGGGAAAATAGATGGAAAATGAGGGGAGAAATTGGAAAAAAGTGAGAAAATTGGGGAAAAAAGTGGGGAAATGAGAGGGAAAATCTGAAAAAATGGGGAAAATGAGAGGAAAAATTGGGAAAAAAGGTGGAAAATGAGAGGAAAAAGCTCGAAAAAGTGGGAAAATGGGGGGGAAAATTGGGAATTGAGGGGGAAATTGAGAAAAAAGATGGAAAATGAGGGGGAAATTTCAAAAAATTGGGAAAATGAGGGGGGAAATTGGGAAATGAGGGGGAAAATTTCAAAAAAGTTGGAAAATGAGGGGGAAAATTGGGAATTGAGAGGGGAAATTTGGAAAAAAAGATGGAAAATGAGGGGGAAATAGGAAAATTAGGGGGGGAAATTATGAAATGAGGGGGAGAAATTGGGAAATGAGGGGGAAAATCTCAAAAAAGTTGGAAAATGAGAGGGAAATTTGGGAAAAAAAGATGGAAAAATGAGGGGAAAATTGGGAAAAAAAGGGGGAAATGAGGGGGAAATCTCAAAATAGTGGGAAAATTGTGGAAAAAAGTGGGGAAATGAGAGGGAAAATCTGAAAAAAATGGGGAAAATGAGAGGAAAAATTGGGAAAAAAGGTGGAAAATGAGAGGAAAAATCTCAAAAAAGTGGGGAAAATGAGGGGGGGGAATTGAGGGGGAAATTGAGAAAAAAGATGGAAAATGAGGGGGAAATTTCAAAAAATTGGCAAACTGAGGGGGGAGATTTGGAACTGAGGGGGAAAATCTCAAAAAATTGGAAAAATTAGGGGGAAAATTGGGAAAAAAGATGGAAAATTGGGGGGAAATTGGGACATTAGGCAGAAAAATGGAAAATTGGGGGGAAAATTATGAAATGGGGGCTAAAATTGGGAAATGAGGGGGGAAATTAGGCAGAAAATTTGGAAATTAGGGGGAAAAATATGAAATTAGGGGGAAAATGAGGGGGAAAATTGGAAAATGAGGCAGAAAATTTGAAAATTGGGGGGAGAAATTGGGAATTTGGGGAGGAAATTGGGAAAAGAGGGAGAAAATTGGGAAATTAGGGGGAAAAATTATGAAATGAGGGGAAATTGGGAAATGAGGGAGAAAATTGGAAAATTGGGGGAAAAATTGGAAAATGAGAGGGAAAAATCTCAAAAAATTGGGAAAATGAGGGGGAAAATTGGGAAAAAAGATGGAAAATGAGGGGGAAAATTGGGAAATTAGGCAGAAAATTGGAAAATTGGTGGGGAAATTGGGAATTTGGGGAGGAAATTGGGAAATGAGGGGGAAATTAGGCAGAAAATTGGAAAATTAGGGGGGAAAATATGAAATTAGGGGGAAAATTGGAAAATGAGGCAGAAAATTTGAAAATTGGGGGGGAAATTGGGAATTTGGGGAGGAAATTGGGAAAAGAGGGAGAAAATTGGGAAATAAGGGGGGAAAATTATGAAATAAGGGGAAAATTAGGGGGGAAATTGGAAAATTAGGGGGAAAATTATGAAATGAGGGGGGAAATTGGGAAATGAGGGGGAAAATCTCAAAAAATTGGGAAAATGAGAGGGAAAATTGGGAAAAAAGATGGAAAATTGGGGGAAAATTGGGAAAAAGTGGGAAAATGAGGGGGGAATTGGAAATGAGGGGAAAATTGGAAAAATGGGGGGTAAAATTGGGAAATGAGGGGTAAAATTGGAAAAATGGGGGGTAAAATTGGAAAATGAGAGGGGAAAATCTCAAAAAAGTGGGAAAATGAGAGGGAAAATTGGGAAAAAAGATGGAAAATTGGGGGAAAATTGGGAAAAAGTGGGAAAATGAGGGGGGAAATTGGAAAATGAGGGGGAAAAATTATGAAATGAGGGGGAAATTGGGAAATGAGGGGGAAAATCTCAAAAAAGTTGAAAAATGAGGGGGAAATTGGGAAAAAAGATGGAAAATGAGGGGGAAATTGGGAAATTAGGCAGAAAATTGGAAAATTTGGGGGGGAAATATGAAATTAGGGGGGAAATGAGGGGGAAAATTGGAAAATGAGGCCGAAAATTTGAAAATTGGGGGGAAATTGGGAATTTGGGGAGGAAATTGGGAAAAGAGGGAGAAAATTGGGAAATAAGGGAAAAATTATGAAATACGGGGGAAATTGGGAAATGAGGGAGAAAATTGGGAAATGAGGGGGAAAATCTCAAAAAATTGGGAAAATTAGGGGGAAATTGGGAAAAAATATGGAAAATGAGGGGGAAAATTGGGAAAAAAGATGGGAAATTGGGGAAAATGATGAAAAATGAGGGGGAATCTTAAAAAATGGGAAAATGAGGGGGAAATGTCAAAAAATTGGAAAAATGAGGGAAAAATTGGAATTGAGGGGAAAAAAAGATGGAAAATGAGGGGGAAATTGGGAAATGACGGGGAAAATTGGGAAAAAAAGATGGAAAATGAGGGGGAAAATCTAAAAAAGTGGGAAAATGGGGGGGAAATTGAAAAATGAGGGGGGAAAATGGAAAATGGGGGGCGGGAATTGGAAAATTAGGAAGAAAATTGGAAAATGAGGAGGAAATTTGACAAATGAGGGGGAAATTGGGAAATGAGGAGGAAAATTAGGTGGAAAAATATCAAAATTAGGTGGGAAAATACCAAAATTAGGTGGAAAAATTCCAAAATTCGATGGAAAAATACCAAAATTTGGTGGAAAAATACCAAAATTAGGTGGGAAAATACCAAAATTAGGTGGAAAAATTCCAAAATTAGGTGGAAAATAATTGGAATGAGGAAAAAAAACGGGATCGGGGGAATTCCCATCCGGACACGACAAATTCGGGATTTGGGGTTGGATGAGTTTATTTCCAATGGAATCAGAACAGGATAAAAAAAAACCCAAAATCCAACTTTTCCCTCCCCCAAATTCCCTCGTTCCCGGTTTTTCCAGGCGAGTTTTCCATGGATTTCTCCTTCCCACCGCGAGTTTTCCATGGATTTCTCATTTTTTGGGCATTTTCCATGGATTTCTCATTTTTGGGAAAGAGTTTTCCATGGATTTCTCCATCCCACCGCGAGTTTTCCATGGATTTCTCCACCCCACCATAATTTTTCCATGGATTTCTCATTTTTGGGAAAGAGTTTTCCATGGATTTCTCCATCCCACTGCAAGTTTTCCCGTGGATTTCTCATTTTTGGGAGTTTTCCATGGATTTCTCATTTATGGGAAAAGTTTTCCATGGATTTCTCATTTTTGGGAGTTTTCCATGGATTTCTCCATCCCACCACGAATTTTCCATGGATTTCTTGGTGATGGGAAAGAGTTTTCCATGGATTTCTCATTTATGGGAAAGATTTTTCCGTGGATTTCTCATTTTTGGGAGTTTTCCATGGATTTCTCCATCCCACCATGATTTTTCCATGGATTTCTCATTTTTGGGAGTTTTCCGTGGATTTCTCGGCGATGGGAAAGAGTTTTCCATGGATTTCTCATTTTTGGGCATTTTCTATGGATTTCTCCATCCCACTGTGATTTTTCCACGGATTTCTCATTTTTGGGAAAGAGTTTTCCATGGATTTCTCCATCCCACTGTGAGTTTTCCATGGATTTCTCATTTTTGGGAATTTTCCATGGATTTTTCGGCAATGGGAAAGAGTTTTCCATGGTTTTCCCATTTATTGGAAAGATTTTTCCACGGATTTCTCATTTTTGGGCGTTTTCCATGGATTTCTCCATCCCACCATGATTTTTCCACGGATTTCTCATTTTTGGGAGTTTTCCATGGATTTCTCATTTTTGGGAAAGAGTTTTCCATGGATTTCTCCATCCCACTTTGAGTTTTCCATGGATTTCTCCATCCCACCATGATTTTTCCATGGATTTCTCATTTTTGGGAGTTTTCCATGGATTTCTCAATTTTGGGAGTTTTCCATGGATTTCTCCATCCCACCGCGAGTTTTCCATGGATTTCTCCATCCCACCACGAGTTTTCCATGTATTTCTCATTTATGGGAAGAGTTTTCCATGGATTTCTCATTTATGGGAAAGAGTTTTCCATTAATTTCTCATTTATGGGAAAAATTTTCCGTGGATTTCTCATTTTTGGGAGTTTTACATGGATTTCTCATTTATGGGAAAGAGTTTTCCATGGATTTCTCATTTTTGGGAGTTTTCCATGGATTTCTCCATCCCACCATGAGTTTTCCATGGATTTCTCATTTTTGGGAAAGAGTTTTCCATTAATTTCTCCGAAGTGAATCCATCCCACCATGAGTTTTCCATGGATTTCTCATTTTTGGGCATTTTCCATGGATTTCTCCATCCCACCGCGAGTTTTCCATGGACTTCTCATTTATGGGAAAGAGTTTTCCATGGATTTCTCATTTTTGGGAGTTTTCTGTGGAATTCTCATTTATGGGAAAAGTTTTCCATGGATTTCTCATTTTTTGGAGTTTTCCATGGATTTCTCATTTATGGGAAAGAGTTTTCCATGGATTTCTCCATCCCACCGCAAGTTTTCCATGGATTTCTAATTTTTGGGAGTTTTCTGTGGATTTCTCGGCGATGGGAAAGAGTTTTCCATGGATTTCTCATTTTTGGGAGTTTTCTGTGGATTTCTCAGCGATGGGAAAGAGTTTTCCATGGATTTCTCATTTATGTGAAGGAGTTTTCCGCGGATTTCTCCGAGACGTCGTTCCCCTGGAAGACGTTTCCGCGCGGATTTTTCCGACGGGGTCGATCCTTTGGGAATTTCCTGCTCCGTGGGATTCCTGCCAGGAACCTGCTCCTTTTTCCATGGATCCACAGCTCCTTGCCAAGGAATTTTGGGAATTTCCCAGTCCAGCAGCTCGGAATCGTCTCCGGAGTTGTTCCAGCCCCGAAACTTCCCCGAATTTGGCCACGAAAAGGCAATTCTGATGGGAAAATAACAGGATGGGACGGAGAAAAAAATGAAATGGAAGGAAAAATAATGGGATGAGGTGGAAAAATAAAAAAAATGGGAGGAAAAATAACAAAATGGGAGGAAAAATAACGAAATGGAAGGAAAAATAACGAAATGGAAGGAAAAATAATGGGATGAGGTGGAAAAAGAATGAAATGGAAAAAAAAGAACAAAATGGGAGGAAAAATAACGAAATGGGGGGAAAAATAACAAAATGGAAGGAAAAATAATGAAATGGGGGGGAAAAAAACAAAATGGAAGGAAAAATAATGGAATGAGGTGGAAAAAGAACAAAATGGAAGGAAAAATAATGGATGAGGCGGAAAAAATGAAATGGAAAAAAAAATAAACAAAATGGGAGGAAAAATAATGAAATGGGAGGAAAAATAACGAAATGGAAGGAAAAATAAAAAAATGGAAGGAAAAATAACGGGATGAGGCGGAACAATAAAAAAATGGAAGGAAAAATAACGAAATGGGAGGAAAAAACACCAAAATGGAAGGAAAAATAATGGGATGAGGTGGAAAAAAAATGAAATGGAAGGAAAAATAATGGGATGAGGTGGAAAAAGAATGAAATGGAAAAAAAAGAACAAAATGGGAGGAAAAATAACGAAATGGGGGGAAAAATAAAAAAATGGGAGGAAAAATAACAAAATGGAAGGAAAAATAATGGGATGAGGTGGAAAAAGAACAAAATGGAAGGAAAAATAATGGGATGAGGTGGAAAAAGAATGAAATGGAAAAAAAATAACAAAATGGGAGGAAAAAGAATTAAATGGGAGAAAAAATAACGAAATGGGAGGAAAAATAACAAAATGGAAGGAAAAATAATGAAATGGAAGGAAAAATAGCAAAATGGAAGGAAAAATAACGTGATGAGGTGGAACAATAACGAAATGGAAGGAAAAACACCAAAATGGAAGGAAAAATAATGGGATGAGGTGGAAAAAAATGAAATGGAAGGAAAAATAATGGGATGAGGTGGAAAAAGAATGAAATGGAAAAAAAAAGAAAAAATGGGAGGAAAAATAATTAAATGGGAGGAAAAAGAACAAAATGAGAGGAAAAAAAATGAAATGGGAGGAAAAATAATGGGATGAGGCGGAAGAAAAATGAAATGAAAAAAAAAGAACAAAATGGGAGGAAAAATAATTAAATGGGAGGAAAAATAACAAAATGGAAGGAAAAATAACGAAATGGAAGGAAAAATGATGGGATGAGGCGGAAAAAGAATGAAATGAAAAAAAAAGAACAAAATGGGAGGAAAAATAACAAAATGGAAGGAAAAATAACGAAATGGAAGGAAAAATAACGAAATGGAATAAAAAAATAATGGGATGAGGGAGAAAATATTGGGATGAGGGCGAAACTATTGGGATGGGGAAGGAAAATATCAAAACGTGGCCGAAAAGCTACGAAATTGGGAAAAACTTGGGACGGGGAGGGAAAAAACCGGGAAAAATACGGAAAAATACAGAAAAACGGTGGAAAAGCACCGAAATGAAGGGAAAATAAAACGACTGGAACGCGGCGAGGAACGCCCGGATTTCGGGAAGGCGGCGCCGGCGTTTTCGGCGGCTCCGAGGTTTTCCCGGCTCACAAGGAGAAGTAGTCCATGGTTCCGTGACCGTAGGGGTTGTAAGTCCACACCAGGTCGGTTCTGCCGGAATCGGCCAACATTTGGTGGATCTCGGCGGTGGACGCCGCCAAACGTTCGCCGTCCATGGGTTCCTCGTAAATCCGCCGGGATCCCGGCACGCGGCGCGGCGGCTCCGGTTTGTAGCAATCGGCCGGGAAGGGATAAACGACCAATCGGAGATCCGGCAGCTCCACGGTTTGGCGCAGCAGATCCTTGAGCGCGGCGGTGGACAGGGAGTTGCCGTAGAGGCCCAGGAAGCGCAGGCGGCGGCAGCGGCGCAGCGTCGGCAGCAGCGCGGCCAGTTGGGCGTCGGCCATGCGGCATTCCATGAGATCCAGGTGCAGCAGCGAGGCCGAGGTCTCCTCCAGGAGCAGCCGCAGCGGCTCCAGCAGCCCCTGGGAGAAGTCGTGGCCGCTCAGGTCCAAGCGTTTGAGGGACGCGGCGTGGGAGCTTTGGGAGAGGAAGGCGAGGTCGGCGGGGAGCAGCGAGCAGAAGGACAATTCCAAACTTTCCAACGGCGCCCGGAGGTCGCTGGCGGGAGGGAAAAGGGAGAGGTGAGGCCACGGGAAGGTTGGGATCGGCCGGGGAAAGGTGGGAGAGGTTTGGGAGTCGTGGGATGGTGGGATGGTGGAGTTACAAAATGGTGGCTGGGGTTGGGAAAGTCTTCAAGACCATCAAGGTCAAGGTCTGAGAATCATGGAATCATGGGATCATGGAATGATGGGATCATGGAATTGTGGGATGGATGAGGTTGGGGAAGAACTGGAAGAACATCGACTTCAAATCCTTAAAATCCTGGGATTTTGGAGTTATGGGTTCATGGAGTTACAAAATGGCGGCTGGAGTTGGGAAGGTCTCCATGAACATCAAGGTAAAGGATTGAAACTCATGGAATGATGGAGCCATGGAATTGTGGGATGGTTGAAGTTGGGAAAGAGCGTCAAGAAAGAACTTCAGGTCTGACCTCTGAAAATCCTGGGATTTTGGAGTTACGCGGTCACGGAATTATGGAATGAGTCAGGTTGGGAAAGGTCTCCAAGAAAATCAAGGTCAAGGTTTGAGACTCATGGAATGATGGGATCATGGAATTGTGGGATGGTTGAGGTTGGGAAAGAACTGGAAGAACATCGAGTTCAAATCCTTAAAATCCTGGAGTTTTGGATTGAGGGCATCATGGAGTTACAAAATGGCGGCTGGAGTTGGGAAGGTCTCCATGAACATCAAGGTCAAGGTTTGAGACTCATGGAATGATGGGATCATGGGATTGTGGGATGGCTGAAGTTGGGAAAGAGCTCCAAGGACATCGAGTTCGACCTCTGAAAATCCTGGGATTTTGGAATGATGGGATCATGGAGTTACAAAATGGCGGCTGGAGTTGGGAAGGTCTTCAAGACCATCAAGGTCAAGGTTTGAGACTCATGGAATGATGGAGCCACGGGATTGTGGGATGGATGAGGTTGGGAAAGAGCTGGAAGAACATCGAGTTCAAATCCTTAAAATCCTGGGGTTTTGGATTGAGGGCGTCATGGAGTTACAAAATGGCGGCTGGAGTTGGGAAGGTCTCCAAGAACATCAAGGTCAAGGATTGAGACTCATGGAATGATGGGATCATGGAATTGTGGGATGGATGAGGTTGGGAAAGAAATGGAAGAACATCGAGTTCGAACTCTGAAAATCCTGGGGTTTTGGAATGATGGGATCATGCAGTTACAAAATGGCGGCTGAGGTTGGGAAAGGTCCCCATGAACATGAAGGTAAAGGATTGAAACTCATGGAATGATGGGATCATGGAATTGTGGAATCCAACATTGCAATCATGGAATGACTGAGGTTGGGAAACATCTCCAAGAACATCGAGTTCAACCTCTGAAAATCCTGGGATTTTGGAATGATGGGGTCATGGAGTTACAAAATGGCGGCTGTTGGAAAAGTCTTCAAGAACATCAAGGTCAAGGTTTGAAAATCATGGAATAATGCAATGATGGAGCCATGGAATTGTGGGATGGTTGAGGTTGGGAAAGAACTGGAAGAACATCGGGTTCAAATCCTTAAAATCCTGGGGTTTTGGAGTTATGGGGTCATGGAGTTACAAAATGGCGGCTGGAGTTGGGAAAGGTCTTCAAGACCATCAAGTTCAAGGTTTGAGACACATGAAATGATGGGATCATGGAATTGTGGGATGGCTGAGGATGGGAAAGAGCTCCAAGAACATCGAGTTCAACCTCTGAAAATCCTGGGATTTTGGAATGATGGAATCATGGAGTAACAACATGGCTGCTGGAGTTGGGAAAGATCTCCAAGACCATCAAGGTCAAGGTTTGAGACTCATGGGATGATGGGATCATGGAATTGTGGGATGGCTGAGGTTGGGAAAGAGCTACAAGGACATCGAGTTCAACCTCTGAAAATCCTGGGATTTTAGAATGATGGGATCATGAGTTATAAAATGGCGGCTGCGTTGGGAAAGGTCTCCAAGACCATCAAGGTCAAGGTTTGAGACTCATGGAATGATGGGATCATGGAATTGTGGAATTGTGGAATCCAACATTGCAATCATGGAATGGCTGAGGTAGGGAAACATCTCCAAGAACATCGAGTTTGACCTCTGAAAATCCTGGGATTTTGGAATGATGGGATCATGGAGTTACAAAATGGCGGCTGGAGTTGGGAAAGGTCACCAAGACCATCAAGGTCAAGGTTTGAGACTCATGGAATGATGGGATGATGGGATGATGGAATTGTCGAATGGCTGAGGTTGGGAAAGAGCTCCAAGGACATCGAGTTTGACCTCTGAAAATCCTGGGATTTTGGAATGATGGGATCATAGAGTTACAAAATGGCGGCTGGAGTTGGGAAAGGTCTCCAAGACCATCAAGGTCAAGGTTTGAGACCCATGGAATGATGGAGCCATGGAATTGTGGAATGGCTGAAGTTGGGAAAGATCTCCAAGAACATCGAGTTCGACCTCTGAAAATCCTGGAGTTTTGGAATGATGGGGTCATGGAGTTATGGAATTACTCAGGTTGGGAAAGAGCTCCAAGAACATCGAGTTCGACCTCTGAAAATCCTGGGATTTTGGAGTTACATGGTCATGGAATTATGGAATGAGTCAGGTTGGGAAAGGTCTCCAAGAAAATCAAGTTCAAGGTTTGAAACTCATGGAATGATGGGATCATGGAATTGAGGGATGGCTGAGGTTGGCAAAGAGCTCCAAGAACATCGAGTTTGACCTCTGAAAATCCTGGGATTTTGGAATTCTGGAATGACTCAGGTTGGGAAAGGTCTCCAAGCCCATCAGGTTTGTCATTTGGGGCTCATGGAGTTATGGAATGATGGATCCATGAGATTATGGAGTCGTGGAGTTACGTGGTCATGGAATCATGGAATTCTGGGATGGCTGAGGTTGGGGAAGGTCTCCAAGAAGGTCAAGTTGTACCTTTGAGAATCGGGGAATTTTGGGGTCACGGAGCCAGGGAATTGTGGAATTGTGGAGTTACGGAATTGTGGAATCTCGGGATATTGGGATTCTGGGATCAGGGAGTGATGAAATTATGGGATCTCGGAGTTACGAGGTCATGGAGCCACTGAGGGTGGAGAAGACTCCAAGATCATCAAGTCCAACCTTTGGGAATCCTGGAATCCAGGAATTGTGGGAGTTACAGAATCGCGGAGTTACGGAATCACGGAGCCACGGACCGCTGGGATTACGGGATCACGGGAATCTGGGATCGTTCAGGTTGGAAAAGATCTCCAAGACCATCGAGCCCAAACCTTGGGAATCACGAACAGGGAATTATGGGATCAAGGAATTATGGGATGTTGGAGTCTTTGAGTCACAGGATTACGGGAATGTTGGGATAAAGAATTCCTGGAATCAATGGATCAATGGTTGGAAAAGGCCCTCAAGGCCATCAAGCCAAACCTTTGGGAATGTTGAAATTAAGGAATTACAGGAACTGGAATTTATGGGATGACGGGATCGTGGGAATGTTGGGATAACGAAATCCTGGAATTCTGGGATTGCTGAGGATGGAAACACCTCCAGGATGGTCAAGGTCAGCCTTGGAGAATCTTGGAATGACAGAATTCTGGGATCATGGAATTCTGGGATCATGGAATCACCGAGTCACGAACTGCCGGGATAACGGAATCACGGGAACACCGGGATAAGGAAATCCTGGAGTCATGGGATCACTCGGGCTGGGAAAGACGTCCAAGACCATCGAGCCAAACATTTGAGACCCCTGGAATTATGGGATGGTGGAATTATGGGATGGCGGAATTATGGGATCATGGAATCGTTGAGTCATAAATGATCGGGATAACAGAATGTTGGGATCATGGGAATATTGGGATAAGAACATTTTGGAATTGTGGGGTCACAAAGATTGGAGAAGACTTCCAGGAATGTCAAGTCCAGCCTTGGAGAATCCTGGGATCTTGGATTATGGGATCATGGAATCATTGAGTCATAAATGATCGGGATAACAGAATATTGGGATCTTTGGAATATTGGGATAAGAACATCTTGGAATGATGGGGTCACTAAGATTGGAGAAGACTTCCAAGATCGTCAAGTCCAGCCTTGGAGAATCCTGGGATCTTGGAATTTGTGATCATGGAATTCTGGGACAATGGAATCATCGAGTCATAAATTATTGGGATAACAGAATGTTGGGATAAGAACATTTTGGAATTGTGGGGTCACTTAGAATGGAGAAGACTTCCAGGAACGTCATGTCCAGCCTTGGAGAATCGTGGGATCTTGGAATTGGTGATCATGGAATCGTTGAGTCATAAATGATCGGGATAACAGAATGTTGGGATCATGGGAATATTGGGATAAGAACATTTTGGAATTGTGGGGTCACTAAGATTGGAGAAGACTTCCAGGAACGTCAAGTCCAGCCTTGGAGAATCCTGGGATCTTGGAATTGGTGATCATGGAATTCTGGGACAACGGAACCACCGAGTCACGAACTGCCGGGATAACGGAATCACGGGAACATCGGGATAAGGAAATTCTGGAAGCGCGGGATCGCTCGGCTTGGGAAAGACATCCAAGACCATCGAGCCAAACCTTTGAGACCCCTGGAATTATGGGATGGTGGAATTATGGGATGGTGGAATTATGGGATCATGGAATTGTTGAGTCATAAATGATCGGGATTGCAGAATATTTGGATTATGGGAATATTGGGATAAGAACATTTTGGAATTGTGGGGTCACTAAGATTGGAGAAGACTTCCAAGATCATCAAGTCCAGCCTTGGAGAATCCTGGGATCTTGGAATTGGTGATCATGGAATTCTGGGATAATGGAATCATTGAGTCATAAATTATTGGGATAACAGAATGTTGGGACAAGAACATCTTGGAATAATGGGGTCACTTAGAATGGAGAAGACTTCTAAGATCATCAAGTCCAGCCTTGGAGAATCCTGGGATCTTGGATTATGGGATCATGGAATCATTGAGTTAGAAATGATCGGGATAACAGAATGTTGGGATCATGGGAATATTGGGATAAGAACATTTTGGAATTGTGGGGTCACTAAGATTGGAGAAGACTTCCAAGATCGTCAAGTCCAGCCTTGGAGAATCCTGGGATCTTGGAATTGGTGATCATGGAATTCTGGGACAATGGAATTGTTGAGTCATAAATTATTGGGATAACAGAATGTTGGGATAAGAACATCTTGGAATGATGGGGTCACCTAGAATGGAGAAGACTTCCAAGATCGCAAGTCCAGCCTTGGAGAATGCTGGGATCTTGGAATTGGTGATCATGGAATTCTGGGATGATGGAATCATCGAGTCATAAATTATTGGGATAACGGGGAACTCACCAGAGGATCTGGCGCAGGTTCCCGGAGAGCCGGGAGGATCCCAGGTTGAGCTCGCGGAGGCTGGGCAGCATTCCCAACTGCCCGGCCAGGCACCGGATCCCGATGGCCGATTCCGGCGTCGGGCGCCGCACGTCCACGTTGCTGTACTGCAGCTTGAGGCTGCGCAGCTGCGGGAAGCGCGAGAGATGCGGCAGGATCACCGACAGCCCGGTCAATCCCAAATTCCGGAAGCGCAGATCCACTCTCCGCACGCAGGAGGGATCCAGCGTTTCCAGCAGGCTGACGATTCCAGCCAAGGAGAGTTTCTCCGCTTGGAACTCGCGGCACTTGAGGCGCAGCGGGCCGGCGGCGCCGCTCTGGAGGGCGTCGCGCAGGATCCCGTAGGACGTCCCGTTGACGAAGAGGTCGGCGTGGACGTCAACGCCCGGCGGTTGCGGCGCGGCGGCGGTGCCGGAACGGCCTTTGTGCCGCTTGGATCCGCGGCGTTGGAATTCCCGTTGGTGCTTGGATACCTCCACGCAAGCCTTGGCCAAAGCCACCGTGCCGGACCAGGGCGCGTTCATCCCGTCCGGAGTGCGGCCCGAGGGATCATCCGGGACTCCCGTCACGTCCAACACGCGGAGGCGGCAGGAGCTGGGGAAAATGGGGAGAAAGCGTCGGAAATGAGAAGAAATAGTCAAAAACAGGAAAAAAAAGGGGAAAAATGGGAAGAAAAAATCAAAAACAGGAAGGAGTCATCAAAAACTGGAGTAAACAATCACAGAATTGAAGGAACCATCAAAAATGGGAAGGAACCATCAAAAATGGGAAGGAACCATCAAAAAAGGGAAGAAACCATCAAAGATAAGAGGAAATCATCAAAAATGAGGTGAAACCATCAAGAAATGGAAGGAACAATCGAGAATGGGAAGAAAGCTCCAAAAACTAGAAGAAAATGATCAAAAATGGGAAGGAACCATCAAAATAGGGAACGAATCATCAAAAATAGGAGGAAACCATGAAAAATGGGAAGAAACCATCAAAACCAGAAGGAAACCATAAAAAGCGAGAAGAAACCATCAAAAACTGGAAGGAACCATCAAAAGCAGGAAGAAACCATAAAAAAGGGGAAGAAACCATCAAAAACTGGAAGGAACCAACAAAAATGGGAAGAAACCATCAAAAATGGGAAGGAACCATCAAAAATGGGAAGAAGCCATCAAGGACAGGAGGAAACCATCAGAAATGAGAAGGAACCATCAAAGAAAGGAGAAAACCATGAAAAATGAGAAGCAACCATCAAAAACATGAAGGAATCATCAAAACTAAGAAGGAACCATCAACAACAGAAGGAAACCATTAAAAATGGGAAGAAACCATCAAAACTGGGAAGGAACCATCAAAAACAGGAAGAAACCATCAAAAAGGGGAAGAAACCATCAAAAATGGGAAGGAACCACCAAAAATTGGAAGAAACCATCAAAGACAGGAGGAAACCATCGGAAACGAGAAGGAACCATCAAAGAAAGGAGAAAACCATGAAAAATGAGAAGGAACCATCAAAAACATGAAGGAACCATCAAAACTAAGAAGGAACCATCAAAAACAGGAAGAAACCATAAAAAAGGGGAAGAAACCATCAAAAATGGGAAGGAACCATCAAAAATGGGAAGAAGCCATCAAGGACAGGAGGAAACCATCGGAAATGAGAAGGAACCATCAAAGAAAGGAGAAAACCATGAAAAATGAGAAGCAACCATCAAAAACATGAAGGAATCATCAAAACTAAGAAGGAACCATCAAAAATGGGAGGAAACCATGAAAGATGGGGAGAAACCATCAAAGACAGAAGGAAACCATCAAAGACAGGAGGAAACCATCAAAAATGGGAAGAAACCATCACAAACTGGAAGGAACCATCAAAAATTGGAAGAAACCATCAAAGACGGGAGGAAACCATCAAAAATGAGAAGAAACTACCAAAACCAAGAAGAACCCATCAAACCCAAGAAGTTTCCCCAAAACCTCGCAGAAACCCCTGACATCGCCGCACGACTCGGCGAAACGGTGACGCCGCCGACCGTGACAGAACCCACCTGGAGCGGTGGCCTGCCGGCTGGAGTGTCTCTGATTGCTGTCCATGGAAAAGAGTTTTCAATCTTACAGGATGAATTACAAGCTCTGAGTGTTTGATATGAGTAATAATTAAGTGTGGCACGGGTGAAAATGTCAAATTTTAGGATTCTAAATTAGGGGTTCAGAGGGGACAAGATGGAGGAAATTGGGTGTGTCTTGTCTTTTTTCTCCTTCTTCATGCCCTCTATGTTTCACTGTAGTGTTGGCATTTTTCTGTTGGTTCAGGCTGGGGACACGCTGTTCAACGTAGGTGACAGATATTGGCACGTTATTGTAAATCCAGCACAGGTAGTTTGTGATATATAATGTTTGTAACATCCCACTGAGGGATCTTATATTGGCAATTATTGTAAATATAGCACACGTAGTTTCTGGTATATAATGTTATATTGGCACGTTATTGTAAATATAGCACATGTAGTTTGTGGTATATAATGTTACATTTGCACGTTATTGTAAATATAGCACAGGTAGTTTGTGGTATATAATGTTTGTAACACCCCACTGAGGGATCTTATATTGGCAATTATTGTAAATATAGCACACGTAGTTTTGGTATATAATGTTTACAACTTCCCACTGAGGGATGTTATATTGGCACATTATTGTAAATATAGCACAGGTAGTTTTTGGTATATAATGTTTGTTACATTGGCACGTTATTGTGAATATAGCACATGTAGATTGTGGTATATAATGTTACATTGGCACATTATTGTAAATATACCACACGTAGTTTCTGGTATATAATGTTTGTAACATCTCACTGAGGGGTGTTACATTGGCACATTATTGTAAATATAGCACATGTAATTTTTGCTATATAATGTTTGTTACATTGGCACGTTATTGTAAATATAGCACACGTAGTTTGTGATATATAATGCTACATTCACACATTATTGTAAATACATGCACGCGTAGTTTGTGGTATATAATGTTTGTAACATTATGTACCAGATATAATGTTTGTAACATTATATACCAGAAACTGGGGACTGAGTTTAGGCTGGGGACACACTGTTCAACGTAGGTGACAGATATTGGCACGTTATTGTAAATATAGCACACGTAGTTTGTGGTATATAATGTTACCTTGGCATGTTGTTGTGAATATAGCACATGTAATTTTTGGTATATAATGTTTGTTACATTGGCACGTTTTTGTGAATATAGCACACGTAGTTTGTGATAAATAATGTTACATTGGCACATTATTGCAAATATAGCACAGGTAGTTTTGGTATATAATGTTTGTAACACCCCACTGAGGGATCTTATATTGGCAATTATTGTAAATATAGCACACGTAGTTTGTGGTATGTAATGTTACATTGGCACGTTATTGTAAATATAGCACGCGTAGTTTCTCGTATATAATGTTTGTAACATCCCACTGAGGGATGTTATATTGGCACATTATTGTAAATATAGCACGTGTAGTTTGTGGTATATAATGTCACACTGGCACATTATTGTAAATATAGCACACATAGTTTGTGGTATATAATGTTTGTAACACCCCACTGAGGGATCTTATATTGGCAATTATTGTAAATATAACACACGTAGTTTCTGGTATTTAATGTTTGTAACATTATATACCATAAACTGAGGACTGGGTTTAGGCTGTTCAATGTAGGTGACAGATATTGGCACGTTATTGTAAATATAGCACACGTAGTTTGTGATATATAATGTTATATTGGCAGGTTATTGTAAATATAGCACATGTAGTTCTGGTATATAATGTTATATTGGCACGTTGTTGTGAATATAGCACACGTAGTTTGTGGTATATAATGTTATATTGGCACATTATTGTAAATATAGCACAGGTAGTTTCTGGTATATAATGTTACATTAGCACGTTATTGTAAATATAGCACATGTAGCTTGTGGTATATAATGTTACATTGGCACGTTATTGTGAATATAGCACAGGTAGTTTCTGGTATATAATGTTTGTAACATCCCACTGAGGGATGTTATATTGGCAATTATTGTAAATATAGCACACGTAGTTTCTGGTATATAATGTTTGCAACATTATATACCATAAACTGAGGACTGGGTTTGGGCTGTTCAATGTAGGTGACAGATATTGGCACGTTATTGTAAATATAGCACACGTAGTTTGTGATATATAATGTTACATTGGCACGTTATTGTGAATATAGCACACGTAGTTTCTGGGATATAATGTTACATTGGCACGTTATAGTAAATATACCACACGTAGTTTCTGGTATATAATGTTATATTGGCACATTATTGTAAATATAGCACAGGTAGTTTCTGGTATTTAATGTTAAATTGGCACGTTATTGTAAATATAGCACATGCAGTTTTTGGTGTAATTAAAAACATGAAGGAACCATCAAAACTAAGAAGGAGCCATCAAAAATGGGAGGAAACCATAAAAAAGGGCAAGAAACCTTTAAAAACTGGAAGGAACCATCAAAAATGGGAGGAAACCATCAAAAGCAAGAAGGAACCATCAAAAACAGGAACAAGCCATCAAAGGCAAGAGGAAACCATCAAAAATGCAAAGAAACCATCAGAAATGGGAAGAAACCATCAAAACCAAGAGGGAATCATCAAAAATGGGAGGAAACCATGAAAAACATGAAGGAACCATCAAAAATGGGAGGAAACCATCAAAAATTAGAAGGAACCATCAGGAATGGGAAGAAACCATCAAAGACGTGTGGAAACCATTGAAAACGAGAAGGAACCACCAAAAATGGGAAGAAACCATCAAAAATGGGAAGGAACCATCAAAAATGGGAAGGAACCATCAAAGACGGGAGGAAACCATTGGAAACGAGAAGGAACCATCAAAAATGGGAAGAAACCATCAAAAATTGGAGGAAACCATCAAAGACAGGAGGAAACAATCGGAAACAAGAAGAAACCATCAAAAATGGCAAGAAACCACCAAGACTGAGAAGAAACCATCAAAAATGGTAAGGAACCATCAGAAATGAGAAGGAACCATCAAAAATGGGAGGAAACCATGAAAATGGGAAGGAACCATGAAAATGGCATCGATGAAACCATCAAAAATGGCAAGGAACCATCAAAAATGGGAAGGAACCATCAAAGACGGGAGGAAACCATCGAAACCGAGAAGGAACCATCAAAAGTTGGAAGCAACCATTAAAGCCAAGAAGGAACCACCAAAAATGAGAAGAAACCATCAAAAATGGGAAGGAACCATCAGAAATGGGAGGAAACCATGAAAAATGGGAAGGAACCATCAAAAACTGGAGGAAACCATCGGAAACGAGATGAAACCATCACAAATGGGAAGAAACCATGAAAATGGGAAGGAACGATGAAAAATGGAAAGAAACCATGAAAATGGCATCGATGAAACCATCAAAAATGGGAAGGAACCACCAAAACCAAGAAGAAACCATTAAAAATTGGAAGAAGCCACCAAAAATGGGAAGAACTCAACAAAACCAAGAAGAAACCATCAAAACCTGGAGGAACCCATCAAAACCAAGAAGAACCCATCCAAGCCAAGAAGTTCCCCCCAAAACCTCGCCCGTGCCGGAACCCACCTGGAGCGGCGTCCGGGCTCCTCCAGCTGCCGGCGCAGCTGCGCCACCACGGCCAGGATGACGGCCTGGAGGCAGAGCTTGCAGGGGTGGTCCCACAGCAGCCCCAACCATCAAAACCAGAAGGAAAACCCATCAAAAATGGGAGGTAACCACCAAGAATGAGAAGGAACCATCAAAGATGGGAAGAAACCATCAAAACCAAGAAGGAGCCATCAAAAACAGGTGGAAAGAAACCATCAAAATGGGAAGAAATTATCAAAAATGGGAAGGAACCATCAAAACTGGGAGGAAACCATCAGAAAACTAAGAAGAAACCATCAAAAATGGGAGGAAACGATCAAAAATGGCAAGGAACCATCAAAGACAGGAGGAAAGCATTGAAAACGGGAGGAAACCATGAAAACTAAGAAGGAACCATCAAAAGTTGGAAGAAACCTTTAAAGCCAAGAAGGAACCACCAAAAATGACAAGAAACCACCAAGAATTAGAAGGAACCATCAAAACTGAGAGGAAACCTTCAAAAATGGGAAGGAACCATCAAAGACGGGAGGAAACCATCGGAAACGAGAAGGAACCATCAAAGATGAGTGGAAACCATCGGAAACGGGAAGAAACCATCAAAACTAAGTAGAAACAATCAAAAATGGGAAGAAACCATCAAATCCAAGAAGGAACCACCAAAAATGGCAAGGAAACCACCAAGAATGGGAAGAAACCATCAAAAATGGGAAGAAACCATCAAAAATGGGAGGAAACCTCGGAAACGAGAAGGAACCATCAAAAATGGGAAGAAACCATGAAAATGGGAAGGAACCATGAAAATGGGAAGGAACCATGAAAATGGCATCTATGAAACCATCAAAAATGGGAAGGAACCATCCAAACCAAGAAGAAACCATCAAAAATTAGAAGAAACCATCAAAAATTGGAAGAAACCACCAAAAATGGGAACCCACCTGGAGCGGCGTCCGGGCTCCTCCAGCTGCCGGCGCAGCTGCGCCACCACGGCCAGGATGACGGCCTGGAGGCAGAGCTTGCAGGGGTGGTCCCGCAGCAGCCCCAACCATCAAACCCAGAAGGAAAAACCATCAAAAATGGGGGGAAACCATAAAAACCAAGAGGAGACCACCAAGAATGAGAAGGAACCATCAAAGATGGGAAGAAACCATCAAAACTAAGAAGGAGCCATCAAAAATTGGAAGAAACCATCAAAATGGGAAGGAACCATGAAAAATGGCATTGATTAAACCATCAAAAATGGGAAGGAACCATCAAAAATGGGAGGAAACCATCAAAGACAGGAGGAAACCATCGGAAACGAGACGGAACCATCAAAAATGGGAAGGAACCATCAAAAATTAGAGGAAACCATCAAAGACAGGAGGAAACCATTGGAAACGAGACAGAACCATCAAAAATGGGAAGGAACCATCAAAGACGGGTGGAAACCATCGGAAACGAGAAGGAACCATCAAAAATTGGAAGAAACCATGAAAATGGGAAGGAACCATGAAACTGGCATCTATGAAACCATCAAAAATGGCAAGAAACCATCAAAACCATGAAGGAACCACCAAAACTGAGAAGATATCACCAAAAACGAGAAGGAACTATCAAAATTGGGAAGGAACCATCAAAGATGGGTGGAAACCATCGAGAATGGGAAGAAACCATAAAAAATGGGAAGGAACCATCAGAAATGGGAGGAAACCATCAAAGATAGGAGGAAACCATCGGAAGTGAGAAGGAACCATCAAAAATGGGAAGGAACCATGAAAATGGCATCTATGAAACCATCAAAAATGGGAAGAAACCATCAAAACCAAGAAGAACCCATCCAAGCCAAGAAGTTTCCCCCAAAACCTCGCCCGTGCCGGAACCCACCTGGAGCGGCGTCCGGGCTCCTCCAGCTGCCGGCGCAGCTGCGCCACCACGGCCAGGATGACGGCCTGGAGGCAGAGCTTGCAGGGGTGGTCCCGCAGCAGCCCCAACCATCAAAACCAGAAGGAAAAACCATCAAAAATGGGAGGAAACCATCAAAACCAAGAGGAAACCACCAAGAATGAGAAGGAACCATCGAAGATGGGAAGGAACCATCAAAACTAAGAAGGAGCCATCAAAAATTGGAAGAAACCATCAAAATGGGAAGGAACCATGAAAAATGGCATTGATGAAACCATCAAAAATGGGAGGAAACCATTGAAAATGGGAAGGAACCATCAAAAATGGGAGGAACCATCAAAGACAGGAGGAAACCATCGGAAATGGGAAGGAACCATCAAAAATGGGAAGGAACCATCAAAAATTGAAGGAAACCATCAAAGACGGGAGGAAACCATCGAAAATGAGAAGGAACCATCAAAAGTTGGAAGAAACCATCAAAATGGGAATGAGCCATGAAAAATGGCATTGATGAAACCATCAAAAATGGGAAGGAACCATCAAAAATGGGAAGGAACCATCAAAAATGGGCGGAAACCATCAAAGACAGGAGGAAACCATCGGAAATGAGAAGGAACCATCAAAAATGGGAAGGAACCATCGGAAATGGGAAGGAACCATCAAAAATTGGAGGAAACCATCAAAGACAGGAGGAAACCATCGGTAACGAGAAGGAACCATCAAAAATGGGGAGGAACCACCAAAACTGAGAAGATACCACCAATAACGAGAAGGAACTATCAAAAATGGGAAGGAACCATCAAAGATGGGAAAGAACCATCAAAAACTGGTAGATACAATCAAAAATGGCAAGGAACCATCAAAAATGGGAGAAAAAACCATCAAAGACAAGAAGAAGCTACCAAAACCAAGAGGAACCCATCAAAACCAGGAAAGCACCACCAAAACCCAGAACAAACCCCTGTCATCACCGAACGAGTGGGAAGAACGTCGACAACGGTGCCGGAACCCACCTGGAGCGGCGTCCGGGCTCCTCCAGCTGCCGGCGCAGCTGCGCCACCACGGCCAGGATGACGGCCTGGAGGCAGAGCTTGCAGGGGTGGTCCCGCAGCAGCCCCAACCATCAAAACCAGAAGGAAAAACCATCAAAAATGGGAAGGAAACCATCAAAACCGAGAGGAAACCACCAAGAATGAGAAGGAACCATCAAAAATGGGAAGGAAGAATCAAAACCAAGAAGGAACGATTAAAAATTGGAAGAAACCATCAAAATGGGAAGGAACCATGAAAAATGGCATTGATGAAACCATCAAAAATGGGAAGGAACCATCAAAGACAGGAGGAAACCATCGGAAATGAGAAGGAACCATCAAAAATGGGAAGGAACCATCGGAAATGGGAAGAAACCATCAAAACTAAGTAGAAACAATCAAAAATGGGAGGAAACCATCAAAACCATGAAGGAACCACCAAAAGTGAGAAGACACCACCAATAACAAGAAGGATCTATCAAAAATGGGAAGGAACCATTAATAATGGGAGGAAGCCATCAAAGACAAGAGGAAACCATCGGAAACAAGAAGAAACCATCAAAAATGGGAAGAAACCATGAAAATGGGAAGGAACCATCAAAACTAAGAAGGAACCATCAAAACTAAGAAGGAACCACCAAAACTGAGAAGATACCACCAATAACCCAGAAGGAACTATCAAAAATGGGAAGGACCATCAAAAATGGGAGGAAACCATTGAAGACAAGAGGAAACCATCGGAAACGAGAAGAAACCATCAAAAGTTGGAAGAAACCATCAAAGCCAAGAAGAAACCACCAAAAATGGCAAGAAACCACCAAAAGTGGGAAGAAACCATCAAAAATGGGAAGGAACCATCAAAAACGGGAGGAAACCATCGGAAACGAGAAGGAACCATCAAAAATGGGAAGAAACCATGAAAATGGGAAGGAACCATGAAAATGGCATCTATGAAACCATCAAAAATTGGAAGAAACCACCAAAACTGGGAACCCACCTGGAGCGGCGTCCGGGCTCCTCCAGCTGCCGGCGCAGCTGCGCCACCACGGCCAGGATGACGGCCTGGAGGCAGAGCTTGCAGGGGTGGTCCCGCAGCAGCTCCTGCCGGCCCAGCAGGCGCTGCAGGTGCAGCACCGGGAAGGGCCACGCGCTCACCAGCTCCCGCAGCACCAGCGGCCGCCCGTCCAAGAAGGCGGCTTGGAAGAGGACGGGGTAGAGGTGGGCGGGCGGCGCCGGTAACGCCGGCAGAGGGTGGCGGGCGACGATGCGGCGGGCGCAGAGGAAGAGGAGGGAGTCGGAATATCCCGGTGGGAATTGGCGCTTGGGGACGCACGGTGGGATTTGGGTGGAGCGGCCGCGCGCCGGGGCCATGGCGGCGTCGGCGGGAGTCGGGAATTTCGGTGGGTTTTCGGCGATTCCGGTGACTTTTTGGTGATTTTTCGGCGATTCCGGCGACTTTTTGGTGATTTTTCAGTGGCGGCGTTGAGGGGAGCTGGAGGAGAAACGGGAGATGAGATGTGAGGCGCTAAAATTGGGGTCTGGAGGGTCACCAAGTGATTTGCAACCCCAAAATCTGTCCAAAAACCCCAAAATCAGTTCAGGGAAACCAAAACCAGCCCGGGAACCCCATAAGAACTTTGAGCAACCCTAAACCAGTCCAAAAACCCAAAATCAGTGCAGAGAAACCAAAATCTGTCCAAAAACCCCAAAATCAGTTCAGGGAAACCAAAACCAGCCCGGGAACCCCATAAGAACTTTGGGAACCCCTAAACCAGTCCCAAAACCCCAAAATCAGTTCAGGGAAACCAAAACCAGCCCGGGAACCCCATAAGAACTTTGGGCAACCCTAAACCAGCCCAAAAACCCCAAAATCAGTTCAGGGAAACCAAAATCACTCCAAAAACCCCAAAAGCGGTCAAGGGAACCTAAAACCTGACCAGGAACCCCAAAACCAGCCCCAGGATCCCAAACCAGTACAAAAACCCCCAAACCAGTTCAGGGATCCCCAAACCAGTACAAAAACCCCAAAATCAGTTCAGGGAACCCAAACCAGTCCAAAAACCCCAAAAATCGGTTCATGGAAACCAAAACCAGCCCGGGAATCCCATAAGAAGTTTGGGCAACCTTAAACCAGCCCAAAAACCCCAAAATCAGTTCAGGGAAACCAAAACCAGTCCAAAAATCCCAAAATCAGTTCAGGGAAACCAAAACCAGCCCGGGAACCCCATAAGAACTTTGGGAACCCCTAAACCAGTCCCAAAACCCCAAAATCAGTTCAGGGAAACCAAAACCAGCCCAGGAACCCCATAAACAGTTTGGGCAACCCTAAACCAGCCCAAAAACCCCAAAATCAGTGCAGAGAAACCAAAATCACTCCAAAAACCCCAAAAGTGGTCAAGGGAACCTAAAACCTGTCCAGGAACCCCAAAACCAGCCCAGGACCCCAAAACAGTACAAAAACCCCAAAAACATTTCAGGGACCCCAAAACCCATCCCAGGAACCCCAAATCCAGTCCAAAAATCCCAAATCCAGTCCAGGGATCTCCAAACCAGTCCAAAAATCCCAAAACCAGTTCAGGGATCCCCAAACCAGTCCAAAACCCCAAAACCAGTGCAGGGACCCCAAAACCAGTCCAGGGACCCCCAAACCAGTCCAGGGACCCCAAACCAGTCAAAAAATCCCAAAACCAGTTCAGGGATCCCCAAATCCAGTCCAGGGACCCCAAACCAGTCCAAAAATCCCAAAACCAGTCCAGGGACCCCAAATCCAGTCCAAGGACCCACAAACGAGTCCAGGAACCCCAAACCTGTGTCAGGAACCCCAAAACCAGTCCAGAGTCCCCAAATCCAGTCCAGAGTCCCCAAATCCAGTCCAAGGACCCCAAAACCAGTCCAGGGACCCCAAACCAGTCCAAAAATCCCAAAACCAGTTCAGGGGTCCCCTAAACCAGTCCAAGGACCCCCAAACCAGTCCAGGGATCCCAAATCCAGTTCAGGGACCCCAAAACCAGTCCAGGGACCCCCAAACCAGTCCAGGGATCCCAAATCCAGTTCAGGGACCCCAAAACCAGTCCAGGGACCCCAAATCCACTCCAGGGATCCCCAAACCAGTTCAGGGACCCCAAATCCACTCCAGAGACCCCAAACAAGTCCTGGGACCCCAAATCCAGTCCAGAGACCCCAAATTTAGTCCAGAGACCCCAAAACCAGTTCAGGGACCCCAAATCCACTCCAGCGACCCCAAATCCACTCCAGAGTCCCCAAAACCAGTCCAGGGACCCCAAATCCACTCCAGAGACCCCAAATCCATTCCAGAGACCCCAAATCCAGCCCAGGGACCCCAAATCCAGTCCAGGGACCCCAAATCACCCCAGGGACCCCCAAACAAATCCAGGGACCCCAAACCAGTCCAGGGACCCCAAAACCAACCCAGGGACCCCAAATCCAGTTCAGGGACCCCAAATCCAGTCCAGGGACCCCCAAACCAGTCCTGGGACCCCAAATCCAGTCCAGGGACCCCCAAACCAGTCCAGGGACCCCAAATTCACTCCAGGGACCCCAATCCACTCCAGGGACCCCAAAACCAGTCCAGGAACCCCAAATCCAGTCCAGAGACCCCAAACCAGTCCAGGGACCCCCAAACCAGTCCAGGGACCCCAAATCCAGTCCAGGGACCCCAAACCAGTCCAGGGACCCCAAAACCAGTCCAGGGACCCCAAATCCACTCCAAGGATCCCCCAAATCCAGTCCAGGGACCCCAAATCCACTCCAGAGACCCCAAATCCGGTCCAGGGACCCCCAAATCCAGTCCAGAGACCCCCAAACCACCCCAGGGACCCCAAAACCAGTCCAGAGATCCCCCAAACCAGTCCAGGGACCCCAAATTCAGTCCAGGGACCCCAAACCAGTCCAGGGACCCCAAACCAGTCCAGAGACCCCAAATCCAGTCCAGAGACCCCAAATCCAGTCCAGGGACCCCAAATCCAGTTCAGGGACCCCAAAACCACTCCAGAGACCCCAAATCCAGTCCAGAGACCCCAAATCCAGTTCAGGGACCTCCAAATCTGTCCAAAAACCCCAAAACCAGTCCAAAAACCCCATAACCACTTTGGGCACCCCTAACCAGTCCAGAAACCCCCAAATCCAGTCCAGGGATCCCCTAAACCAGTTCAGGGACTCCAAAACCAGTCCAGGGACCCCAAATCCACTCCAGAGACCCCAAATCCACTCCAGCGACCCCAAAACCAGTCCAGGGACCCCAAAACCAGTCCAGGGACCCACAAACCTGTTCAGGGACCCCAAAACCAGTCCAGGGACCCCAAATCCACTCCAGAGACCCCAAATCCACTCCAGCGACCCCAAAACCAGTCCAGGGACCCCAAATCCAGTCCAGGGACCCCAAATCCAGTCCAGGGACCCCAAATCCAGTCCAGGAACCCCAAACCTGTGCCAGGGACCCCAAATCCAGTCCAGGGACCCCAAATCCACTCCAGGGACCCCCAAACCAGTTCAGAGACCCCCAAAACCAGTTCAGAGACCCCAAACCAGTCCAGGGACCCCAAATCCAGTCTAGAGACCCCAAATCCACTCCAGCATCCCCTAAACCAGTCCAGGGATCCCCTAAACCAGTCCAAGGACCCCAAACCAGTCCAGGGACCCCAAATCCAGTCCAGAGACCCCAAACCAGTCCAGGGACCCCAAATCCACTCCAGAGCCCCCAAATCCAGTCCAAGGACCCCAAATCCACTCCAGGGACCCCAAATCCAGTCCAGGGACCCCAAACCAGTCCAAAAATCCCAAAACCAGTTCAGGGACCCCAAATCCAGTCCAGGGACCCCAAAACCAGTCCAGGGACCCAAAATCCACTCCAGGGACCCCAAATCCACTCCAGCGACCCCAAATCCAGTCCAGGGACCCCAAACCAGTTCAGGGAACCCCAAACCAGTCCAAAAACCCCCAAACCAGTCCAGAGATCCCCTAAACCAATCCAGCGTCCCCAAAACCACTCCAGGGACCCCAAAACCAGTCCAGGGACCCCAAATCCACTCCAGAGTCCCCAAATCCAGTCCAGGGACCCCAAATCCAGTCCAGGGACCCCCAAACCAGTCCAGAGACCCCAAATCCACTCCAGAGTCCCCAAATCCAGTCCAGAGACCCCAAATCCAGTCCAAAAATCCCAAAACCAGTTCAGGGACCCCAAATCCACTCCAGAGTCCCCAAATCCAGTCCAGGGACCCCAAATCCAGTCCAGGGACCCCAAATCCACTCCAGAGATCCACTAAACCAGTCCAGGGACCCCAAAACCAGTCCAGCAACCCCAAAACCAGTCCGGGGACCCCAAATCCACTCCAGGGACCCCAAAACCACTCCAGGGACCCCAAACCAGTCCAGGGACCCCCAAATCTGTCCAGAGACCCCAAATCCAGTCCAGGGACCCCAAATCCACTCCAGGGACCCCAAATCCACTCCAGGGACCCCAAATCCAGTTCAGGGACCCCAAATGCACCCCAGAGACCCCAAAACCAGCCCAGGGACCCCAAATCCACTCCAGCGACCCCAAATCCAGTCCAGGGACCCCAAATCCACTCCAGGGACCCCAAATCCACTCCAGGGACCCCAAATCCAGTCCAGGGACCCCAAATCCAGTCCAGAGACCCCAAATCCAGTCCAGGGACCCCAAAACCAGTCCAGGGACCCCAAAACCAGTTCAGGAACCCCAAATCCAGTCCAGGGACCCCAAATCCACTCCAGAGTCCCCAAATCCAGTCCAAAAACCCCAAAACCACTCCAGAGACCCCAAATCCAGTCCAGGGACCCCAAAACAAGTCCAGAGACCCCAAATCCAGTCCAGGGACCCCAAAACCAGTCCAGAGACCCCAAAACCAGTCCAGGGACCCCAAAACCAGTCCAGAGACCCCAAAACCACTCCAGAGACCCCAAATCCAGTCCAAGGATCCCCAAAATCAACTCCAGGGACCCCAAACCTGTGCCAGGAACCCCAAATCCAGTCCAGGGACCCCAAACCAGTTCAGGGACCCCAAAACCAGTTCAGGGACCCCAAATCCACTCCAGAGACCCCAAAACCAGTCCAGGGACCCCAAATCCAGTCCAGGGACCCCAAATCCAGTCCAAAAACCCCAAATCCAGTCCAGAGACCCCTAAAGCAGCCCCAAAACCCCCAAACCAGTTCAGGGATCCCCAAACCAGTTCAGGGACCCCAAAACCAGTCCAAGGACCCCAAATCCACCCCAGGGACCCCCAAACCACCCCAAGGACGCCCCAACTTCCCCCAAATCCCCCCCCGAGACCCCCAAACCTTTCACGGAACTCCCCAAAATCCCCCCTAAACCAATCCCAGCGACCCCCGCCCCAAAACCCCCCTCAGGGACGTCCCTAAATCAACCCCAAGAACCCCAAAACTCAAATCCCCCCACAGGGACCCCCCAAAATCCCCCTCAGGACTCTCCAAATCCCGCCCGTTCCTCCCTCACGCTCCGTCCCATCCTCCCCAAACCCCCCCGGGACCCCTCCGGAAACCCCCAAAACCCCCTCAAGCAGCGCCCCCGGATCCCCTAAAACCCTCCGGGGTCCCCCCAAATCCCGGGACCCCTCCCCGGGACCCCCCGAACCCCCAAAATCGCCGCGGGGCTCCCCCCAACATGGCGCCCCCCACTCACCTCCCTCCTGAGGCCCCCGCCCGCCCTGTCCGTACGGCGGCGCCGCCTCAGCCAATCAGCGCGCGGGATGCGCCCTGGGGGCGGGGATTCAATGCGTGATTGGTTCTGCTAGATGTCGGTCAAAGCGTATCGCGGCGGTGATTGGTTGGGGGTGTGGGCGGGGTTTTGGAGGGGAGGTGATGGTCATTGGTGGGTTTTGCTGTCGATCAGGGATTTCTGTGTTTCTATTGGTTGGTGGGAGGATGGAGCGGGAGGTTCGCGTTTGAGGGGAGTTTGTGTGGATTGGCGATCCCAAATCCCAAATCCCGATCCCAAATCCCGATCCCAAATCCCAAATCCCAAATTCCGATCCCAAATCCCAAATCCCGATCCCAAATCCCAAATCCCAAATACCAAATCCCAAATCCCAAATTCCGATCCCAAATCCCGATCCCAAATCCCAAATTCCGACCCCAAATTCCAAATCCCAAATCCCGATCCCAAACCCCGATCCCAAATCCCAAATCCCAAATCCAACTTCCCAAACCCCAAATCCCAAATCCCGATCCCAAATCCTAAACCCCGATCCCAAATCCCGATCCCAAATCCCAAAAATTTCCTCCTCATATCCCAAAAATTCCCAAAAATTCCCAAACCCCCCCAAAAATTCCCCAAAATTCCCTCAAATTCCCAAAAATTCCTAAAAATTACCAAAAATTCCCGCTCCCATCCCAAAATTTCAAAAAAATCCCAAAACTTCCCACTTCCCATCCCAAAAATTCCCAAAACCTCCACAAAAATTCCCAAATATTCCCCCAAATTCCCCTCCCAAAAATTCCCAAAATTTCCCAAAAATTCCCCAAAATTCTCTCTTGCCATCCCAAAAATTCCCAGAAATTCCCAAAAATTCCCAGAAATTCCCAAAATTCCCTCCTCCCATCCCAAAAATTCCCATCCCACAAATTCCCCCAAATTCCCAAAACTTCCCAAAACCTCTCAAAAATTCCCCAAAATTCCCCAAAATTCTCATAACTTCCCAAACCCTCCCATAAATTCCCCAAAATTCCCCAAAATTCCCTCTTCCATCCCAAATATTTCCAAAAATTCCCAAAATCTCCCAAAAATTCCCCAAAATTCCCATTTGCCATCCCAAAAATTCCCAAAAATTCCCCAAAATTCCCCAAAATTCCCCAAAAATTCCCAAAAATTCCCTCCTCCCATCCCAAAAATTCCCCAAAATTCCTGCCCCATTCCAAAAATGGCCAACACCTCCCAAAAATTCCCATTTCCCATCCCAAAAAATCCCAAAAATTCCCCAAAATTCCCTTTTCCCATCCCAAAAATTCCCAAAAATTCCCCCAAAATTCACAAAAATTCCCTCTTTGCATCCCAAAAATTCCCCAAAATTCCTAAATTCCCCAAAATTCCCAAATTCCCCAAATTCCCATCCCAAAACTCGGGGCTCCTGGGATTTTCCGTCGGGTTTTTATTCACACGGGTCGGGGCGGCCGCAGCCCCAAAAAAATCCAAAATTCCATTTTGGGGGGAAACAGCCCAAAAATCGGGAAAATTCCCGAAAATTCCCGGGAAAAATCCCGTCCCTTTACATTTTCATTTTTTTAATTTTAATTTTTATTTTATTATTTTATTTTTATTTCTTATTATTTTTATTTTTATTTATATTTTTAATTTATTTTTATTTTTATTTTTGTTTTTATTTTTGTTTTTATTTTTAAATGTCTATTTTTATTTTTATTTTTATTTGTATTTTTATTTTTTAAGTTTCTAATTATTTAATTTTTATTTTTTTATTTTATTTTATTTTATTTTATTTTCATGTTCATTTTTATTTTTATTTTTATTTTTATTTTTATTTTTATTTTTATTTTTATTTCTATTTTTATTTCTATTTTAATTTCATTTTATTTTCATTTTTATTTTTATTTTTATTTTTATTTCCATTTCCATTTCCATTTTTATTTTATTTCCATTTCCATTTTTATTATTTATTTTCATTTTATTTCCATTTCCATTTTTATTTTATTTCCATTTCCATTTTTATTTTTATTTTTATTTCCATCTCCTTTCAACAACAATAAATAAAACCCGCGAGGTTTTTAACAAAAAAAAAAATTAAACTTAAACCCCCCAAAAAAATAAAATTAACCCCAAAAAACCAATTAAAAACAGAGGAAAGAGGGCGGCAATTAATTAATCCATTAATTAATTAAGGGCTAATTAACAATTAATGAGGGGGTTTCCCCCGGCAGTGAGCGGAGCGGGGGGGGGCGGAGCCAACTTGGCCACGCCCACCCCGATTTGAGGCCACGCCCACCTCCAATCTAGCCACGCCCACCTCAACTTGGCCACGCCCACAAGTTGGCCACGCCCACTTGAATTGGTCACGCCCACCTCAACTTGGCCACGCCCACCGAAGTTGGAGGCTCCACCCCCAGTTTGGCCACGCCCACCTTGGTGACCCCAAATTTTGGGGACCCCCACCCAAATTTTTGGGGACCCCAAATTTTGGGGACCGTCCCCACCTTGGTGACCCCATTTTGGGGACCCCCACCCAAATTTTGGGGACCTCCACCCTAACTTGGGGACCTCCACCCTAATTTGGGGACCCCAAATTTTGGGGACCGTCCCCACTTTGGTGACCCCAAATTTTGGGGACCCCAAATTTTGGGGACATCACCCATGGGACCCCCACCCTAATTTTGGTGACCCCAAATTTTGGGGACCATCTCCACCTTGGTGACCCCAAATTTGGGGACCCCTACCCAAATTTTGGGGACCCCCACCCTAAATTTGGGGACCATCCCCGTCTTGGTGACCCCATTTTGGGGACCCCCACCCAAATTTTGGTAACCCCAAATTTTGGGGACCCCCACCCCAATTTTGGGGACCCCATTTTGGGGACATCACCCATGGGACCACCTATGGGACCCCCCAAATTTTGGGCACGCCCACCCCCAATTTGACCACGCCCACCCCCAATTTTGGCCACGCCCACTCCAATTTGGCCACGCCCACCCCAATTTGACCACGCCCACCCGAATTTGGGGACCCCAAATTTGGGGAGTTTTGGGGTCACCATGGGGGGACCTGGAGAAGGTTTGGGGTGACCAAAGGTGGGACCTGGAGGAGATCGAGGAGAACCAAGGTGGGACCCAGAAGGACCAGGAGAAGATGATGGACCCCAAAATATCTCTGGGACTTCATGGTGGACACCAAGATGGACCCAGGAGTTGATGGTGGACCCCAAGATGGACCTCATGGAGATCCAGGAGAAGATGGTGGACCCCATGATGGACCCCAGGAGAACCAGGAGGAGATGATGGACCCCATGATGGACCCAGGAGTTGATGGTGGACCCCAAGATGGGTCCAAAAGGACCAGGAGGAGATGATGGACCCCATGATGGACCTCATGGAGATCCAGGAGGAGATGGTGGACCCCAAGATGGACCCAGGAGTTGATGGTGGACACCAAGATGGGTCCAGAAGGAGATGATGGACCCCATGATGGACCCCATGGAGATCCAGGAGTTGATGGTGGACACCAAAATGGACCCAGAAGGACCAGGAGGAGATGATGGACACCAAGATGGACCCCATGGAGATCCAGGAGGAGATGGTGGACCCCAGAATGTCTCCAGAACTTGATGGTGGACCCCAAGATGGACCCCATGGAGATCCAGGAGAAGATGGTGGACCCCATGATGGACTCAGGAGTTGATGGTGGACCCCAGGAGAACCAGGAGGAGATGGTGGACCCCATGATGGACCTCATGGAGAACCAGGAGAAGATGGTGGACCCCAAAATATCTCTGGGACTTCATGGTGGACCCCAAGATGGACCCAGGAGTTGATGGTGGACCCCAAGATGGACCTCATGGAGATCCAGGAGGAGATGGTGGACCCCATGATGGACCTCATGATGGACCTCATGGAGATCCAGGAGGAGATGATGGACCCCAAAATGGCTCCAGGAGTTGATGGTGGACACCAAGATGGACCCAGGAGTTGATGGTGGACCCCAGGAGAACCAGGAGAAGATGATGGACCCCAAAATATCTCTGGGAGTTGATGGTGGACCCCAAGATGGACCCCAGGAGAACCAGGAGGAGATGATGGACCCCATGATGGACCTCATGGAAATCCAGGAGGAGATGATGGACCCCATGATGGACCCAGGAGTTGATGGTGGACACCAAGATGGACCCAGGAGAAGGTGGTGGACCCCAGGAGAAGCAGGAGGAGATGATGGACCCCATGATGGACCTCATGGAGATCCAGGAGATGGTGGACCCCATGATGGACCTCATGGAGAACCAGGAGAAGATGATGGACCCCAAAATGGACCTCATGGAGATCCATGAGGATGGACAATCGGCCACCACCACCCCCACCTGGGCCACCACTCCATGGGGACCTCCATGGAGACCTCCAGGTCCTTTCCCTGGTGACAATGGTCACTGTGGTCCTCTGGTGTCCACCTGAACTTCTCCAACCTCCCCAACTCCATGGAGACCCCCCAGAGCTGAGATGTTCCTCATGATGTTCCTCATGACGGCCAGAAGGTCGGGATGGACCTCAGGGACTTCTCCTTGGCCAGGTGGGAAGGGACGGAGACAATCCAGGTCTTGGTGGAGATGGAGATCACAACATGGTGGAGATGGAGCCCACCATGTGGAGAAGAACCTCATGGACCTCCTGGTTCTTGGTGGAGATGGAGCTCCTGACATGGTGGAGAACCTCATGGACCTCCTGGTTCCTGGTGGAGATGGAGATCTCAACATGGTGGAGATGGATCCCACCACGTGGTGAAGAACCTCATGGACCTCCTGGTTCTTGGTGGAGATGGATCTCCAGACATGGAGAAGAACCTCATGGACCTCCTGGTTCCTGGTGGAGATGGAGCTCACATGGACCTCCTGGTTCTTGGTGGACATGAAGCTCACCACGTGGTGGAGATGGAGCCCACCACGCGCTGAAGAACCTCATGGACCTCCTGGTTCCTGATGGAGATGGAGTCCACCACGTGGTGGAGAACCTCACGGACCTCCTGGTTCTTGGTGGAGATGGAGCCCACCACGTGGTGGAGAACCTCACGGACCTCCTGGTGGTTCCTGGTGGAGATGGAGCTCCTGACATGGTGAAGAACCTCATGGACCTCCTGGTTCCTGGTGGAGATGGAGATCTCAACATGGTGGAGATGGAACCCACCACGTGGTGGAGATGGATCCCACCACACGGTGGAGAACCTCATGGACCTTTTGGTTCTTGGTGGAGATGGAGCTCCTGACATGGTGGAGAACCTCATGGATCTCCTGGTTTGGTTCTTGGTGGAAATGGAACCCACCACGTGGTGAAGAACCTCATGGACCTCCTGGTTCCTGGTGGAGATGGAGATCTCAACATGGTGGAGATGGACATCACAACGTGGTGGAGAACCTCAGGGACCTTCTGGTTCCTGGTGGGGATGGAGCTCCTGACATGGTGGAGAACCTCATGGACCTCCTGGTTCTTGTGAAGATGGAGCCCACCACGTGGAGAAGAACCTCAAGGACCTCCTGGTTCTTGGTTGAGATGGAGCCCACCAGATGGAGAAGAACCTCATGGACCTCCTGGTTCCTGGTGGAGATGGAGCTCACCATGTGGTGAAGAACCTCTTGGTGGAGATGGAGCTCCTAACAAGGTGGAGAACCTCATGGACCTCCTGGTTCCTGGTGGAGATGGAGCTCACCACGTGTGGTGGAGATGGAGCCCACCACGTGGTGGAGAACCTCATGGACCTCCTGGTTCTTGGTGGACATGGAGCTGCTGACATGGTGGACAACCTCATGGACCTCCTGGTTCCTGGTGGAGATGGAGCTCCTAACATGGTGGAGATGGAGCCCACCATGTGTGGTGGAGATGGAGCCCACCACATGGTGGAGAACCTCATGGACCTCCTGGTTCTTGTAAAGATGGAGCTCACATGGACCTCCTGGTTCTTGGTGGAGATGGAGCTCCTGACATGGTGGAGAACCTCATGGACCTCCTGGTTCTTGTGGACATGGAGCCCACCACGTGGAGAAGAACCTCAGGGACCTCCTGGTTCTTGTGAAGATGGAGCTCACCAGATGGTGAGGAACCTCATGGACCTCCTGGTTCCTGGTGGAGATGGAGCTCCTGATATGGTGAAGAACCTCATGGACCTCCTGGTTCCTGGTGAAGATGGAACCCACCACGTGGTGGAGATGGAGCCCACCACGTGGTGAAGAACCTGATGGACCTCCTGGTGTGGTTCTTGGTGGAAATGGAACCCACCACGTGGTGAAGAACTTCATGGACCTCCTGGTTCTTGGTGGAGATGGAGCTCACATGGACCTCCTGGTTCCTGGTGGAGATGGAGCTCCCGACATGGTGAGGAACCTTAGACCTCCTGGTGTGGTTCTTGGTGGAGATGGAGACCACCACGCGATGAAGAACCTCATGGACCTCCTGGTTCCTGATGGAGATGGAGATCTCAACATGGTGGAGATGGAGCCCACGACGTGGTGGAGAACCTCATGGACCTCCTGGTTCTTCGTGGAGATGGAGCTCCCGACATGGTGAAGAACCTCATGGACCTCCTGGTGGTTCCTGGTGGAGATGGAGCTCCTGACATGGTGGAGAACCTCATGGACCTCCTGGTTTGGTTCTTGGTGGAGATGGAGCCCACAATGTGAGGTGGAGATGGAGCCCACCACGTGGTGAGGAACCTCATGGACCTCCTGGTTCTTGGTGGAGATGGAGATCTCAACATGGTGGAGATGGATCCCACCACGTGGTGGAGAACCTCAAGGACCTCCTGGTTCCTGGTGGAGATGGAGCTCACATGGACCTTCTGGTTCCTGGTGGAGATGGAGCTCACCACACGTGGTGGAGATGGAGATCCCAACATGGTGGAGAACCTCATGGACCTCCTGGTTCTGGGTGGAGATGGAGCTCACCACATGTGGTGGAGAACTTCATGGACCTCCTGGTTCTTATGAAGATGGAGCCCACCACGTGGTGAAGAACCTCATGGACCTCCTGGTTCTTGTGAAGATGGAGCCCACCACGTGTGGTGGAGATAGGGATCCCAACATGGTGGAGAACCTCATGGACCTCCTGGTTCTTGGTGGAGATGGAGCCCACCACATGGTGAAGAACTTCATGGACCTCCTGGTTTGGTTCTTGGTGGAGATGGATCCCACCACGTGTGGTGGAGATGGAGATCACCACGTGGTGAAGAACCTCATGGACCTCCTGGTTCCTGGTGGAGATGGAGCTCCTGACATGGTGAAGAACCTCATGGACCTCCTGGTTCTTGGTGAAGATGGAACCCACCACGCGGTGGAGATGGAGCCCACCATGCGGTGGAGAACCTCATGGACCTCCTGGTTCTTGGTGGAGATGGAGATCTCAACATGGTGGAGATGGAGCCCACCACGAGGTGGAGAACCTCATGGACCTTCTGGTTCTTGGTGGAGATGGAACCCACCATGTGTGGTGAAGAACCTCATTGACCTCCTGGTTCCTGGTGGAGATGGAGCTCCTGACATGGTGGAGAACCTCATGGACCTCCTGGTTCTTGGTGGAGATGGAGCCCACCACGTGTGGTGGAGATGGAGATCCCAAAATGGTGAAGAACCTCATGGACCTCCTGTTCTTGGTGGAGATGGATCCCACCACGTGGTGGAGAACCTCATGGACCTCCTGGTTCTTGGTGGAGATCGAGATCACCACGTGTGGTGGAGATGGAGATCCCAGAATGGTGGAGAACCTCATGGACCTCCTGGTTCTTCATGGAGATGGAGCTCCTGACATGGTGAGGAACCTTAGACCTCCTGGTGTGGTTCTTGGTGGAGATGGAGCCCACCACACGATGAAGAACCTCATGGACCTCCTGGTTCTTGGTGGAGATGGAGATCTCAACATGGTGGAGATGGAGATCACAGCGTAGTGAAGAACCTCATGGACCTCCTGGTTCTTGGTGGAGATGGAGCCCACCACGTGTGGTGAAGATGGAGACCACCATGTGGTGAGGAACCTCACGGATCTCCTGGTTCCTGGTGGAGATGGAGCTCACCACGTGTGGTGGAGATGGAGCCCACCACGTGTGGTGGAGATGGAGCCCACCACGTGGTGAGGAACCTCATGGACCTCCTGGTGGTTCCTGGTGGATATGGAGCTCAGATGGACCTCCTGGTTCCTGGTGGAGATGGAGATCGCAACAGGGTGGAGATGGAGATCACAACATGGTGAAGAACCTCATGGACCTCCTGGTTCTTGGTGGAGATGGAGCCCACCACGTGTGGTGGAGATGGAGATCACAACGTGGTGGAGAACCTCATGGACCTCCTGGTTCTTGTGAAGATGGAGCCCACCACACGATGAAGAACCTCATGAACCTCCTGGCTCCTGGTGGAGATGGAGATCTCAACATGGTGGTGATGGAGTCCACCACGCGGTGAAGAACCTCATGGACCTCCTGGCTCCTGGTGGAGATGGAGCTCACATGGACCTCCTGGTTTTGTTCTTGGTGGAGGTGAAGCCCACCATGTGGTGAAGAACCTCATGGACCTCCTGGTGGTTCCTGGTGGAGATGGAGCCCACCACGTGTGGTGGAGATAGAGACCCCATAATGGTGAAGAACCTCATGGACCTCCTGGTTCCTGGTGGAGATGGAGCCCACCACATATGGTGAAGATGGAGCCCATCACATGGTGGAGAACCTCATGGACCTCCTGGTTCCTGGTGGAGATGGAGCCCACCACGTGGTGGAGATGGAGATCACAACGTGGTGGAGATGGAGCCCACCACGTGGTGAAGAACCTCATGGACCTCCTGGTTCTTGGTGGAGATGGAGCCCACCATGTGTGGTGAAGAACCTCATGGACCTCCTTGATCCTGGTGGAGATGGACCTCATCATGTGGTGGAGAACCTCATGGACCTTCTGGTGGTTCCTGGTGGATCTCGGTGCCACCAACTGTGGACTGTGGCTCTGGGAGGTGACCGGTGGCCGGTGGCCGGTGGCCGGTGGGGAGCGCTATAGGACGCCCTCCATGAAGCTGGTGTCCAGGTGCTGGATGAGGACCCGGATGAAGGACATCTCCTTGCGCGTGTTCTCGAAGATGACCCGCGGGTCGTCCGACTGGCAGCGGAGACAGTTGGGCGCCATCACCATGGCCAAGTTGTTGACGTCCATCTTGGTCACCGCCACGTTGGCCGGTTGGACGAAGACCTGCGGGGTGGTGGGAGGAGAAAAAAAGGTCAAGGGGGTGGTGGGACTCCATAGTGACGTTGAGGAACCCACGGAGAACCCACCAGGAGCACCAACTCATGGGGTGGGAGGAGAAAAAAAGGTCAAGGGGGTGGTGGAACTCCATGATGACGTTGAGGAACCCAAAAGCACCTCAGAAGGAACCTGGAGAACCCACCAGGAACATGAACCTATGGGGTGTCAGGAGGTATATGGAGATGATGGAGTTGGTGGAACTCCATGATGACGTCGAGGAACCCATAACCTCCTCAGAAGAACCAGAAGGTCCACCAGGAACATGAACCCATGAGGTGTGAGGAGGAAAATGGAGGTTCTGGAGTTGGTGGAACCCCATTATGACGTCGAGGAACCCAAAACCTCAGGAGAACCCAGCAGGAGCACCAACTCATGGGGTGTGAGGAGGAAAATGGAGGTCAAGGGGGTGGTGGGACTCCATCATGACGTCGAGGAACCCATAACCACCTCAGGAGGAACCCAAAACCACCTCAGAGAACCAGGAGAACCCACCAGGAACATGAACCTATGGGGTGTCAGGAGGTATATGGAGATGAAGGAGTTGGTGGAACTCCATGATGACGTCGAGGAACCCAAAACCACCTCAGAAGGAACCAGGAGAACCCACCAGGAGATGGTGGAACTCCATGATGACCTTGAAGAACCCATAACCACCTCAGAAGGAACCAGGAGCACCAACTCATGGGGTGTGAGGAGGAAAATGGAGGTTCTGGAGTTGGTGGAACTCCATGATGACCTTGAGGAACCCATAACCTCCTCAGGAGAAGGAACCAGGAGCACCAACCCATGGGGTGTGAGGAGGAAAATGGAGGTCCTGGAGTTGGTGGAACTCCATGATGACCTCGAGGAACCCAAAACCTCAGAAGGAACCTGGAGGACCACCAGGAACATCAACTCATGGGGTTTGGGGAGGAAAATGGAGGTGATGGAGTTGGTGGAACTCCATGGTGACCTCGAGGAACCCAAAACCATCTCAGAAGGAACCAGGAGAACCAACCCATGGGGTGGGAGGAGGAATATGGAGGTCAAGGTGGTGGTGGGACTCCATCATGACGTTGAGGAACCCATAACTACCTCAGGAGAACCAGGAGAACCCACCAGGAACATGAACCTATGGGGTGTCAGGAGGTATATGGAGATGATGGAGTTGGTGGAACTCCATGGTGACCTCGAGGAACCCAAAACCACCTCAGGAGAACCCACCAGGAGCACCAACTCATGGGGTTTGGGGAGGAAAATGGAGATGATTGAGTTGGTAGAACTCCATTATGACCTCAGAGAACCCATAACCACCTCAGGAGAAGGAACCAGGAGAACCCACCAGGAGCACCAACCCATGGGGTGTGAGGAGGAAAATTGAGGTCCTGAAGTTGGTAGAACTCCATTATGACCTCGAGGAACCCATAACCACCTCAGAAGGAACCAGGAGGACAAACCCATGGGGTGGGAGGAGGAAAAATTGAGGTCAAGGGCGTGGTGGGACTCCATGATAACCTCGAGGAACCCAAAACCTGAGAAGGAACCAGGAGGGCCACCAGAAACATGAATCCATGGGGTGTGAGGAGGAAAATGGAGATGATGGGGTTGGTGGAACTCCATGATGACCTCGAGGAACCCATAACCACGTCAGGAGAACCCACCAGGAGCACCAACTCATGAGATGTGAGGAGGAAAATGGAGCTGAAAGGGGTTGGTGGAACTCCATCATGACGTCGAGGAACCCAAAACCTCAGGAGAACCCACCAGGAGCACCAACTCATGGGGTCTGAGGAGGAAAACTGAGGTTCTGAAGTTGGTAGAACTCCATGATGACCTCGAGGAACCCAAAACCTCAGAAGGAACCTGGAGGACCACCAGGAACTTCAACTCATGGGGTTTGGGGAGGAAAATGGAGATGATGAAGTTGGTAGAACTCCATTATGACCTCGAGGAACCCAAAACCTCCTTAGAGAACCAGGACCACCAACTCATGGGGTGTGAGGAGGAAAACTGAGGTCCTGAAGTTGGTGGAACTCCATGATGACCTCCTCAGGAGAAGGAACCAGGAGAACCCACCAGGAACATGAACCCATGGGGTGTGAGAAGGAAAATGGAGGTCCTGGAGTTGGTAGAACTCCATGATGACCTCGAGGAACCCATAACCTCCTCAGGAGAAGGAACCAGGAGAACCCACCAGGAGCACCAACTCATGGGGTGTGAGGAGGAAAATGGAGGTTCTGGAGTTGGTGGAACTCCATTATGACCTCGAGGAACCCAAAACCTCAGAAGGAACCTGGAGGACCACCAGGAACTTCAACTCATGGGGTTTGGGGAGGAAAACTGAGGTTCTGAAGTTGGTAGAACTCCATTATAACCTTGAGGAACCCATAACCACCTCAGGAGAACCCATAACCACCTCAGAAGGAACCCAAAACCACCTCAGGAGAAGGAACTAGGAGAACCCACCAGGAGCACCAACTCATGGGGTGGGAGGAGAAAAAAAGGTCAAGGGGGTGGTGGAACTCCATGATGACGTCGAGGAACCCAAAACCTCAGGAGAACCCACCAGGAGCACCAACTCATGGGGTTTGGGGAGGAAAATGGAGATTATGGAGTTGGTGGAACTCCATGATGACCTCGAGGAACCCATAACCTCCTCAGGAGAACCCACCAGGAGCACCAACTCATGGGGTGTGAGGAGGAACATTGAGGTTCTGCGAGTTGGTGGAACTCCATGATGACCTCGAGGAACCCATAACCACCTCAGAAGAACCAGGAGAACCCATCAGAAACATGAACTCATAGAGTTTGAGGAGGGAAATGGAGATGATGGGGTTGGTGGAACTCCATGGTGACCTTGAAGAACCCATAACCACCTTAGAGAACCAGGAGGGCCACCAGGAGCACCAACTCATGGGTTGGGAGGAGGAAAATTGAGGTTCTGAAGTTGGTGGAACCCCATGATGACCTCGAGGAACCCAAAACCTCAGAAGGAACCTGGAGGACCACCAGGAACTTCAACTCATGGGGTTTGGGGAGGAAAATGAAGGTTCTGAACTTGGTAGAACTCCATTATGACCTCAGAGAACCCATAACCACCTCAGGAGAATCCACCAGGAGCACCAACTCATGGGGTGTGAGGAGTAAAATGGAGGTCAAGGGGGTGGTGGAACTCCATCATGACGTCGAGGAACCCATACCCACCTCAAGAAAAGGAACTAGGGGAACCCACCAGGAGATGGTGGGACTCCATGGTGACCTCGAGGAACCCAAAACCACCTCAGGAGAACCCACCAGGAGCACCAACTCATGGGGTGTGAGGAGGAAAATGGAGGTTCTGGAGTTGGTGGAACTCCATGGTGACATCGAGGAACCCATAACCCCCTTAGAGAACCAGGAGAACCCACCAGGAGCATGAATCCATGGGGTGGGAAGAAGAAAATGGAGGAGATGGAGTTGGTGGAACTCCATGGTGACCTTGAGGAACCCATAACCACCTCAGGAGAACCCACCAGGAACATGAACCAATGGGGTGTGAGGAGGAAAATGAAGGTTCTGGAGTTGGTGGAACTCCATGGTGACCTCGAGGAACCCAAAACCTCAGAAGGAACCTGGAGGACCCATCAGGAACATCAACTCATGGGGTTTGGGGAGGAAAATGGCGGTGATGGAGTTGATGGAACTCCATAATGACCTCGAGGAACCCATAACCACCTCAGGAGAACCCACCAGGAGAATCCACCAGGAGCACCAAATCATGAGGTGTGAGGAGGAAAATTGAGGTCCTGGAGTTGGTAGAACTCCATGATGACCTTGAGGAACCCAAAACCACCTCAGAAGGAACCAAGAGAACCACCAGGAACATGAACCCATGAGATGGGAAGAGGAAAATGGAGGTGATGAAGTTGGTGGAACTCCATGATGACCTCGAGGAACCCATAACCTCCTCAGGAGAAGGAACCAGGAGAATCCACCAGAAACATGAACCCATGAGGTGGGAAGAGGAAGATGGAGGTTCTGAAGTTGGTAGAACTCCATTATGACCTCGAGGAACCCAAATCCTCAGAAGGAACCTGGAGGACCACAAGGAACATCAACTCATGGGGTTTGGGGAGGAAAATTGAGGTTCTGAAGTTGGTGGAACTCCATTATGACCTCAGAGAACCCATAACCTGCTCAGAAGGAACCAGGAGAACCCACCAGGAGATGGTGGAACTCCATGATGACCTCGAGGAACCCAAAACCACCTCAGGAGAACCCACCAGGAGCACCAACTCATGGGGTGTAAGAAGGAAAGTGAAGGTTCTGGAGTTGGTAGAACTCCATTATGACCTCAGAGAACCCATAACCACCTCAGGAGAAGGAACCAGGAGAACCCACCAGGAGATGGTGGAACTCCTTGATGACCTTGAGGAACCCAAAACCTCAGAAGGAACCTGGAGGACCACCAGGAACTTCAACTCATGGGGTGTGAGGAGGAAACTGAAGGTCCTGAAGTTGGTAGAACTCCATGATGACCTCGAGGAATCCATAACCTCAGAAGAACCAGGAGAACCCATCAGAAACATGATCTCATGGAGTTTGAGGAGGGAAATGGAGATGATGGGGTTGGTGGAACTCCATGGTGATGTCGAGGAACCCATAACCACCTCAGGAGAACCCACCAGGAACATGAACCAATGGGGTGTGAGGAGGAAAATGAAGGTCCTGAAGTTGGTAGAACTCCATTATGACCTCGAGGAACCCAAAACCTCAGAAGGAACCTGGAGAACCACCAGGAGCACCAACTCATGGGGTTTGAGGAAGAACATTGAGGTTCTGAAGTTGGTAGAACTCCATTATGACCTCGAGGAACCCAAAACCACCTCAGGAGAAGGAACCTGGAGAACCACCAGGAGCACCAACTCATGGGGTGTGAGGAGGAATATGGAGGTCCTGAAGTTGATAGAACTCCATGATGACCTCAAGGAACCCATAACCTCCTCAGAGAACCAGGAGCACCAACTCATGGAGTGTGAGGAGAAACATTGAGGTCCTGAAGTTGGTAGAACTCCATTATGACCTCAGAGAACCCATAACCACGTCAGGAGAAGGAACCAGTAGAACCCACCAGGACCACCAACTCATGGGGTGTGAGGAGGAAAACTGAGGTCCTGAAGTTGGTAGAACTCCATGATGACCTCGAGGAACCCATAACCTCCTTAGAGAACCAGGAGGGCCACCAGGAACATCAACTCATGGGGTTTGGGGAGGAAACTGAAGGTCCTGAAGTTGGTAGAACTCCATTATGACCTCAGAGAACCCATAACTACGTCAGGAGCAGGAATCGGAGCTGAAGGTGACCCGGTGGCCCTGGCAGAAGATACCTGGAGGAAGCGGATGAGGTAGCACAGCACCATCTTGTTGATCCTGGGCAGCGCGTGGACGACGGCGATGGCGGCCTCGGGGTTCTCGTAGTGGGAGATGCTCTCCTCGTAGAACTCGTGAGGGATCAGAGGTTCCTCCAGCTCCCGGTACCAGAGCTTCAGCAGAGACGCTGAGGAGGACATGGACAACCCCAGAAGATGTCAGATTCTCCTCATGGAGGTTCTCATCCCACCCGATGTTGTCGCAAAGTCCTACCGGGAACGTGCGGGTCCTCCAAGCCGGTGGGGATCTTCCATTGGTCCACCTGGAGCTTCAGGGCGTTGACCTCGTCGATGTCACCGGGGACCCTGTGGGGGGAGTGACCAATGAGGACATCTTGGGACAACGGGTTTGGGTGATCCAGGAGAAGGAGGAGATGGTTGGTGGCACCAAGACCACCTTGGGGGACATCATGGAGGAACCTCCATGACCTTGGAGATGTTCTGGTGCCACCATGACTGTGGTGACCACCATGGAGGAACCTCCACGTCCTTGGAGATGTTCTGGTGCCATCAAAGATCTCACCATGGCTCTGGTGGCCACCATGGAGGAACCTCCATGACCTTGGAGATGTTCTGGTGCCACCAAGACCTCACCATGACTGTGGTGGTCACCATGGAGCAGGGAGAAGTTCAATGGACCTTCTGGATGGTGCCACCAAAACCTCCCCATGACTGTGGTGACCACCATGGAGGAACCTCCATGTCCTTGGAGAAGTTTTGGTGCCACCAGAACTCCACCATGATTATGGTGACCACCATGGAGGAACCTCCATGACCTTGGAGATGTTTTGGTGCCACCAAGACCTCACCATGAGTGTGGTGGACACCATGGAGGAACCTCCATGGATCAAGGAGAAGTTCAAGGGACCTTCTGGATGGTGCCACCAAAACTCCACCATGACTGTGGTGACCACCATGGAGGAACCTCCATGACCTTGGAGATGTTTTGGTGCCACCAGAACTCCACCATGACTGTGGTGACCACCATGGAGGAACCTCCATGGAGCAAGGAGAAAATCAGAAGATCCACCTGGCTGGTGGCACCAAGACCTCACCATGGCTCTGGTGACCACCATGGAGAAACCTCCATGACCTTGGAGATGTTTTGGTGCCACCAGAACCTCACCATGACTGTGGTGACCACCATGGCCACGGAGCAAGGAGAAGCTGGAGGGACCTTCTGGATGGTGCCACCAAAACCTCACCATGACTCTGGTGACCACCATGGAGGAACCTCCATGACCTTGGAGATGTTCTGGTCCCACCAAAACCCCACCATGGCTCTGGTGACCACCATGGAGGAACCTCCATGACCTTGGAGATGTTTTGGTACCACCATGACTGTGGTGGCCACCATGGAGGAACCTCCATGGATCAAGGAGAAGTTCAAGGGACCTTCTGGATGGTGCCACCAAAACCTGACCATGACTGTGGTGACCACCATGGAGGAACCTCCATGACCTTGGAGATGTTCTGGTCCCACCATGACTGTGGTGACCACCATGGAGGAACCTCCATGGAGGAACCTCCATGACCTTGGAGATGTTTTGGTGCCACCATGGAGGAACCTCCATGTCCTTGGAGATGTTCTGGTCCCACCATGACTGTGGTGACCACCATGGAGGAACCTCCACGACCTTGGAGATGTTTTGGTGCCACCAAAGATCTCACCATGGCTCTGGTGACCACCATGGAGGAACCTCCATGGAGGAACCTCCATGACCTTGGAGATGTTTTGGTGCCACCATGGAGGAACCACCACATCCATGGAGATGTCCTGATCCCACCAACCCCACCACACCTCCCATACCCACCACGAGGAACCCTCCGAGAACCCACCAGAGAAGAACATCCCTCAAAAACCCCCAAACCTTTGAAGAACCTCCATCCGCGAGATGTCCACGTGGACGTGTGGTGGCTTTACCTGAAGATGCCCTCGGTCTGGTCACCGTTGAGGGCGAGGACCTCCTCGGAGAGGCGGGTCTGGACCCAGGGCAGCTGCCGGTCGGGGTAACGGTCCTTCTGCATGGCCACGATCTCCTGCAGGGAGCTGCCGAACATGGACGGGTTGAAGACGACGTTCTTGGCGTGACGGATCTCCTCCAGGTTGGGCTTCTTCAGGCCCTGAGGAGGACAAGGAGGTCAGAGGTGGTTTGGGGGGTGGGTGGGGTGGGAATGGTGGGTGGTGGGGGTGGGGAGGGGTTGGAGGGGATGTGGTTATGGGGTTCCACCATCCGTGGATGCGTTCATGGACCCACCATCCATCCATCCATGGTCCACCATCCATCCATGGATCCATCCATGGGTCCACCATCCATGGATCCATCATCAATGGTTCCACCATCCATCCATGGATCCATCATCAATGGTTCCATCATCCATCCACCATCCATGCATCCATCCATCCATGGTCCATCATCCATCCATCCATGGGTCCATCTTCTGTCCATGGTTCCACCATCCATCCATGAATCCACCATCCATCTACGGATCCATCTGTCCATGGATCCACCATCCATCCATGGTTCCACCATCCATCCATCCATAGATCCATCCATGGATCCATCATCTGTCCATGGATCCATCCATGGTCCACCATCCATCCATGGTTCCACCATCCATCCATCCATAGATCCATCCATGGATCCATCATCATCCATCCATGGATCCATCATCTGTCCATGGATCCATCATCTGTCCATCCATGGTCCACCATCCATCCATGGATCCACCATGTGTCCATGGATCCATCCATGGGTCCACCATCCATCCATCCATGGATCCATCATCTGTCCATGGACCCACCATCCATCCATGGATCCACCATCCATCCATGGATCCAACCATGGATCCATCACCATCCATGGATCCATCCATCCATCCATCCATGGACCATCATCTGTCCATGGACCCACCATCAATCATCCATGGATCCATCCATGGTTCCACCATCCATCTATGGATCCATCCATGGGGCCACCATCCATCCATGGATCCATCTTCTGTCCATGGATCCATCCACGGACCCACCATCCATCCATCCATCCATGGATCCATCCATGGATCCATCACCATCCATGGGCCCATCATCTGTCCATGGGTCCATCCATCCATCCATCCATCCATGGATCCATCATCCATCCATGAAACCACCATGATCCATGGACCCACCATCCATGGATCCATCATCCATCCATGGATCCATCCATGGTTCCACCATCCATCCATTGATCCATCACCACCCATGGATCCATCCATGGACCCACCATCCATGGTCCATCATCCATCCATGGATCCATCACCATCCATGGGTCCATCATCTGTCCATCCATGATTCCATCATCCATGGATCCATCATCTGTCCATGGATCCATCTGTCCATGGTTCCACCATCCATCCATCCATGGTCCACCATCCATCCATATATCCATCCATGGTTCCACCATCCATCCATCCATGGGTCCACCATCCATGGTCCATCATCCATCCATGGTCCACCATCCATCCATCCATGGATCCACCATCCATCCATATATCCATCCATGGTTCCACCATCCATCCATCCATGGGTCCACCATCCATGGTCCATCATCCATCCATGGTCCATCCATCCATCCATCCATCATCCATCCATCCATCCATGGGTCCATCATCCATCCATGGATCCATCACCATCCATGGTCCATCCATGGTCCACCATCCATCCATCCATCCATCTATGGATCCATCATCTGTCCATCCATGGTTCCATCATCTGTCCATGGATCCACCATCTGTCCATCCATCCATGGTTCCACCATCCATCCATCCATCCATGGATCCACCATCCATCCATGGTTCCACCATCCATCCATCCATGGGTCCACCAACCATCCATCCATGGATCCATCTTCTGTCCATGGATCCATCCATGGATCCTCCATCTATCCATCCATAGATCCATCCATGGTTCCACCATCCATCCATGGTCCATTATCCATCCATGGTCCACCATCCATCCATGGTTCCATCATCTGTCCATCCATGGTTCCACCATTCATCCATAGGTCCACCATCCATCCATGGATCCATCAATGGATCCATCATCCATTCATGGTTCCACCATCCATCCATGGGTCCACATCCATCCATGGGTCCATCATCCATCCATGGTCCATCATCCATCCATGGTCCATCATCCATCCATGGTCCATCATCCATCCATGGTCCATCCATGGTTTCACCATCCATCCATGGTCCATCATCCATCCATGGATCCATCATCAATGGTTCCACCATCCATCCATGGTCCATCATCCATCCATGGACCCACCATCCATCCATCCATCCATGGTTCCACCATCCATGGTCCACCATCCATCCATCCATCCATGGTCCACCATCCATCCATGGATCCATCCATGGTCCACCATCCATCCATGGATCCATCACCATCCATCCATCCATAGATCCATCATCTGTCCATGGATCCATCATCCATCCATAGATCCGTCCATGGTCCACCATCCATGGATCCACCATCCATCCATCATCCATCCATGGATCTGTCCATGGATCCACCATCCATCCATGGGTCCACCATCCATCCATCCATGGATCCATCCATGGTTCCACCATCCATCCATGGTTCCATCATCCATGGTTCCATCATCTGTTAATGGATCCACCATCCATCCATCCATCCATGGTCCACCATCCATCCATGGGTCCATCACCATCCATGGTCCACCATCCATGGGTCCACCATCCATCCATCCATCCATGGTTCCATCATCCATCCATCCATGGTTCCACCATCCATCCATCTATGGATCCATCATCCATCCAGAAGTTCCTTGGAAAGCTCCCAGGAGGTCATTCCTCATACGCTTCTCAGAAGGTCTCCAGAAGTTCTCCAGAAGTTCTTTGGAAAGCTCCCAGAAGGTCTCCAGAAGTTCCTTGGAAAGCTCCCAGAAGGTCACTCCCCATCAGGTTCTCAGAAGGTCTCCAGAAGTTCTCCAGAAGTTCCTTGGAAAGCTCCCAGAAGGTCATTCCTCAGAAGCTTCTCAGAAGGTCTCCAGAGAGTTTCCAGAAGATCTCCAGATGTTCCTCAGAGAGGTCCCGGGAGGTCTCCAAAGAGTTTCCAGAAGATCTCCTGAAGATCACCAGATGGTCACTGGAATGTCTTCAGAAAATCCCCAGAAAATTCCCGAATGTCTCCAGAAAGTCTTCAGAAGTTCTCCAGAAGTTCACCAGAAGTTCTCAGAAAATCCTCGAAAGGTTTTCACAAAGTTCTCAAAAGTTCTCCAGAAAATTTCCAGAAGGTCTCCAAAAGTCTTCAGAAGTTCTCCAGAAGTTCTCCAGAGGTTCTCCAGAAGATCCCCAGATGAAGATCTCCTGGTGTCCAGCAGAAGTTCTCAAGAAGTTCTCAAGAAGGTCTCCAGAAGTTCTCCAGAAGTTCTCAAGAAGGTCTCCAAAAGGTCTTCAGAAGTTATCCAGAAGTTCTCCATAAGATCCCCAGATGAAGATCTCCTTCTGTCCAGCAGAAGTTCTCCAGAAGTTCTCCAGAGGTTCTCCAGAAGATCCTCACAAGAAGTTCTCCTGGTGAAGTCCCAGAAGGTCTCCAGAAGATCTCCAGAAGGTTCCCAGAAGATCCCCAAAAGGTCTTCACAAGGTTCTCACAAGTTCTCCGGGAAATTTCCAGAAGGTCTCCAAAAGTCTTCAGAAGTTCTCCAGAAGGTCTCCAGAGGTTCTGCAGAAGATCTCCAGAAGATCCCCACAAGAAGTTCTCCTGGTGAAGTCCCAGAAGGTCTCCAAAAGTTCTTCAGAAGTTCTCCAGAAGATCCCCAGATGAAGATCTGCTGGTGTCCATCAGAAGTTCTCCAGAAGTTCTCCAGAAGTTCTCCAGAGGTTCTGCAGAAGATCCCCAGATGAAGATCTCCTGGTGTCCAGCAGAAGTTCTCCAGAAGCTCTCCAGAAGCTCTCCAGAAGTTCTCCAGAAGTTCTTTATAAGATCCCCAGATGAAGATCTGGTGTCCAGCAGAAGTTCTCCAGAAGTTCTCCAGAAGATCCCCACAAGAAGTTCTCCTGGTGAAGTCCCAGAAGGTCCCCAAAAGATCTCCAGAAGGTCTTTAGAAGATCCCCAGATGAAGATCTCCTTAGAAGATCCCCAGAAGGTTCCCAGAAGATCCCCAAAAGGTCTTCTCAAGGTTCTCAGAAGTTCTCCAGGAAATTTCCAGAAGGTCTCCAAAAGTCTTCAGAAGTTCTCCAGAAGTTCTCCAGAGGTTCTCCAGAAGATCCCCTCAAGAAGTTCTCGTGGAGAAGTCCCAGAAGGTCTCCAAACGATCTCCAGAAGGTGTTTAGAAGATCCCCAGATGAAGATCTCCTGGTGTCCAGCAGAAGTTCTCCAGAAGTTCTCCAGAAGTTCTCCAGAAGATCCCCAGATGAAGATCTCCTTCTGCCCAGCAGAAGTTCTCCAGAAGTTCTTTAGAATATCCTCAGATGAAGATCTCCTGGAGAAGTCCCAGAAGGTCTCCAAAGGTTCTCCAGAAGTTCTTTAGAAGTTCTCCAGAAGTTCTCCAGAAGTTCTCCAGAAGATCCCCAGATGAAGATCTCCTGCTGTCCAGCAGAAGTTCTCCTAGAAGTTCTCCAGAAGTTCTTTAGAAGTTTTCCAGAAGATCCCCACAAGAAGTTCTCCTGGAGAAGTCCCAGAAGGTCTCCAAAAGATCTCCAGAAGTTCTTTAGAAGATCCCCAGGTGAAGATCTGGTGTCCAGCAGAAGTTCTGCAGACGTTCTCCTGAAGCTCTCCAGAAGTTCTTTAGAAGTTCTCCAGAAGTTCTCCTTAAGTTCTCCAGAAGTTCTCCAGAAGTTCTTCAGAAGTTCTTTAGAAGATCCCCAGATGAAGATCTCCTTCTGTCCAGCAGAAGTTCTCCAGAAGTTCTCCAGAAGTTCTCCAGAAGATCCCCAGATGAAGATCTGGTGTCCAGCAGAAGTTCTCCAGAAGTTCTCCAGAAGTTCTCCAGAAGTTCTCCAGATGAAGATCTCCTGCTGTCCAGCAGAAGTTCTCCAGAAGTTCTTCAGAAGTTCTCCAGAAGTTCTCCAGAAGGTCTCCAGAAGGTCTCCAAAAGATCTCCAGAAGGTCTTTAGAAGATCCCCAGATGAAGATCTGGTGTCCAGCAGAAGTTCTCCAGAAGTTCTCCAGAAGTTCTTCAGAAGTTCTCCAGAAGTTCTCCAGAAATTCTTTAGAAGTTCTCCAGAAGTTCTCCAGGAGTTCTCCAGAAGTTCTTTAGAATTTTCCAGAAGTTCTCCAGAAGTTCTCCAGAAGTTCTCCAGAAGTTCTCCAGAAGATCCCCAGATGAAGATCTCCTGGTGTCCAGCAGAAGTTCTTTAGAAGTTCTCCAGAAGTTCTCCAGATGTTCTCCAGAAGTTCTCCAGAAGTTCTCCAGAAGATCCCCAGATGAAGATCCTCAGATGAAGATCTCCTGGTGTCCAGCAGAAGTTCTCCAGAGGTTCTCCAGAAGTTCTCCAGAAGTTCTCCAGAAGTTCTCCAGAAGTTCTCCAGAAGTTCTCCACCACCCCGTCCCTCCTCCAGCCCCTCCCCCAAGCCCAGGAGCTCCTGGTGGTCCCCTGGTGGTTCCCTGGTGGTTCCCCGGTGGTTCCCCGGTGGAGGTGACCTCCGTGTCCCCCCCTGACCACTCCCACCCCACCTCGTGGTACCTTCTTGGCCCCGGTCAGCGCCGCCTTCTGCAGTTTGCTGTAGCAGTACTTGGCGTAGGTGCTGATGGCCACTCCTGCAAGAGAGGACACCTGAGTGGTGGGATGTCATCTCCAGGATGGGGAGATGTCACCTCCAGGACCTCATGGGACCTTCTGGACCATCCCAAGAACCCTGGTGGGACCTTCTGGACCATCCCAACAACTCTGAGGATCTGATGGGACCTTCTGGACCATCCCAGAAGAAGCTTTGAGGACCTGGTGGGACCTTCTGGACCATCCCAAGAGACCTGGAGAGACCTTCTGGACCATCCCACCACCCTGAGGACCTCCTGGGACCTTCTGGACCATCCCAAGAACCCTGGAGAGACCTTCTGGACCACCCCAGAAGAAGCTTTGAGGACCTCATGGGACCTTCTGGACCATCCCAGAAGCTCTGAGGACCTGGTGGGACCTTCTGGACCATCCCAGAAGCTCTGAGGACCTCATGGGACCTTCTGGACCATCCCAGAAGCTCTGAGGACCTCATGGGACCTTCTGGACCATCCCAAGAACCCTGGAGGGACCTTCTGGACCATCCCAGAAGCTTTTGGGACCTGGTGGGACCTTCTGGACCATCCCAGAAGAAGCCCTGAGGACCTGGTGGGACCTTCTGGACCACCCCAGAAGCTCTGAGGACCACATGGGACCTTCTGGACCATCACAACAACCCTGAGGACCTCATGGGACCTTCTGGACCATCCCAGAAGAAGCTTTGGGGACCTCATGGGACCTTCTGGACCATCCCAAGAACCCTGGAGAGACCTTCTGGACCATCCCAGAAGAAGCCCTGAGGACCTGGTGGGACCTTCTGGACCATCCCAGAAGAAGCTCTGAGGACCTCATGGGACCTTCTGGACCATCCCAGGAGAAGCTTTGAGGACCTCATGGGACCTTCGGGACCATCCCAGAAGAAGCTTTGAGGACCTCATGGGACCTTCTGGACCATCCCACCACCCCTGGAGAGACCTTCTGGACCATCCCAGAAGCTTTGGGGACCTGATGGGACCTTCTGGACCATCCCAACAACTCTGAGGACCTCATGGGACCTTCTGGACCATCCCAAGAACCTGGTGGGACCTTCTGGACCATCCCAGAAGAAGCTTTGAGGACCTGATGGGACCTTCTGGACCATCCCAAGAACCTCATGGGATCTTCTGGACCATCCCAGAAGCTCTGAGGACCTTATGGGACCTTCTGGACCATCCCAGAAGCTCTGAGGACCTCATGGGACCTTCTGGACCATCCCAGGAGAAGCTCTGAGGACCTGGTGGGACCTTCTGGACCACCCCAGAAGAAGCTTTGAGGACCTCATGGGACCTTCTGGACCATCCCAGAACCTCTGAGGACCTGGTGGGACCTTCTGGACCATCCCAAGAACCCTGGAGAGACCTTCTGGACCATCCCACCACCCCTGGAGACCTGGTGGGACCTTCTGGACCACCCCAGGAGAAGCTTTGAGGACCTCATGGGACCTTCTGGACCATCCCAGAAGCTTTGAGGACCTCATGGGACCTTCTGGACCATCCCACCACCCCTGGAGAGACCTTCTGGACCATCCCAGAAGAAGCTTTGTGGACCTGGTGGGACCTTCTGGACCACCCCAGAAGCTCTGAGGACCTCATGGGACCTTCTGGACCATCCCAAGAACCCTGGTGGGACCTTCTGGACCATCCCAGAAGCTTTGGGGACCTGATGGGACCTTCTGGACCACCTCAGAAGCTTTGAGGACCTCATGGGACCTTCTGGACCATCCCAAGAACCCTGGTGGGACCTTCTGGACCATCCCAGAAGAAGCTTTGAGGACCTGGTGGGACCTTCTGGACCATCCCAGAAGAAGCTTTGAGGACCTGGTGGGACCTTCTGGACCATCCCAACACCCCTGAGGACCTCATGGGACCTTCTGGACCATCCCAGAAGCTCTGAGGACCTCATGGGACCTTCTGGACCATCCCACCACCCCTGAGGACCTCATGGGACCTTCTGGACCATCCCAAGAGACCTGGTGGGACCTTTTGGACCACCCCAGAAGCTGTGGAGACCTGGTGGGACCTTCTGGACCACACCAGAAGCTCTGAGGACCTGGTGGGACCTTCTGGATCATCCCAGAAGAAGCTCTGAGGACCTCATGGGACCTTCTGGACCATCCCAGAAGCTCTGAGGACCTTATGGGACCTTCTGGACCATCCCAAGAACCTCTGAGGACCTGGTGGGACCTTCTGGACCATCCCAAAAACCCTGGTGGGACCTTCTGGACCATCCCAGAAGCTCTGAGGACCTCATGGGACCTTCTGGACCATCCCAGAAGCTCTGAGGACCTGGTGGGACCTTCTGGACCATCCCAGGAAAAGCTTTGAGGACCTCATGGGACCTTCTGGACCATCCCACCACCTCTGAGGACCTGGTGGGACCTTCTGGACCATCCCAAGAACCTGGTGGGACCTGGTGGGTTCTGGTGGACTCTGGTAGATTCTGGTGGGACCTGGTGGACTTTGGTGGACTTTGGGGGGTTCTGGTGGACTTTGGTGGGGTTTGGTGGGACTTGATGAGGACCTGGTGGGTTCTAGAGGACTTTGGTGGACTCTGGTGGGACCTGGTGGGATCTGGTGGGACCTGGTGGGTTCTGGTGGACTTTGGTGGGATCTGGTGGGACCTGGTGGGTTCTGGTGGACTTTGGTGGTCTTTGTCCCGGTTCCCGAAGGTCCATCCCCGCCCGGAGCTCCCCAGGCCCCTCCTGGGCGTCCCCAAGGTCCCCGCTGCTCATTAATTACTCTAATTAATTCCATTAATGAATACCAATATTAATATCAATTAATAACACCTAATTATTATTATTAATATTAATAATACTACTGCATGAATGACCCCAGCTCCATCTCACCCCTATTAATTACCCTAATTAATCTAATAATATTAATAATAATAGTGCTACCAATACCAGTACTAATACCAATATGAATACCAATATTAATATTAATTAATAATACAGAATTATTACTATTAATATTAATACTACAAATACTACATGAATGACTCCAGCTCTATCTCACCCCTATTAATTACCCTAATTAATCTAATAATATTAATACTAATAGTGCTGCCAATACCAATACCAACACCAATACCAATACCAATACCAATACCAATATTAATATTAATATTAATTACCAATACATAATTATTATTATTAATATCAATAATACTACTGCATAAATGACCCGAGCTCTATCTCCCCCCTATTAATTACCCTAATTAATCTAATAATATGAATACTAATAGTGCTGCCAATACCAACACCAATACCAATACCAATACCAGTATTAGTATTGATAATACATAATTATTATTATTAATACTACAAATACTACATGAATGACCCCAGCTCTATCTCACCCCTATTAATTATCACAATTAATCGAATAATATTAATACTAATAGTGCTGCCAATACCAACCCCAACACCAATACCAGTATTAATATTAATAATACATAATTATTACTATTAATATTAATGCTTCTAATAGTACATGAATGAGGCCAGCTCTATCTCCCCCTATTAATTACCCTAATTAATCTAATAATATTAATACTAATAGTGCTGCCAATACCAACACCAATACCAATACCAATACCAATGCCAATATTAATATTAATAATTCAGAATTATTACTATTAATATTAATACTACAAATACTACATTAATGACCCCAGCTCTATCTCCCCCTATTAATTACCCTAATTGATCTAATTATATGAATACTAATAGTGCTGCCAATACCAACACCAATACCAATACCACTACCAGTATTAATATTAATTATCCATAACTATTAATATTATTAATAATACTACAAATGCTACATGAATGAGGCCAGGTCTATCTCACCCCTATTAATTACCGTAATTAATCTAATAATATGAATACTAATAGTGCTGCCAATATTAACACCAACACCAATACCAATACCAATATCTGTATTAATATTAATAATACTGAATTATTAATATTAATATTAATACGACAAATACTACATTAATAACTCCAGCTCCATCTCACCCCTATTAATTACCCTAATTAATCGAATATTATTAATATTAATAGTGGTACCAATACCAATACCAACACCAATAGCAATACTGATATTAATAATACAGAATTATTACTATTATTATTAATACTACAAATACTACATTAATAACTCCAGCTCTATCTCATCCTTATTAATTACCCTAATTAATCGAATAATATGACTACTAATAGTGCTGCCAATACCAATACCAATACCAATACCAATACCAGTATTAATATTAATAATACAGAATTATTATTACTATTAATATTATTACTACTAATACTACATGAATGAGGCCCGCTCTATCTCCCCCTATTAATTACCCTAATTAATCGTATAATATGAATACTAATAGTGCTGCCCATACCAACACCAATACCACTACCAATACCAATATTAATATTAATAATACAGAATTATTATTATTAATATTAATGGTTCTAATAGTACATTAATGAGGCCAGCTCCATCTCCCCCCTATTAATTACCCAAATTAATCGAATAATATTAATACTAATAGTGCTGCCAATACCGATACCAATACCAATACCAATATTAAGATTAACAATACATTATTATTATTATTAATACCACTAATAATACATGAATGAGGCCAGGTCTATCTCACCCCTATTAATTACCCTAATTAATCTAATAATATGAATACTAATAGCGCTGCCAATGCCAATACCAATACCAATACCAATACCAATACCAATACCAATACCAATATTAATATTAACAATACATTATTATTAATATTAATATTAATACTACTACTATATGAATGACCCCTGCTCTATCTCCCCCTATTAATTACCCTAATTAATCTAATAATATGAATACTAATAGTGCTGCCAATACCAATACCAACACCATTACTAATATTAATATTAACAATACATTATTATTATTACTATTAATATTAATAGTACAAATACTCCATGAATGAGGCCCGCTCCATCTCCCCCTATTAATTACCCTAATTAATCGAATAATATGAATACTAATAGCGCTGCCAACACCAACACCAATACCAATACCAACACCAATACCAATATTAATATTAACAATACATTATTAATGTTAATATTAATACTACAAATGCTACATGAATGAGGCCCGCTCCATCTCCCCCTATTAATTATCCTAATTAATCTAATAATATGAATACTAATAATGCCGCCAATACCGATACCAGTATTAATATTAATAATATAGAAATATTAATATTAATATTAAAAATAGTACATGAATGAGACCAGCTCCATCTCCCCGTATTAATTACCCGATTAATTAATTAATTAATGAGTTAATTAATGAATCCCCGCCCTACCGGGGCTCTCGGGGCTCGGGGCCTTTGGTTTCTTGCGCATTTTGGGTTTCTTCTGATTGGGCCGGGCCCGGAGGTGCCGCAGGTGCCGCGAGACTGGGCGGGGTGGGGGGGGAATGACAAATTAAATTAATGAAAAATTAATTAACAGCGAAATTAACGAGAAATGACAATAACAATGAAATAGAAAATAAATAGAAATTAAAATTGAAATTAAAATGGAAATTAAAATTGAAATTAAAATAGAAATTAAAATGGAAATGAAAATGGAAATTAAAATTAAAATCGAAATTAAAATTAAAATTAAAATTTATATCAAAAATAAAAATTGAAAGTAAAATCGAAATTAAAATTGAAATTGAAATAAAAATCGAAATTAAAATCAAAATTAAAATTAAAATCAAAATACAAATCTAAATTAAAATGGAAATTAAAATTGAAATCGAAATTAAATAGAAATTAAAATAGAAATAAAGAGCGAAATTAAAATCAAAATCGAAATTAAAATCGAAATTAAAATTGAAATAAAAATCAAAATTAAAATTGAAATTAAAATCGAAATCAAAATGAAAATGAAAATTAAAATAGAAATTAAAATGGAAATAAAAATAGAAATTAAAATTAAAATTTATATGAAATTAAAATTGAATAAAAATTGAATGTAAAATCGAAATAGAAATTGAAAGAAAAATCAAAATTAAAATTAAAAAAAAATTCGAAATTGAAATTAAAATGGAAATGAAAATCGAAATTAAAATTAAAATTAAAATCAAAATACAAATCTAAATTAAAATCCAAATTAAAATTAAAATAAAAATCAAAATTAAAATTGATATTGAAATTAAATAGAAATTAAAATAGTAATCAAATGAAAATTGAAATGAAAATTGAAATTAAAATCGAAATTAAAATTAAAATTAAAATCAAAATACAAATCTAAATTAAAATCGAAATTAAAATTGAAATTAAAGTCAAAATTAAAATATAAATAAAAATAAAAATTGAAATCAAAATTAAAATTGAAATCGAAATTAAATAAAATTAAAATAGAAATAAATATCAAAATTAAAAAAGAAATTAAAGTAGAAATTAAAATTAAAATCGAAATACAAATATAAATAAAAATAAAAATTAACATAGAAATTATATTTAAAATAAAAATTAAAATGAAAATCAATATTAAAATAGAAATTAAAATAAAAAATAAAACCGAAATAAAAATAAAAATTAAAATTAACATTAAAATAGAAATTAAATTTAAATTAAAGTAAAATAAAATACAATATTAAAACAGAAATTTAAAAAAATAAAACCTAAAATTAAAATAAATATTAACATAAAAATTAAAATCTAAATTAAAATACAAAATAAAATTGAAATAAAACTTAAAATTAAAATCAATATTCAATTAGACATTAAAATCAAAATTAAAATTAATATTAATATTAAAATCAAAATTAAATTAAAAATTAAAATCGAAATTAAAATTACAATCAATATTAAAATATAAATTAAAATCGAGATTAAAAATAAAATCTACATTAAAATAGAAATTAAACTAAAATTAACATTACAATTTTAAAATATTCAAATTAAAATTAAGACACAAAAAATTAAATTGAAATTGAAAATACAATTGAAATTAAAAGAAAATAAAAGTTGAAATTGAAAAAAATTAAATTAAAATTGAAATTAAAATTGAAATTACAATAAAATAATAATAAAATGAATTTAAAATGAAAAGAAAAATGGAAATTAATTAAAATTAACTTTTGGAGGGAAAATTGAAATTAAAATATGGAAATGAAATTAAAATTGAAATTGGAAAAACAAAATTAAATTTAAGGAAAAATTCGGGGGAAAATTGAAATTTAATAATAATTAAAATTTAATGAAAGCTGAAATTAAATTAAAAAATTGAAATTAAGTTACAGGAAAAAGTGAAGGGAAAATAAAGAAATAATAAAATAAAATAAAATAAAATAAAATAAAATAAAATAAAATAAAATAAAATAAAATTAAATTAAATAAAATTAAATAAAATTAAATAAAATAAAATAAAATAAAATAAAATAAATAAAATAAAAATAAAATCAAATAAAAATATGTAAGAACAATTAAAGAATTAAGAAAATTAAAAAATTTAATGGAATAGAAATAAAAAATGAAAGTAAAAACAAAATAAGTTTTCAAACAATAATTATAGAAAATAAAGGTGAAAATAAAAAATCCAAAGGAAATTAATTAAAATGGAAAATTAAGTAGGAAAATGAAAAAAAAATTAAAATATAAATTGAGAACAGAAGAATGAATAAGGAGAAATGGAATGGAAAAAGAGGAAATGGAGAAAATAAAAATAATGTGAAAATAAAAATAAAAATAAAAATAAAAATAAAAATAAAAATAAAAATAAAAATAAAAATAAAATTAAAATAATTTAAAAATAATAAAAACTAAAAAAAAAACCCTAAAAACTAAAAACTAAAACTAAAAAAAAACAAAACTTAAAATAAAAATAATTTTAAAATAAAAATAAAAATAAAAATAAAAATAAAAATAAAAATAAAAATAAAAATAATTTTAAAATAAAATAAAACATAACTGAAAATAAAAATAAAAATAAAAATAAAAATAAAAATAAAAATAAAAATAAAAATAAAAATAAAATAATTTTAAAATAAAATAAAACATAACTAAAAATAAAAATAAAAATAATTAAAAAATAAAAATAAAAATAAAAATAATTTTAAAATAAAATAAAACATGACTAAAAATAAAAATAAAAATAATTAAAAAATAAAAATAAAAATAAAAATAAATTAAAAATAAAATAAAACATAACTAAAAATAAAAATAAGAATAAAAATAAGAATAAAAACAAAAATAAAAATAAAAATAATTTTAAAATAAAATAAAACATAACAAAAAATTTAAATTAAAAAAATTAAAAATAAAAATAAAAATAATTTTAAAATAAAATAAAACATAACTAAAAATAAAAATAAAAATAAAAATAATTTTTTAATAAAATAAAACATACCTAAAAATTAAAATAAAAATAATTTAAAAATTAAAATAAAAATAATTTAAAAATAAAATAAAACATAACAAAAATAAAAATAAAAATAAAAATAAAAATAAAAATAAAAATAAAAATAAAAATAAAAATAAAAATAAAAATAAAAATGAAAATGAAAATAAAAATAAAAATTAAAATTAAAATTAAATTAAATTAAAACAAAAATTAGACTTAAAACTGACAATAAAAGGAGGAAAACCCAAATAAAATGGAAATAAAAACCGGATTAAAACGCCAACCAAAATGCAAATTTATGCAAATGAGATGGAATCGACACCGCCAAGGGAACCAATCAGCGCAAAGACACCAAAATTCCCGGAAAAACCCCGGAAAACTCAGAACGAGGCTGAAATTTGGGAATTCCCAGGGAAAGGCTCTGATTGGCTGCGGGGGGAGTTGGGGGCGGAGCCTCTTTTTTGCGGGAAATTCCTTTGGCACCTCAGGTGGGACCAACCAATGGGAGAAATGGGAGAACTTGAGGAGATCTTCTCCATCCATGGGGACAATTCTCCCAAATCCATCTCCTGGTGGGACCGACCAAGTGGAGAAATGGGAGAACTTGAGGAGATCTTCTCCATCCATGGGGACAATTCTCCCAAATCCAGCTCCTGGTGGGACCCACCAAGTGGAGAAATGGAGAATTTGAGGAGATCTTCTCCATCCATGGGGACAATTCTCCCAAATCCATCTCCTGGTGGGACCCACCAAGTGGAGAAATGGGGGAACTTGAGGAGATCTTCTCCATCCATGGGGACAATTCTCCCAAATCCATCTCCTGGTGGGACCGACCAATGGGAGAAATGGGGGAACTTGAGGAGATCTTCTCCATCCATGGGGACAATTCTCCCAAATCCATCTCCTGGTGGGACCGACCAATTGGAGAAATGGAGAACTTGAGGAGATCTTCTCCATCCATGGGGACAATTCTCCCAAATCCATCTCCTGGTGGGACCGACCAAGTGGAGAAATGGGAGAACTTGAGGAGATCTTCTCCATCCATGGGGACAATTCTCCCAAATCCATCTCCTGGTGGGACCGACCAAGTGGAGAAATGGGAGAACTTGAGGAGATCTTCTCCATCCATGGGGACAATTCTCCCAAATCCATCTCCTGGTGGGACCGACCAAGTGGAGAAATGGGAGAACTTGAGGAGATCTTCTCCATCCATGGGGACAATTCTCCCAAATCCATCTCCTGGTGGGACCGACCAAGTGGAGAAATGGGGAACTTGAGGAGATCTTCTCCATCTTTGAGGACAATTCTCCCAAATCCATCTCCTGGTGGCCTCCAGCGTGTGATGGACACCTCGGAACGTGGAGATCCCAAAAATATCCCAAATTTCTCCACGAGCCACCGGGAGGTGACATCAACTCATGGGAATGTCCCAATGATGGATTTGGGAGAAGAGACACCAAAGATGGAGAAGATCTCCAAAAATTCCCGAATTTCTCCGATTTTTATCTCCTTCTGTGGTCACCACCAAAACCTTCAGGAGATCGGGACCTTCTGGTTCCATCCCAAATTTGGGTGTTTTTCTTTCGGGATCTAAAGCGGCTCGAGAAGAAACATCTGGAGGTGGGAATGGTGGTGGAACCATGGGGTGGTTTGGGTGATGGGACCTCTGAAGGTTGGGTTGGAAGGAACTTGAGGAACCAAATGAATGGGTTGGGACACGGAATCATGGAACCATGGAATGATGGAACCATGGAACCATGGAACCATGGAATCATGGAATGATGGAACCATAGAACCATGGAATCATGGAATGGTTGGGTTGAAGGAACCTCTGAAGGTTGGGTTGGAAGGAACTTGAGGAGATGGGAGAAGTTCCAGGAGTGGAGGTGACACTTATCCCACAGAGGTGTCACAGATCATTTCCTCTTGGATCTCCCGTTGGATTTCCAGGAAGGAGAAGTGTGGGAAAGGTCCCACAGCACCTCCAGGAGATGTTTGGGATGAGTTCCTCATCTGTCGTTCCACGAGGAGATCAACCAAGAGGAAAGGAACCAAATCATGGGTTGGGACATGGAATGATGGAACCATGGAATCATGGAATGGTTTGGGTGGAAGGAACCTCTGAAGGTTGGGTTGGAAGGAACTTGAGGAACCAAATCATGGGTTGGGACATGGAACCATGGAACCATGGAATGATGGAACCATGGAATGATGGAACCATGGAATGATGGAACCATGGAATGATGGAATCATGGAATCATGGAACCATGGAACCATGGGATGGTTTGGGTTGAAGGAACATCTGAAGGTTGGGTTGGAAGGAACTTGAGGAACCAAATAATGGGTTGGAACATGGAATGATGGAACCATGGAATGATGGAACCATGGAACCATGGAATGGTTTGGGTGATGGGACCTCTGAAGGTTGGGTTGGAAGGAACTTGAGGAACCAAATCAATGGGTTGGGACATGGAATCATGGAACCATGGAATGATGGAACCATGGAATCATGGAATGGTTTGGGTGGATGGGACCTCTGAAGGTTGGGTTGGAAGGAACCTCTGAAGGTTGGGTTGGAAGGAACTTGAGGAACCAAATCAACTGGGTGGGACGTGGAATCATGGAATGGTTTGGGTGGATGGGACATCTGAAGGTTGGGTTGGAAGGAACTTGAGGAACCAAATCAACGGGGTGGGACATGGAATCATGGAATTGTGGAATCATGGAATGGTTTGGGTGGAAGGAACATCTGAAGGTTGGGTTGGAAGGAACTTGAGGAACCAAGTCAATGGGTTGGGACATGGAATGATGGAACCATGGAATGGTTTGGGTGGAAGGAACCTCTGAAGGTTGGGTTGGAAGGAACTTGAGGAACCAAATCAACGGGTTGGGACGTGGAATCATGGAATGGTTTGGGTGATGGGACCTCTGAAGGTTGGGTTGGAAGGAACTTGAGGAACCAAATCAACGGGTTTGGACATGGAACCATGGAATTGTGGAACCATGGAATGGTTTGGGTGGAAGGGACCTTAGAAGGTTGGGTTGGAAGGAACTTGAGGAACCAAATCAACGGGTTGGGACGTGGAATCATGGAACCATGGAACCATGGAATGGTTTGGGTTGATGGGACCTCTGAAGGTTGGGTTGGAAGGAACTTGAGGAGATGGGAGAAGTTCCAGGAGTGGAGGTGACACTGATCCCACAAAGGTGTCACAGATCATTTCCTCTTGGATCTCCTGTTGGATTTCCGGGAAGGAGAAGGGTGGGAAAGGTCCCACAGCACCTCCAGGAGATGTTTGGGATGAGTTCCTCATCTGTCGTTCCATGAGGAGATCAACCAAGAGGAAAGGAACCAAATTAATGGGATGGGACATGGAACCATGGAATGGTTTGGGTGGAAGGGACCTCTGAAGGTTGGGTTGGAAGGAACTTGAGGAACCAAATCAAAGGTGTGGGACGTGGAACCATGGAACCATGGAACCATGGAATGGTTTGGGTGGATGGGACCTCTGAAGGTTGGGAGGAAGGAACTTGAGGAACCAAATCAACGGTTGGGACATGGAATGATGGAACCATGGAATCATGGAACCATGGAATCATGGAACCATGGAACCATGGAATGGTTTGGGTGGATGGGACCTCTGAAGGTTGGGTTGGAAGGAACTTGAGGAACCAAATCAGTGGGACATGGAATCATGGAATGGTTTGGGTTGAAGGAACTTCTGAAAGTTGGGTTGGAAGGAACTTGAGGAACCAAATCAGGGGGTTGGGACATGGAATCGTGGAATGGTTTGGGTTGAAGGAACCTCTGAAGGTTGAGTTGGAAGGAACTTGAGGAGATGGGAGAAGTTCCAGGAGTGGAGGTGACACTGATCCCACAAAGGTGTCACAGATCATTTCCTCTTGGATCTCCCGTTGGATTTCCAGGAAGGAGAAGGGTGGGAAAGGTCCCACAGCACCTCCAGGAGATGTTTGGGATGAGTTCCTCATCTGCCGTTCCATGAGGAGATCAACCAAGAGGAAAGGAACCAAATTAATGGGTTGGGACATGGAACCATGGAATGGTTTGGGTGGTGGGACCTCTGAAGGTTGGGTTGGAAGGAACTTGAGGAACCAAATCATGGAACCATGGAATCATGGAATGGTTTGGGTTGAAGGAACTTCTGAAGGTTGAGTTGGAAGGAACTTGAGGAACCAAATCAACGGGGTGGGACGTGGAATCATGGAACCATGGAACCATGGAATGGTTTGGGTGGATGGGACCTCTGAAGGTTGGGTTGGAAGGAACTTGAGGAACCAAATGATGGGTTGGGACGCGGAATCATGGAACCATGGAATGATGGAACCATGGACTGATGGAACCATGGAACCATGGGATGGTTTGGGTGGAAGGAACCTCTGAAGGTTGGGTTGGAAGGAACTTGAGGAACCAAATCAACGTGTTGGGACATGGAACCATGGAATGGTTTGGGTTGATGGGACCTCTGAAGGTTGGGTTGGAAGGAACTTGAGGAACCAAGTCATGGGTTGGGACGTGGAATCATGGAATGGTTTAGGTGGAAGGAACTTCTGAAGGTCGAGTTGGAAGGAACTTGAGGAACCAAATCAACGGGTTGGGACATGGAATCATGGAACCATGGAATCATGGAACCATGGAATGATGGAACCATGGAATGATGGAACCATGGAATCATGGAACCATGGAATCATGGAACCATGGAATCATGGAACCATGGAACCATGGAATGGTTTGGGTGGAAGGAACCTCTGAAGGTTGGGTTGGAAGGAACTTGAGGAACCAAATCATGGGGGTGGGACATGGAATCATGGAACCATGGGGTGGTTTGGGTGATGGGACCTCTGAAGGTTGGGTTGGAAGGAACTTGAGGAACCAAATCAACGGGTTGGGACATGGAATCATGGAACCATGGAATCATGGAACCATGGAATGATGGAACCATGGAATCATGGGATGGTTTGGGTTGATGGGACCTCTGAAGGTTGGGTTGGAAGGAACTTGAGGAACGAAATCAACGGGTTGGGACGTGGAATGATGGAACCATGGAATGATGGAACCATGGAATGATGGAACCATGGAATCATGGAACCATGGAATCATGGAATCATGGAACGATAGAATGATGGAATGGTTTGGGTGGAAGGGACCTCTGAAGGTTGGGTTGGAAGGAACTTGAGGAACCAAATCATGGGTTGGGACATGGAATGATGGAACCATGGAATGATGGAACCATGGAATGATGGAACCATGGAATCATGGAATGGTTTGGGTGATGGGACCTCTGAAGGTTGGGTTGGAAGGAACTTGAGGAACCAAATCAGTTGGTTGGGACATGGAATCATGGAACCATGGAATGATGGAACCATGGAATGATGGAACCATGGAATGATGGAACCATGGAATGATGGAACCATGGAATGATGGAACCATGGAATGATGGAACCATGGAATGATGGAACCATGGAATGATGGAACCATGGAACCATGGAATGGTTTGGGTTGAAGGAACTTCTGAAGGTTGAGTTGGAAGGAACTTGGAGGAACCAAATCATGGGTTGGGACATGGAATGATGGAACCATGGAATGATGGAACCATGGAATCATGGAATGGTTTGGGTGGATGGGACCTCTGAAGGTTGGGTTGGAAGGAACTTGAGGAACCAAATCAATGGGTTGGGGACGTGGAATCATGGAATCATGGAATGGTTTGGGTGGAAGGAACCACAAAGACCATCCACTATCCGAGGTCGCTCCAATCCCCATCCAACCTGACCTGGAGAACTTCCAGGCATGGAGAACCACCACAGAACCCACCGTTCCGCGGTTCCTCACTTACCTTTGGTGTCATTCACCGGATCCATGTGCCGGTAGATGTATCCCTCAAGGTAGGAATGAAATTTGGGCGTCGGTGGGAAAAAGGCCAAACAAATGGCCATGAGCTCCCACCCACGTGCCAAACTCTCGTAACGGAAGTTCTCGGTGGTCTGCCGGCACAGTTGGATGTAGAGCTCATCTCTCAACCCTTGCATGCTCCAACCTTTGGTGGCGATCTCCAAAGCCACGTTGAGTTGGTCCGTCTTGGCCCGCCGGTCACCCATGTACATCTGGATGAGCTTGAAGATCTCGCACGCTTCCTTCTTGACGTTACGATCGTTGGTCATGATCATGGGCTTCTTGATGGACTCGCTGCTCCAGGCCAACATGTTGGCGATGGAGACCTTCCGTCGGAAGAGTCCTTGGGTGTGTTTGTTGAAGTGTTTGGAGGCCCAGTTCTCGATGTCCGTCTCCGAGGACGGTTTGCGCAGGTTGAAGGTCGGGAAGACGCAACTGGCGCTCGGCATCATGTTGCGCGTCTGGCGGCCGCCGTCGAACTGCGCGCAGGCGCCGAGGTCCTCGGACTGCGGGGACGGGAGGGACGGGTCAGAGGGGTGGGTGGAGTGATCGATAAGTTGATTGATTGAGTGATTAGTTGATTGAGTAATAGATCAATGAGTAGATAATAAGTCAATCAATCAATCAATCAACCGATGGCTCAATCAACCAACTGATCAGTCAACCATCAACTAACTGATCAATAAATCAGCCAACCGACTGATCAACCAACCAAACAACGGATCAATTAATCAACCAATCAACCAACTGATCATACAACCAATCATCCAACTGATCAATTAATCAACCAATCAACCAACCGATAAATCAATCAACCAACTGATCAATCAATCAGTCAACTGACTGATCAACCAACCAACTGATCGATCAACCAACCAACTGATTAATTAATCAGCCAATCAACCAACTGATCAATCAACCAATCAATGGCTCAGTCAATCAAGAAACCAACCAACTGATCAATCAACCAGCCAATGGCTCAATCAATCAACCAAGCAGCCAACAAACTGATCAATCAACAAACCAACCAACCAACTGATCGATCAACAAACCAACCAACTAATCAATTAATCAACCAATCAACCAACTGATCAATTAATCAGCCAATCAACCAACTGATCAATCAATCAATCAATGGCTCAATCAATCAACCAACCAATGGCTCAATCAACCAATCAACCAACTTATCAATCAACCAGCCAATGGCTCAATCAATCAACCAACCAGCCAACCAACTGATCAATCAACAAACCAACCAACTGATCAATCAACAAACCAATCATCCAACTGATCAATTAATCAGCCAACCGACTGATCAACCAACCAATCGATCAATCAAGCAACCAACTGATCAATTAATCAGCCAATCAACCAACCGATCAATCACCAACCAACCAACTGATCAATTAATCAGCCAATCAACCAACTGATCAATCAACCAATCAATGGCTCACTCAATCAACCAACCAACCAACTGATCAATCAACCAGCCAATGGCTCAATCAATCAACCAAGCAGCCAACCAATTAACAAATCAATCAATCAACCAACCAACAAATCAATCAATCAACCAATCAACCAATCAACCAACCAATCAACCAACCAAGCAAACAACCAACAAATTAATTGATCAACCAATCGACCACTCAACCAACCAATCAACAAACAAATCAATCAATCAATCAATTGACCAATCAACCAACAAATCAATCAGCCAGCCAATCAACAAATCAATCAAGCAATCAATCAACCATGGAATGAATGAATGAATCAATCAATCAATCAATCAACAAATCAATCAATCAACCAATCAACCAACCAACCCACAAATCAATCAACCAATCGACCAATCAACCAACAAACAATCAGCCAACCAATCAACAAACCAATCAATCAATCAATCAACCAACCAACCAACCAATCAATCAATCAACCAACCAACCAACCAATCAATTGATCAACCAATCGACCAACCAATCAACCAACCAACCAACAAATCAATCAATCAATCAACCAACCTACCAACCAACCAATCAACCAACAAATAAATCAATCAACCAATCAATCAATCAATCAACCAACCAACCAACCGCCCGCTGCAGCCTCAGAGATGTTCCCATGGTCCTCTCCAAGGAGCTTCTCCTCAATCCCACCGTGGCCAAGTGGAGCTGACCCGGTGCCAGGAACCCACCACCCAAAATCACCTCCCAGGGCGGTTCTCCAGGAGGAGAACCTCCAGGAGGAGAACCTCCAGGAGGAGAACCTCCTCTCCAGGAGGAGAACCTTCTCTCCAGGAGGAGAACCTTCTCTCCAGGAGGAGAACCTCCTCTCCAGGAGGAGAACCTTCTCTCCAGGAGGAGAACCTTCTCTCCAGGAGGAGAAGCTCCTCTCCAGGAGGAGAACCTCCTCTCCAGGAGGAGAACCTTCTCTCCAGGAGGAGAACCTCCAGGAGGAGAACCTTCTCTCCAGGAGGAGAACCTTCTCTCCAGGAGGAGAACCTTCTCTCCAGGAGGAGAAGCTCCTCTCCAGGAGGAGAAGCTCCTCTCCAGGAGGAGAACCTCCTCTCCAGGAGGAGAACCTCCAGGAGGAGAACCTTCTCTCCAGGAGGAGAAGCTCCTCTCCAGGAGGAGAACCTCCTCTCCAGGAGGAGAAGCTCCTCTCCAGGAGGAGAACCTTCTCTCCAGGAGGAGAACCTCCTCTCCAGGAGGAGAACCTTCTCTCCAGGAGGAGAACCTTCTCTCCAGGAGGAGAACCACCTCTCCAGGAGGAGAACCTTCTCTCCAGGAGGAGAACCTCCTCTCCAGGAGGAGAACCTCCAGGAGGAGAACCTTCTCTCCAGGAGGAGAACCTTCTCTCCAGGAGGAGAACCTCCTCTCCAGGAGGAGAACCTCCTCTCCAGGAGAAGCTCCTCTCCAGGAGGAGAACCTTCTCTCCAGGAGGAGAAGCTCCTCTCCAGGAGGAGAACCTCCTCTCCAGGAGGAGAAGCTCCTCTCCAGGAGGAGAACCTCCTCTCCAGGAGGAGAACCTTCTCTCCAGGAGGAGAACCTCCTCTCCAGGAGGAGGCTGGTGACTCCTCTGAGCCGTGACCATCATGGATGGTCCTTCTGACCATCCTGAGGGACAGGAGATGCTCAGGGTTTAACTTTGACCTCTGCGGGTTCAATCTGGGGAGGACCCAGCAGATCCCTGTGGACCAGTGTCCTCCTCCTGCTGGAACCGGCCCAGCTCGTGGATGTCACCGCAGGAGGTTGAGGGACACCCCTGGAGCTCCACCAGCATGGGACAATCGGGATGGACAATTCTGTGGTCCTGCAGCCAGGACCACAGAACTGGTCCAAGGGATCACCTTGGCAAAACCAACTTTGAGGGACCATCTTGGCAAAGACCAACTTTGAAGGACCACCTCGGCAAGGACCAACATCTTTGTGGGACCACCTTGGTTAGGACCAACTTCTTTGAGGGACCACCTTGGCAAGGACCAGTTTTGAAGGACCACCTTGGCAAGAACCAACTTTGAGGGACCACCTTGGCAAGGACCAACATCTTTGAGGGACCACCTTGCCAAGGACCAACTTCTTTGAGGGACCACCTTGCTAATGACCAATTTTGAAGGACCACCTTGGCAAGGACCAACTTCTTTGAGGGACCACCTTGGCAAGGACCAACTTCTTTGAGGAACCACCTTGGCAAGGACCAGCTTCGAGGGACCACCTTGGCAAGGACCAGTTTTGAAGGACCACCTTGGCAAGGACCAACTCTGAGGGACCACCTCAGCAAAGATCAACATCTTTGAGGGACCACCTTGGTTAGGACCAACTTCTCTGAGGGACCACCTTGCTAATGACCAATTTTGAGGGACCACCTTGGCAAGGACCAACTTTAAAGGACCACTTTGGCAAGGACCAACTTTTTTGAGGGACCACCTTGGTTAGGACCAACATCTTTGAGGGACCACCTTGGTAAGGACCAACTTCGAGGGACCACCTTGGTTAGGACCAATTTTGAGGGACCACCTTGTCAAGGACTCACTTTAAAGGACCACCTTGGCAAGGACCAATTTCGAGGGACCACCTTGGCAAGGACCAACTTATTTGAGGGACCACCTTGCTAATGACCAATTTTGAGGGACCACCTTGGCAAGAACCAACTTTGAGGGACCACCTTGGCAAGGACCAACTTTGAGGGACCACCTTGGCAAGGACCAACCTTGAAGGACCACCTTGGCAAGGACCAACATCTTTGATGGACCACCTTGGCAAGGACCAACTTTGAGGGACCACCTTGGCAAGGACCAACATCTTTGAGGGACCACCTTGCTAATGACCAATTTTGAAGGACCACCTTGGCACGAACCAACTTCGAGGGACCACCTTGGCAAAGACCAACACCTTTGAGGGACCACCTTGGCAAGAATCAACTTTAAAGGATCACTTTGGCAAGGACCAACCTTGAAGGACCACCTTGGCAAGGACCAGCTTCGAGGGACCATCTTGATTAGGACCAGCATCTTTGAGGAACCACCTTGGCAAGGACCAACTTTGAGGGACCACCTTGGCAAAGACCAAGTTTGAAGATCCACCTTGCCAAGGACCAACATCTTTGAGGGACCACCTTGCTAAGGACTGACTTTGAAGTACCACCTTGTCAAGGACCAACTTTGAGGGACCACCTTGGTAATGACCAATTTTGAGGGACCACCTTGTCAAGGACTCACTTTATGGGACCACCTCAGCAAGGACCAACTTCCCTGAGGGACCACCAGCGATGGGCCCTCAGGAACCTCCCGTGATCTGCGTGAATCCAAAACACCAAGAACCTCCCAAAGGACGTTACCTGAGATGGATGAAGATACGGCTCCGGCGAAGCCAGGTTGGTCTGGACAGAAACGCTCTTCTCCAGCAAGATCTGAGGAAACCCCAACTTCTCAAAGGTGTTCCTCTTCCAATGCTTGTTCTCCTGCTGGGCCAACGCTTCATCTTCACTGAAGGCCCTCACCACCGGTCCCGGCATGGGCAGCGGCAGCGCGCCGTCGCTCTCGTAACCGGAACCGTCTTTTTGGGAATCCCAACTGCTCCGTTGCTTCATGTGGTAATGCGCCTGTTGCGCCTCCCACGCCAACCGCGCCTGCGCCAGGAACGGCTCCGGAAAGTTCCGCGCCGCCTCCGCCTCCGCCGCTTTGTTCTCCGTCCGGTTGTGTCCCACCGCCGCTCGTTCCTCACCCACCTCACCTGATGTCTCACGTTCTCCTGACCCATCGGTGGAGGAGACGTTGACATCGTGGTTGACCGAAGGTTTACGACTTTTCCTCTTCCTGGTTGACGGCGAGTAACCGCTGGAGGACAAAGTGTCCTGCTGGCTTGACCACGACATGGAGTCCTCACCTTGCGTCACCGGCGCGCTGGTGGGACCGGAGGAGAAGTCATGTCCTTCCATGCTGCTGTAATCACCAGATTTGATGTCCCTCAGCAGACACGGGCTGTGCTGCAACGAGTAGGAACCACCGATGGGGTTGGGCGAATATTTGTGCCTCAAACCCGTCTTCATCTTGGGGCTGGAGCCCGATTGCTCCACGTAGACCAACTGGCGGACGTACTCCTTCCCGGCGGGGCTGTACTCCAAACTCATGAAGCGATCGGGACATTTCTGCTTGGTGAGCACCAACTGTTGGTACGGCGAGTTGGAGCTTTGCTTGGGCGACTGGAGGAACGGGTGAGGTTTGCGGATCGGCGATTTTTGCGGCGACGCGGCTTTGAAGCTCCCGCTGGCTTCGTACTGCATGTCCACCGGCGGTTCGTCGTAGATGGGCGGTTGGTATTCCATGGGGGGCTCTTCGTAGAGCGGCGGTTCGTAGGCGTAACGCGGCGACGAGGGTTGGGATTCGCTGGAATGTTTGCGGTGTTGCGAGCAGAAGGAATCGCCGCGACCCAACAGCGGCGAACAGCTGCCCACGTGTTCGGCCCTCTTCAGGAACGGCGATTGTTTCCTCTCCGAGAAGAAGACGGAGCTGTCGGCGTCCGAGGAGAAGGTTTGGAGGTTGGGCGATTGTTGACCGCCGGAAGGTCGGCGTGAACGTGAAGCCGGTTGGTTTTCCGGCGCGTAACCGTTGCCTTGGTGGAGGAGGAAACTCGGTTCCCGATCCGTCACCTTGATCAGCATCCGCTCCTTGGTGCCGGCGTTCCACCGGAGGGATGAGGCCCTGTGAGGAGAAACATCACCAGGAGAGGTCAGAATTCCACCAAAATTTGGGATGGATTCTCCCAAACATCCCAGATGGATATTCCCGAGAGATGGAGACACGGGGAATGACTTCCCACTTCCAAAGGGCAGAGTTGGGTGGGATAACGGGAAGGAATTCTCCACCGTGAGGGTGGGGAGGTTCTGGAATGGAATTCCCAGAGAAGATGTGGCTTCTCCATCCCTGGAAGTGTCCAAGACCAGGTTGGACATGGCTTGGAGCAACCTGGGATAGCGGAAAAAAATTCCTGCCCTTGGGATTGGATATTGGGAAGGAATTTTTCCCTGGCATGGTGGATTCCCATCTCCTCATTCCAAGACCTTGGGACACTCAGGAGAAGACCAAAGATGGATTTGATGGAGCTGCCCAGGTGGAATTTGCCGTTCCGGAGGCGCGGAGAAGAACATCCCGTCACCAATCCCACGCTGGAACAGAAGATTCCGGAGGCTCCATCTGTTCTCCTGGTTCATCCCTTTCCATTTCTCGTTTATTCCGGGATATTTTTTCCCAGGAAAAGGTGGAATCATCTCAATCATTGAATTTTGAGAGGAAAATTCCCACAAAAAGCCACAATTCCCTGCAGGAATCTCCACGTTTGCCCACAAATTTATCCTCTCTCCAAAGGATTTGGGAACAATTTATTCCTCCTTTTCCCACCTTTGGAGCTTCTGGGAATTTGAACCTCCTGCCAACTTCTCGCTGCCAAAAACATGGATGAGTTTGATGGATCTCAACCCCTTCCAGACCTAAATTCCATCCGTGACCACAAAATCATGGATTTATGGAATTTGGGTTGGAAGTGGCCTTAAAGCTCATCCAGTTCCTGGAAGTTGGGACAACTTCCACCATCTGAGGTTGCTCCAAGCCCATTCTGCTCCTGAAAAATCTGCTTTTCCTGCTCAATCTTGGATGACTCCGCGTTTTTTTTGGAAGAGTTGGAGGTTTTTAATCCTCATTAATAATCTGATTTTTATACACAGATCCCAAAAACGATGAGGAAAGAAAATTAAAATAAATTCCCAGCAGAACTGGATTGGAATTCCCAGAGAATCTTTGGCTGCCTCATCCCTGGAAATATCCAAATCCAGGGATTGGAGCAACCTGAGATGGTGGAAGTTGTCCCTCCCCATGGAAAAAAAGGTTGATCCGAAAATTCCCGGCAAAAATCCACATTTCCACATTTTCCCCACCCCTAACCGAACCCAAATCCCTCAAAATTTCAGGTATTTTCACTCAAAATCAGGTGAAATCGCCCCTTAATTCCCAAATTTCCAGCTGCCGTTAATATCCCGCATCCGAATAAAAATCACCTTCTTCAATCCGACATTTTCCATCCCAAATATTAAATATTTGGAAGCGATATTCCCGAAATTCCGCAGATTACGACTAACCCCGACGCCGGAAAAATTTTTAAAAAAAATGGAATAAATGGAATTTTTTGCTGTTAAAAAGGAAATCCCAAAAAGGCAATTTTTGGGCTGAAATCGCCGCTCCGGGAAATTCAAGGGATGGGGCAGAAATTCCAAATATTCCGGTTATTTCTGCTTGAGATTTGAGGTTTTAAAAATAAGAATATTTCCAAAACCGACCCAAACCACCCATTTTTCCAAGATTTTTTCCTCTGCCCTGGTGTTATTTAGATTTTGCAGGTGAAGATTAAAATTTAAAGCTGGAATTAAGCTGGGAAAAGGGGGAAAAAAAATCCCTGATTTGAAGAATTCCAATATTGGAAAAAAGAAAAAAAAATCAGGGAAAAATGACCAGAGGAAGCTGAAAATTCCCAGATTTCCACCTGGAATTTCCTGTGATCCATCTGAATTTTTCCAGCTGGGAAAACGCCCTCAGGATGGGAATTCAGCATCTAAAATCGTGCAAAAATTCGTATTTTTTGTTAATTTATAATTTAGAATTTGGTTAAACCCAATGATGAAATGCTGGAGAATTCCATCTTTAAGGTTTTGGGTTTTTTTGGGAGCGGTTCCCAAAAAATCGATGTGGAATTTTGTGGAATTCCGTACATATAAATATCCCATTGCTTGGGCTGGGATTTTAAATTCTGCATTTTAAAAATTCAGATTTTTAAATTCCTTCCTCAGATTTTAAATTCCTCCAATCTCAGATTTTTGTGGGATTTGGGATTCTCCCAACCCCACCAACCCTTCCCCCACTCTTCCGATCCTTTTTCCCATTTTTCGGAGCTCGGAACCGTAATTTCCTCCTTGGAGTTAATTTTTTTTTTAGGAAGCATTTTGATTGGTTGAAGCTGATTCCTAGAAGGTGAAATTTGCATAATTTGGGCAATAAAATGGATATTTTGGAAGAAGGTGAAGACCAGGATCGCGTTTTCCCGGGATGGTTTGATGGATACAATCCATGGGATATCCAGGAAAAATCCAGTTTGGTCTTTTTGTGGGAATTTTGAAGCCCAATGTTGACATCTAATATTGCTTTGATGGATGTCCACCACCTCCTGAGGTTCCTCCACACGCAATTCCATTCTCCAGCTAAAATATTCCCGAAGGATTATACCCATAAAATTCCATTAAAAATTCCAATTATTTTTCCAAAATTTTCATGGATTGTGCAATCCTCATCTCCGGATGGCGCCGTGGGACCTCCAAACCTTCAACACCAAATCTCTCCGTGAAACATCTCCAACGTTCCGCCGCTAATTAACGCTGAGTTAATTAAGACCCATCCCATCCCTCGTCATCCCAATTCCCACTTTTTTTTTCCCGGGAGAAGCAGAAGATGAATTTTTGCCATTTTCAGGATTTTATGGGATGTCGTTGATGAGGAAACACCAAAACGAACTCGGACGATCGTTCCCGATGCGTCCCTTGGCCGAAGGTCAAGTTGACCTTGCTGGAGGTGTCCTCTTGGTTTGGGACATCGTGATGGTCTCCATGGAGCTCCTCCAGGATCGATCCCACCGGGAACCCACAAGACCAACATATGGAATCTGCTCCCGCAGTTCCAAAAAGTTCCAAAAATTGTGATTTTTTTGGTGCCAAAATCTTTCCTTCTCTTGGTGTCTCCAGTGGGACTCAGGAATGTCCTCCCACTTCCAGAGGGTGGAATTTTGGGAAGGAATTCTTCCCTGTGATGGGCTGGAATGGAATTCCAAGAAAAGCTGTGGATGCTCCATCCTGGAATTGTCCAAGATTAGGTTGGATGAGGGTTGAGAAGAAGACCCATCAAAATCAACCATCAACCCTCATCCATTTTTTTCCCAAAAAATGGGATTTTCATCCCATGGCTCCTCAGGGAATCAGTGGTGTCAGTTCTTCTCCTCTTCCTCACTTCCATGGGAATTCGGGAATGGATTCACCACTAAAAATCAGGAATTTATTGACCATTATTGGAACCGTGCTCAACATCTGGTGGTGGTTCCTCACCTCCTTCCCAGGTTTCTCCTGGAAGTCTCTTCCTGAATTTTGGGGCTGGATTTATATAATTCGGTCAAATTACAGCAATTCCCTAAATCCACACGGACGACAAATCCGGGTGGAGAAAGGCTGAACGTGACCACGGAAGGATTTGGACACTGAACCTCCAAACGTGGAGGACGAATCCAAAAACCTCCTGTGGGAGCCATGAGGTGAAAATAGCTGGAAAATCACAAATTTTGGGCAAATTATGGCCGCCTCCCCAAAACAGAGGTGGTCCCACCACCGTGACCACCTCCTAAACCACAGTGGACACCAACCCACCTCCGAAACCACCTCTGGTGCCTCCACGTGAGGTTCTGTGGAGCTCCAAAAGGTGGTCCTGGGATTTTTTTTAGGGAGTCAACCCCAATTTTCTTCTTATTTCTCCCAATTTTTTCGCTGTGAAACGATTCCTGTTGACCACAAGAAGATGGAAGATCTCTCCAAACATTCCTGGATGTGGAAGTCCGGGAGAAATGGAGGAAGACCAAACCAAGGAACCCTCTGTGGGTGAAGCAGCCACGATTCCACTGATGGATTGGACATCCCAATCCCGAAAAAAATTGGGATTCTTCCTGCTCATGGATTGGACATCCCAAATTTCTACAAAAATCTGGAACACATCTGGTCACCTTCTCCAGCTCCAAAACCTGGAACGACGGATCCCTCAAAGCTTTGGTTCCATCTCTGCTGTCGGGAGGAGAAAAGGAGAAGAAATTCCTTCACGTTGAAGATTTTTGGTTGAAAATCCATCTTGAGCAGCCTTGGACCTTCCAACCGTTGATTGGCCAATGCAACCATGGGATGAAGAGAGAAATTTGGGATTTCTCCCAAAAAATAGCAGATTTCATGATGGGAAGACTGATTGATTGATTGATTGATTGATTGGTTTTGGATCGAAGAGGGAAAGGTCATGGATTGGGAATTATGGGATTTGGAATTCCAGGTTCTCCATCCTCTTAACGACACCCACCAATCTTCGTTATTTTGGAAAAATTATTTTGGGAATCGTTGTCCGGAAGCTCCGAGGAAGCGGAAAAATCCATCCCCACTGCAGCTCCGGGGGTGATCCAAGAGCTTCACCTTGAGGTGGTGATGATTCCATGGATGAAGATCCCACGGGATTTCTCAGTCACGTTTTGGTTTCTCTCCAACGTTCCAGGAATTCTCCAACTTCTCCTTTCCCGGTCGAAGGGGACGGAGGAAGGCGGGAAGAACCGTGAGATGGGTCTCACCACGCTTTTCTACCCACCATGGATGAGTGGTGGGACTCAATCCTGTGTCCCTCTGTGGTTTTCCAGAGGAAAACTTCTGGAATTAACGCCAGACTCGAGGAGGAGATGGTTGGAACCACCCGGAAAAGCCGTTTCGCAAACGAGGTTTGGAAGCTGAGGAGCTCCAGCAGCTCTGGTGGAAGCGTCTTAGATCCATCATCCCACTCCGTGATGGATCCATGAAGGTTTGGTTGAGGTTTGGAAGCTGAGGAGCTCCAGCAGCTCCGGTGGAAGCGTTTTAGATCCATCATCCCACTCCGTGATGGATCCATGAAGGTTTGGTGGGTTCCATCCAACTCCAAACCCGTCATCTCCATGTTGGGACAACCAGAGAATTCCCAATCCCTGCCCAAAGTGCAATTCCCATCCCAGGAAGTGTCCCAGGACAATTTGGAGAAATTTGGGATATTGGGAGGTGTCCCTACCCTTGGAATGGTTGGACTGGGATTGGACAACCTTTGAGGTCCCACCAACCCATTCCACAATTCCATGATTAATTCCCCCCTTCCAATTAGCGGGAATTCATCACGAGCTCCGATTCTAAAGGACGTCCGCTCACGGCTAATTAATTAAGCAAATATGCTAATTAGCTCCTTGGCTGGGGTGGCCAGGGCTGCTCCGTGGGGTTTTTATGGGATTGGGAAGATGCTCCACTCATTCCCAAATCCTGAAAAAAATTCAGGAATTTGGGGTTTTATCAAAACCCAGAGGAACCAGGATGGGAGAAACTCCAAAAAATCCCAAAATCCGGTCTTGTCCTCATCTTGGATTTTTGGCGTTTTGGGGGAATTTTGGGGTTCAGTGAGGACTTGGGGGGTTCAAGTAGGATTTGGAGGGGTTCAAGAGGGAATTTTGGGGCTCCGTGAGGATTTTTGGAGCTCAAGAGGAACTTGTGGGATTCAGTTTGGAATTCAGTGAGGATTTGGGGTTCAAGAAGGAATTTTGGGGTTCAATGAGGACCTTTTGGGGTTCAGTGAGGATTTTGGGGGTTCAGTGAAGATTTGGGGTTAAAGAAGGGATTTTGGGGTTCAGTGAGAATTTTTGGAGTTCAGTGAAGATTTGGGGTTCAAGAAGGAATTTGGGGTTAAAGAAGAACTTTTGGGGTTCAGTGAGGATTTTGGGGGTTCAATGAGAATTTTTGGAGCTCAGTGAAGATTTGGGGTTCAAGAAGGAATTTGGGGGTTCAAGAAGGAATTTTGGGGGTTAAAGAAGGAATTTTGGGGGTTCAGCAAGGAAGTAGTGGGGGTTCAGTGAGGATTTGGTGTTCAAGAAGGAATTTGGGGGTTCAAGAAGGAATTTTGGGGGTTCAGTGAGGATTTGGGGTTCAAGAAGGAATTTTGGGGGTTCAAGAAGAACTTTTGGGGTTCAATGAGGACTTTTGGGGTTCGGTGAGGATTTTGGAGCTCAGTGAAGATTTGGGGTTCAAGAAGGAATTTTGGGGGTTCAAGGAGGATTTTTGGAGCTCAAGAGGAACTTGGTGGGATTCAGTTTGGGGGTTCAGTGAGGATTTGGGGGTTCAAGAAGGAATTTTGGGTTCAGTGAGGATTTTGGGGGTTCAATGAGAATTTTTGGAGTTCAGTGAGGATTTCGGGTTAAAGAAGGAATTTGGGGGTTCAAGAAGGAATTTTGGGGGTTCAATAAGAATTTTTGGAGTTCAGTGAAGATTTGGGGTTAAAGAAGGAATTTTGGGGGCTCAAGAGGGAATTTGGGAGTTCAAGAAGGAATTTTGGGGTTCAATGAGGACTTGTGGGGTTCAGTGAAGATTTGGGGTTCAAGAAGGAATTTGGGGGTTAAAGAAGGAATTTTGGGGGTTCAATGAGAATTTTTGGAGTTCAGTGAAGATTTGGGGTTAAAGAAGGAATTTTGGGGGCTCAAGAGGGAATTTTGGGGGTTCAGTGAGGATTTTGAGGGTTCAGTGAGAATTTGGGGTTCAAGAAGGAATTTGGGGGTTTAGTGAGGATTTTTGGGGTTCAGTGAAGATTTGGGGTTCAAGAAGGAATTTGGGGTTCAAGGGGAATTTTGGAGTTCAGTGAGCATTTAGGGTTAAAGAAAGAATTTGGGGGTTCAAGAAGGAATTTTGGGGGTTCAGTGAAGATTTGGGGTTAAAGAAGGAATTTGGGGTTCAAGAAGGAATTTGGGGGTTCAATGAGGAATTTTGGGGTTCAGCAAGGCAGTAGTGGGGGTTCAGTGAGGATTTGGGGTTCAAGAAGGAATTTTGGGGTTCAATGAAGACTTTTGGGGTTCAGTGAGGAATTTGGGGGTTCAGTGAGGATTTGGGGTTAAAGATGAACTTTTGGGGTTCAGTGATAATTTTTGGAGTTCAGTGAAGATTTGGGGTTAAAGAAGAAATTTGGGGTTCAAGAGAAGGAATTTGGGGGTTCAATGAGAATTTTGGGGGTTCAGTGAAGATTTGGGGTTCAAGAAGGAATTTGGGGGTTTAAGAAGGACTTTTGGAGTTCAATGAAGATTTGGGGTTCAAGAAGGACTTTTGGGGTTCAGTGAGGATTTTCGGGGTTCAATGAGAATTTTTGGAGTTCAGTGAAGATTTGGGGTTAAAGAAGGAATTTGGGGGTTCAAGAAGGAATTTGGGGTTCAAGAAGGAATTTGGGGGTTCAGTGAGGATTTTTGGGGCTCAGTGAAGATTTGGGGTTCAAGAAGGAATTTGGGGTTCAAGAAGGAATTTTGGGGGTTCAGTGAGGATTTTTGGAGCTCAAGAGGAACTGGTGGGATTCAGTTTGGGGTTCAGTGAGGATTTGGGGTTCAAGAAGGAATTTGGGGGTGCAAGGAGGACTTTTGGGGTTCAGTGAGGATTTTGGGGGTTCAATGAGAATTTTTGGAGTTCAGTGAGGATTTGGGGTTCAAGAAGGAATTTGGGGGTTCAAGAAGGAATTTTGGGGTTGAATGAGGACTTTTGGGGTTCAAGAAGGAATTTTGGGGGTTCAAGAAGGAATTTTGGGGGTTCAGTGAGGATTTGGGGTTCAAGAAGGGATTTTGGGGTTCAGTGAGAATTTTTGGAGCTCAGTGAAGATTTGGGGTTCAAGAAGGAATTTTGGGGGCTCAGTGAGGATTTTGGGGGTTCAAGAAGGAATTTTGGGGGTTCAGTGAGGATTTTTGGAGCTCAAGAAGAACTTGGTGGGATTCATTTTGGGGTTCAGTGAGGATTTGGGGTTCAAGAAGGAATTTTGGCGTTCAGTGAGGATTTTTGGAGCTCAAGAGGAACTTGGTGGGATTCATTTTGGGGTTCAGTGAGGATTTGGGGTTCAAGAAGAAATTTTGGATTCCAATGAGAACTTTTTGAGTTCCTTGAGGACTTTTGGAGTTCCACAAAGACCCGAAGACAACCCACGAAGGTCAGAGATGACCGGAAAACCCTTTGGGAATAAAACATCAGCGACATTCCCTGTCCCACCCACCCCGGGGCCGATTCCGGAGGGAAATTCCGGTACCTGTAGTGCAGGAGTTGTCCTTCCGTGCTGTAATCCCGATAAATGTCGTATTCCTTCTCGAACATTCCGGAAGGCGACGAACTGCAAAACAGGAATGGAGGAGGAGGAGTTACCGACGGAGACGTCGATGGAGATGGATCCCACCAGGATGGGATCCACCTGTCCTGGATCTGCTCGAGTTTGGAGTCATCAATTTTTAATTTTTTAAAATTTTTTAAATAATTTTTTATTTTTTATTTTTATTTTTTTTTATTTTTTATTTTTTATTTTTATTTTTTATTTTTTATTTTTTATTTTTTATTTTTTATTTTTTATTTTTTTTTTTATTTTTTATTTTTTATTTTTCATTTTTAATTATTTTGAGTTGTTGGCCAAGTGACGACCAAGCCACCCATGGCCAACTCTTCAAAGACCAAATTTTCCCTTAAAACTGAGAAGATGCCAAATGTCTCCTGGCCCTTTCCGAGCACCTCGGATGGTCGGAGCCGGCGTGGGAAGAGGAAAATCCCCCAAAAAACCCATTTTTGCCACATTTTCATCAAAATATGAGCTTTTCTTATTCCAGAAGATGGAGAAGGTCACACCCCCAAACCACTCCAAGAGATGCCAAACTTGGAAAAACACGGGGAAAAAAACCCCAAATCCATCTGGAAGTGCGGGATGGAATTTCCAAATTGATTTTTGGATTTGGTGGAGTTGGGAATTCAGACTTGGAGCCCAAGAAGGATTTTGTGGGATTCAAGGAGGATCAAATCCGTGTTTTTGGCTCCACACTTTTCTGACGGCCGCGAATCCGTGCCAAGCGAGCGATTCCGGCGGGATCCAGGCGCTCGGTAACGCCAAATTCCGGGTGAATTCCGAAGGGTGACACATCCCTGATCCGCACCGGTGGGATGGAACGTCCCCATGGATGTGAGGAATGGATTGGGAGAAGCTTCCAGCATCTCCAGCCAAACCTGGAGACGCTGATTCCTAAATCCTAAATTTTAAGGGAATCCTTAAAGCGGGTGTGAATTCCAATTAAAAACTTCCCCACTTATCCCAAATTCCCTTTTCCAACCAAATGAGCTGAGCCGAGCCAGAAACCTTTAAATGATATTTTATGGGATGAGATCTTGGAACTACGGGATCTCCGGGAATCATGGAATGGTTGGGCTTGGAAGGGGCCTTCAAGAACATGGAATTACACAGGGACACCTTCCACCATCCCAGGTTGCTCCAAGCTCCTTCCAACCTGGCCTTGGACACTTCCAAGGATGGGGAAAATGTGGGAATGGGGTTTTTTTTTCTCATCCCTGTCACCTCCAGGGATGGAGGTGGAAATTCCAGTTGGCAGGAATGATCCTTTCCCCAGGAAATTCCTGATCCCACCTTGGGAATGATCCTTTCCCCACGAAATTCCTGATCTCATCTCCAGAATTATCATTTCCCTGGGAAATTCCTGATCCCACCTTGGGAATGATCCTTTCCCCACAAAATTCCTGATGTCATTTCAAGAATTATCATTTCCCCGGGAAATTCCTGATCCCAGTTTGGGAATGATCCTTTCCCCACGAAATTCCTGATGTCATCTCCAGAATTATCATTTCCCTGAGAAATTCCTGATCTCATTTCCAGAATGATCCTTTCCCAGGAAATTCCTGATCCCAACTTGGGAATGATCCATTCCCCAGGAAATTCCTGATCCCAGTTTGGGAATGATCCTTTCCCCACGAAATTCCTGATGTCATCTCCAGAATTATCATTTCCCTGGGAAATTCCTGATCCCAGCTCGGGAATGATCCTTTCCCAGGAAATTCCTGATCCCACCTTGGGAATGATCCTTTCCCCACGAAATTCCTGATGTCATCTCCAGAATTATCATTTCCCTGGGAAATTCCTGATCCCAGTTTGGGAATGATCCTTTCCCCAGGAAACTCCTGATCCCACCTTGGGAATGATCCTTTCCCCAGAAAATTCCTGATGTCATCTCCAGAATTATCATTTCCCTGGGAAATTCCTGATCCCACCTTGGGAATGATCCTTTCCCCAGGAAATTCCTGATCTCAGCTTGGGAATGATCCTTTCCCCAGGAAATTCCTGATGTCATTTCCAGAATTATCATTTCCCTGAGAAATTCCTTCATTCCACCTCGGGAATGATCCTTTCCCCAGGAAACTCCTGATCCCACCTTGGGAATGATCCTTTCCCCAGGAAATTCCTGATCTCATTTCCAGGATGATTCTTTCCACAGAAAACTCCTGATTCCACCTTGGGAACAATCCATTCCCCAGGAAATTCCTGATCCCACCTCGGGAATGATCCTTTCCCAGGAAATTCCTGATGTCATCTCCAGAATTATCATTTCCCTGGGAAATTCCTGATCCCAGTTTGGGAATGATCCTTTCCCCAGGAAATTCCTGATCCCAGCTTGGGAATGATCCTTTCCCAGGAAATTCCTGATTCCACCTCGGGAATGATCCTTTCCCCTGGAAACTCCTGATCCCACCTCGGGAATGATCCTTTCCCCAGGAAATTCCTGATCCCAGCTTGGGAATGATCCATTCCCTGGGAAATTCCTGATCCCAGCTTGGGAATGATCCTTTCCCAGGAAATTCCTGATTCCACCTTGGGAATGATCCTTTCCCCAGGAAATTCCTGATCCCACCTTGGGAATGATCCTTTCCCCAGGAAATTCCTGATCCCAGCCTGGGAATGATCCTTTTCCAGGAAATTCCTGATCTCATTTCCAGAATTATCATTTCCCTGGGAAATTCCTGATCCCATTTTGGGAATGATCCTTTCCCCAGGAAATTCTGGATCCCACCTTGGGAATGATCCTTTTCCAGGAAATTCCTGATCTCATTTCCAGAATGATCCTTTCCCCAGGAAACTCCTGATCCCAGCTTGGGAATTATCCTTTCCCCACAAAATTCCTGATCTCATTTCCAGAATTATCATTTCCCCTGGAAATTCCTGATCCCACCTCTGGAATGATCCTTTTCCCAGGAAATTCCTGATCTCAGCTTGGGAATGATCCTTTCCCCAGGAAATTCCTGATCCCACCTTGGGAATGATCCTTTCCACAGGAAATTCCTGATCCCAGCTTGGGAATGATCCTTTCCCCACGAAATTCCTGATCCCACCTCTGGAATGATCCTTTCCCCAAGAAATTCCTGATCCCAGTTTGGGAATGATCCTTTCCACAGGAAATTCCTGATGTCATTTCCAGAATGATCCTTTCCCCAGGAAATTCCTGATCCCACCTTGGGAATGATCCTTTCCCCAGGAAATTCCTGATTCCAGCTTGGGAATGGTCCTTTCCCAGGAAATTCCTGATCTCATTTCCAGAATGATCCTTTCCCCAGGAAATTCCTGATCCCACCTTGGGAATGATCCTTTCCCCAGGAAATTCCTGATGTCATCTCCAGAATTATCATTTCCCTGGGAAATTCCTGATCTCATTTCCAGGATGATTCTTTCCACAGGAAATTCCTGATCCCACATTGGGAATGATCCTTTCCCAGGAAATTCCTGATCCCACCTTGGGAATGATCCTTTCCCCAGGAAATTCCTGATCCCAGTTTGGGAATGATCCTTTCCCCAGGAAATTCCTGATCCCAGTTTGGGAATGATCCATTCCCCACGAAATTCCTGATCCCAGTTTGGGAATGATCCTTTCCCCAGGAAATTCCTGATCCCAGTTTGGGAATGATCCTTTCCCAGGAAATTCCTGATCCCACCTCGGGAATGATCCTTTCCTTGGGAAATTCCTGATCCCAGTTTGGGAATGATCCTTTCCCCAGGAAATTCCTGATCCCAGTTTGGGAATGATCCTTTCCCAGGAAACTCCTGATCCCAGCTTGGGAATGATCCTTTCCACAGGAAATTCCTGATTCCACCTCGGGAATGATCCTTTCCCCAGGAAATTACTGATCCCAGCTTGGGAATGATCCTTTCCCCACAAAATTCCTGATGTCATCTCCAGAATTATCCTTTCCCCAGGAAATTCCTGATCCCAGCTTGGGAATGATCCTTTCCCCACGAAATTCCTGATTCCACCTTGGGAATGATCCTTTCCCCAGGAAATTCCTGATCCCACCTTGGGAATGATCTTTTCCCCACAAAATTCCTGAGGTCATCTCCAGAATTATCATTTCCCTGGGAAATTCCTGATCCCAGTTTGGGAATGATCCTTTCCCCAGGAAATTCCTGATCCCACCTCTGGAATGATCCTTTCCCAAGGAAATTCCGGCATTCCACCTCAGGAATGATCCTTTTCCCTGGAAACTCCTGATCCCACCTTGGGAATGATCCTTTCCCCACGAAATTCCTGATGTCATCTCCAGAATTATCATTTCCCTGGGAAATTCTTGATCCCAGTTTGGGAATGATCCTTTCTCCAGGAAATTCCTGCATTCCATCTTGGGAATGATCCTTTCCACAGGAAATTCCTGATCTCATTTCCAGGATGATTCTTTCCACAGGAAACTCCTGATCCCAGCTCGGGAATGATCCTTTCCCCAGGAAATTCCTGATCCCAGCTTGGGAATGATCCTTTCCACATGAAATTCCTGATGTCATCTCCAGAATTATCATTTCCCTGGGAAATTCCTGATCCCAGTTTGGGAATGATCCTTTCCCCAGGAAATTCCTGATCCCACCTTGGGAATGATCCTTTCCCCACGAAATTCCTGATCTCATTTCCAGAATTATCATTTCCCTGGGAAATTCCTGATCCCACCTTGGGAATGATCCTTTCCACAGGAAATTCCTGATGTCATTTCCAGAATGATCCATTCCCCAGGAAATTCCTGATCCCACCTTGGGGATGATTCTTTCCCCAGGAAATTCCTGATGTCATCTCCAGAATTATCTTTTCCCTGGGAAATTCCTGATCCCAGTTTGGGAATGATCCATTCCCCAGAAAATTCCTGATCCCAGTTTGGGAATGATCCTTTCCCCTGGAAATTCCTGATCCCACCTCGGGAATGATCCTTTCCCAGGAAATTCCTGATTCCACCTCGGGAATGATCCTTTCCACAGGAAATTCCTGATCCCAGCTTGGGAATGATCCTTTTCCCAGGAAATTCCTGCATTCCACCTTGGGAATGATCCTTTCCCCATGAAAATCCTGATCCCACCTCTGGAATGATCTTTTCCCCACAAAATTCCTGATCTCATTTCCAGAATTATCATTTCCCTGGGAAATTCCTGATCCCAGCTTGGGAATGATCCTTTCCCCAGGAAATTCCTGATCCCAGCTTGGGAATGATCCTTTCCCCAGGAAATTCCTGCATTCCATCTTGGGAATGATCCTTTCCCCACAAAATTCCTGATCCCACCTTGGGAATGATCCTTTCCCCAGGAAACTCCTGATCCCACATTGGGAATGATCCTTTCCCCATGAAATTCCGGATCTCATTTCCAGAATGATCCTTTCCCCACGAAATTCCTGCATTCCACCTCGGGAATGATTCTTTCCCCAGGAAATTCCTGATCTCATTTCCAGGATGATTCTTTCCACAGGAAATTCCTGATCCCAGCTTGGGAATGATCCTTTCCTTGGGAAATTCCTGATCCCACCTCTGGAATGATCCTTTCCCCAGGAAATTCCTGATCCCACCTCAGGAATGATCCTTTCCCCAGGAAATTCCTGATCCCACCTTGGGAATGATCCTTTCCCCAGGAAATTCCTGATCCCACCTCGGGAATGATCCTTTCCCCAGGAAATTCCTGATCCCACCTTGGGAATGATCCTTTCCCCAGGAAATTCCTGATCCCAGCTTGGGAATGATCCTTTCCCCAGGAAATTCCTGATCCCAGTTTGGGAATGATCCTTTCCCAGGAAATTCCTGATGTCATCTCCAGAATTATAATTTCCCTGGGAAATTCCTGATCCCAGTTTGGGAATGATCCTTTCCCCAGGAAATTCCTGCATTCCACCTTGGGAATGATCCTTTCCCCAGGAAATTCCTGATCCCACCTCGGGAATGATCCTTTCCCCTGGAAATTCCTGATGTCATCTCCAGAATTATAATTTCCCCAGGAAACTCCTGATCCCACCTCGGGAATGATCCTTTCCCCAGGAAATTCCTGATCCCACCTTGGGAATGATCCTTTCCCCTGGAAATTCCTGCATTTCACCTCGGGAATGATCCTTTCCCCAGGAAATTCCTGATCCCAGCTTGGGAATGATCCTTTCCCCACGAAATTCCTGATCCCAGTTTGGGAATGATCCTTTCCCCAGGAAATTCCTGATCCCACCTCTGGAATGATCCTTTCCCCAGGAAATTCCTGATCCCAGGTTGGGAATGATCCTTTCCCCAGGAAATTCCTGATCCCACCTTGGGAATGATCCTTTCCCCAGGAAATTCCTGATGCCATCTCCAGAATTATCTTTGCCTTGGGAAATTCCTGATTCCAGCTTGGGAACGATCCTTTCCACAGGAAATTCCTGATCTCATTTCCAGAATGATCCATTCCCCAGGAAATTCCTGATCCCAGTTTGGGAATGATCCTTTCCCCAGGAAATTCCTGATCCCAGTTTGGGAATGATCCTTTCCCCAGGAAATTCCTGATGTCATTTCCAGAATTATCATTTCCACAGGAAACTCCTGATCCCACCTTGGGAATGATCCTTTCCCCAGGAAATTCCTGATGTCATCTCCAGAATCATCATTTCCCCAGGAAATTCCTGATCCCACCTTGGGAATGATCCTTTCCCCAGGATATTCCTGATCCCACCTTGGGAACGATCCTTTCCCAGGAAATTCCTGCATTCCACCTTGGGAATGATCCTTTCCCCAGGAAATTCCTGATCCCACCTTGGGAATGATCCTTTCCCCAGGAAATTCCTGATTCCACCTCTGGAATGATCCTTTCCCAGGAAACTCCTGATTCCACCTCGGGAATGATCCTTTCCCCTGGAAATTCCTGATCCCAGTTTGGGAATGATCCTTTCCACAGGAAATTCCTGATCCCAGTTTGGGAATGATCCTTTCCCCAGGAAATTCCTGATCCCACCTCGGGAATGATCCTTTCCCCAGGAAATTCCGGATGTCATCTCCAGAATTATCATTTCCCTGGAGCTCCTCTGCTCCGGAACCTGGCTGGGAAGAGCTGGGAATGTCCAGCCTGGAGAAGAGAAGGATCCATGGAGACCTCAGAGCTCCAGGAGAGCTGGAGAGGGATTTGGGACATGGGATGGAGGGACAGGACACTGGGAATGGCTTCCCACTTCCAGAGGGAAGGGACAGATGGGATTTGGGAAGGAATTCCTGGCTGGGAGGGTGATGAGGGACTGGGATGGAATTCCTGGAGAAGCTGTGGCTGCTCCTGGATCTCTGGAAATGTCCCAGGCCGGGTTGGATGGGGCTTGGAGCAACCTGGGATAACAGAAGTTGTCCCTGCCCATGGAAAAGGCCGAAATTCCATGAAAAGCCAAACCATTCCACGATCCCGTAATTCCACAGTAAATGACCCCAAACCCATCTCTCTTCCCAAAAATCCCTGAGGAATTCCCGAAATTCCACCAGAGCCTCTCCCGGGACCTCGGGAAGGCGGAACCTCCCCCGGGGCGCGGAGCCGACGCCGCCTCCGTTGTCCCACATGAAAGCGCTCGTCCAACCGGGAATTCCTGTTCCCACCCGGCCGCAGTTTCTGCCAGCAGGAGTTGGGAATGGGAATTCCACCCCGGATCGGTCTCCTCAACCCATCTGTGTCCTTAATGTGGTCAAAAGTATCAATTAAGAGAAGGTGAATACATTAATTAACGACCCGCCTCGGGTCTCCCAGAAAAGCTGTGGCTGCTCCATCCCTGGAATTGTCCCAGCTCAGGTTGGGACAATTTTGCCCCTTGGTTATCCCAAGGATGACATTCCATGGGCTCCCACACATTGGGATAAACAGGATTTTCCATGTTTCCAGACGCTGGAGGGGTTTTGGGGCTATTTTTGGAATTTTTGGGATGTGGGGATGTGTTCCTATGAGGGAATTCCAGCTTGGATTACACTGGTGGCTGGGATGGGAACATGAGATCAGCAAATCCATGGAATTATCTCCATGTTCAACCCATGACTGTGTCTCCTCTGCTGCTGCTGAGCTTTATGGAGGTTTGGGAATTCCAACTCAATTGGGATTGACCTGGTTGGGAATTTTGGTCCCTTCCTTGTCTGTTCTCCCAAATCTGGAAAAAACTCTGTGTAATTCCTTGGAAAACACCTGGATGTGAGGCAGGGAAAGGAGATGAGAAACTAAAATTTTCCTTTTATTCCAATCATTGGAGTTTGTTTTGTTTGGGTGCTGCTGATCCCAAAAGTGATTCCTTCAATTTGGAATTTAAGGAATTTAAATTAATTAAATTGGATTAAATTTGGAATTTAAGGAATGGTGGGAAGTGTCCCACGGAAAGAGATGGAAAAAATTGGATTTTAAGGTTTCTTTACGACCCAAACCATTCCACAATTCTCTGATTTGCAGATTTTAATCTGTAAAAGATGAAACGACAACGAATGTTCTCCTTGGGAATGGAGCACCTTCTCCTTCCGGAGGGAAATAATTCCTGCCAGGAGCTCCCCAGACCTGTGGGACAACCGTGGCTGTGAAACATCCCGACTCCTCAGGAAGATCCAAAGAAATAATTCAAAACCACTACAGGCTCTAAACCCAAATTTCCAACCCTAAAAACGGATTTCGGAGGACGAGAAATTATTCCTTTAGGGAAAATTCCTGCAGGGAACATCTAAAATATCCCAATGGTGGAAAAACACCTTTTCCTGATGTTTTCCCCTATATCTCCTTGATTTGTGGAGGATCCACCACGAGTTGAGGAGGAGGAACCATCCACACAAAAAAATCTTCACCCAAGACCTGCAGAATCGCTCTTGGACACCACCGGCACGGCAAATTCCCGATTTTCTCCCGCCCATCCCACCTTTACCTTTCCGTTTCCTCCTTCACCACGGAATAGTGGCCGGGCTGGCGGCTCGACCGCTGCTCCTGGACCTTCTCGTTGGCCTCCAGCTCCTGCTCCAAGGACGAGCTGGTGCTCCCCTCCCTGCTGACATTGCTGCTCCTGCCGGGGCTGTTTTCCGTGGAAGCCCGCGGCGACTCCGTGTTCTGCTTCAGCGTCTGCAGCTTGGCCAGCGGGATGATGTCGCAGTTCTGGGGACGGTGCCACACGGTCCTCTGCGTGGTGGCATTGTAGTAGTAGAAGCGGGAGGTGTTGGGGTCGAAGAGTTCCCACCACTGGTTCTCATTGGTGCGTTTGATCCGCACGCCGGCGGGGGGGTCCCAGACGCACTCCCCCGTGATGAGGTTGGCGTACATGCGCTCCCGGGTCCGAGGCTCGATGATTTCCACCCATTCCAGCCTGGAAAAGGACAAGGAGAGAAGGGAAAATGTCAGCCTTGAGACATCTAAGAAGGTCGCCCAACGTGACCGTTCCGGGATTTGACGCGAGCGTTGGATGAAGAGCGACTTCTCAACTCTTCCTTCCACCCCCATCAAATCTCCCGTGTCCAAAACTCGATGATTTCCACCCATTCCAGCCTGGAAAAGGACAAAGAGAGAAGGGAAACAACAACCAATCCCAACAATCCGATGGTTCCATGATTTGACGCGAGCGCGGGATGGAGAAGAGCAACATCACAACTCTTCCTTCCACCCCCATCGAGTCACCCGTGTCCAAAGTTCAATGATTCCCACCCATTCCAGCCTGGAAAAGGACAAGGAAAGAGGAGAAACTCAACCAAGGTCCCTTCCAACCCCAACCATCCGATGGTTCCATGATTTGACGCGAGCGTTGGATGAAGAGCGACTTCTCAACTCTTCCTTCCACCCCCATCGAGTCTCCCATGTCCAAAGTTCAATGATTCCCACCCATTCCAGCCTGGAAAAGGACAAGGAGAGAAGGGAAAATGTCAGCCTTGAGACATCTCAGAAGGTCGCCCAACGTGACCGTTCCGGGATTTGACGTGAGCGCGGGATGAAGAGCAACATTGGAACTCTTCCTCCCAACCCCAATGAGTCTCCCATGTCCAAAGTTCAATGATTTCCACCCATTCCAGCCTGGAAAAGGACAAGGAGAGAGGGGAAACTCAACCAAGGTCCCTTCCAACCCCAACCACCCGATGGTTCCGTGATCAACGCCCGCAGCGAGCGCGGGACGAAGAGCGACCTCAGAAAGAGCGACCTTCCACCCGCATCGAGTCCCGCGGAATTATTTACACAAAACAGAGAATTTTCCAAAGGTTTTCCAGCCAATCCCTGATTTTCAGCTCAATTATTTCCACCCATTCCAGCCTGGAAAAGGACAAGGAAAGAGGGAAAACATCAACCAATCCCAACCATCCGATGGTTCCGTGATTTGACACAAGCAGGGGATGGAGAAGAGCAACATCTCAACTCTCCCTTCCACCCCCATCGAGTCTCCTGTGCCCAAAGTTCAATGATTCCCACCCATTCCAGCCTGGAAAAGGACAAGGAAAGAGGGGAAACTCAACCAAGATCCCTTTCAACCCCAACCACCCAATGGTTCCGTGATTTGACGCGAGCGCGGGATGAAGAGCAACATCACAAAGGGTGACCTTCTACCCCCATCGAGTCCCGCGGAATTATTTACACAAAACAGAGAATTTTCCAAAGGTTTTCCAACCAATCCCTGATTTTCAGCTCAATGATTCCCACCCATTCCAGCCTGGAAAAGGACAAAGAGAGAAGGGAAAGCATCAACCAATCCCAACCACCCGATGGTTCCATGATTTGACGCGAGCACACGATGAAGAGCGACTTCTCAACTCTTCCTTCCACCCCCATCGAGTCTCCCATGTCCAAAACTCGATGATTCCCACCCATTCCAGCCTGGAAAAGGACAAGGAGAGAAGGGAAAATGTCAGCCTTGAGACATCTTGGAAGGTCGCCCAACGTGACCATTCCGGGATTTGACGCGAGCGCGGGATGAAGAGCAACTTCTCAACTCTTCCTCCCACCCCCATCGAGTCTCCCGTGTCCAAAACTCGATGATTCCCACCCATTCCAGCCTGGAAAAGGACAAGGAAAGAGGGAAAGCATCAACCAATCCCAACAATCCAATGGTTCCGTGATTTGACGCGAGCGCGGGACGAAGAGCGACCTCACAAAGAGCGACCTTCCACCCCCATCGAGTCCCGCGGAATTATTTACACAAAACCGAGAATTTTCCAAAGGTTTTCCAGCCAATCCCTGATTTTCAGCTCAATGATTCCCACCCATTCCAGCCTGGAAAATGGCAAGGAAAGAGGAAAAACATCAACCAATCCCAACAATCCAATGGTTCCATGATTTGACGCGAGCGCCGGATGAAGAACGACTTCTCAACGGTTCCTCCCACCCCATCGAGTCTCCCGTGTCCAAAACTCGATGATTCCCACCCATTCCAGCCTGGAAAAGGACAAGGAAAGAGGGAAAGCATCAACCAATCCCAAACACTCAATGGTTCCATGATTTGACGCGAGCGCGGGACGAAGAGCGACCTCACAAAGAGCGACCTTCCACCCCCATCGAGTCCCGCGGAATTATTTACACAAAACAGAGAATTTTCCAAAGGTTCTCCAACCAATCCCTGATTTTCAGCTCAATGATTCCCACCCATTCCAGCCTGGAAAAGGACAAGGAGAGAGGGAAAGCATCAACCAATCCCAACCATCCAATGGTTCCATGATTTGACGCGAGCGTGGGATGGAGAAGAGCGACTTCACAACTCTTCCTCCCACCCCCATCGAGTCTCCCGTGTCCAAAGTTTGATGATTTCCACCCATTCCAGCCTGGAAAAGGACAAGGAGAGAAGGGAAAATGTCAGCCTTGAGACATCTCGGAAGGTCGCCCAACGTGACCGTTCCGGGATTTGACGCGAGTGCGGGATGAAGAGCGACTTCTCAACTCTTCCTCCCACCCCCATTGACTTTAGTGTCCAAAACTCGATGATTCCCACCCATTCCAGCCTGGAAAAGGACAAGGAGAGAGGGAAAGCATCAACCAATCCCAACCATCCAATGGTTCTGTGATTTGACGCAAGCGCGGGATGAAGAGCAACTTCGCAACTCTTCCTCCCACCCCCATCGAGTCTCCTGTGCCCAAAGTTCAATGATTCCCACCCATTCCAGCCTGGAAAAGGACAAGGAAAGAGGGAAAGCATCAACCAATCCCGACAATCCGATGGTTCCGTGGTTTGACGCGAGCACGGGATGGAGAAGAGCGACTTCTCAACTCTTCCTTCCACCCCTATAAAGTCTCCCGTGTCCAAAGTTCAATGATTCCCACCCATTCCAGCCTGGAAAAGGACAAAGAGAGAGGGAAAGCATCAACCAATCCCAACCACCCGATGGTTCCATGATTTGACGCGAACGCGGGATGGAGAAGAGCAACATCTCAACTCTTCCTTCCACCCCCATCGAGTCTCCCGTGTCCAAAGTTCAATGATTCCCACCCATTCCAGCCTGGAAAAGGACAAGGAGAGAAGGGAAAGCATCAACCAATCCCAACCATCCGATGATTCCGTGATTTGACGCGAGCACGGGATGAAGAGCGACTTCTCAACCTTCCTCCCACCCCTATAAAGTCTCCTGTGTCCAAAACTCGATGATTCCCACCCATTCCAGCCTGGAAAAGGACAAGGAGAGAAGGGAAAATGTCAGCCTTGAGCCATCTTGGAAGGTCGCCCAACGTGACCATTCCGTGATTTGACGCGAGTGCGGGATGGAGAGCGACCTCACAACGAGCGACCTTCCACCGCCATCGAGTCCCGCGGAATTATTTACACAAAACAGAGAATTTTCCAAAGGTTTTCCAACCAATCCCTGATTTTCAGCTCAATGATTCCCACCCATTCCAGCCTGGAAAAGGACAAGGAAAGAGGGAAAGCATCAACCAATCCCAACCATCCGACGGTTCCATGATTTGACGCGAGCACGGGATGGAGAAGAGCAACATCGCAACTCTTCCTTCCACCCCCATCGAATCTCCTGTGTCCAAAACTTGATGATTCCCACCCATTCCAGCCTGGAAAAGGACAAGGAGAGAAGGGAAAATGTCAGTCTTGAGACATCTCAGAAGGTTGTCCAACGTGACCGTTCCGGGATTTGACGCGAGCGCGGGATGAAGAGCAACATCTCAACTCTTCTTCCCACCCCCATCAAGCCTCCCATGTCCAAAGTTCAATGATTCCCACCAATTCCAGCCTGGAAAAGGACAAGGAAAGGGGGAAAGCATCAACCAATCCCAACAATCCAATGGTTCCGTGATTTGACGCGAGCGCGGGATGAAGAGCGACTTCTCAACTCTTCCTTCCACCCTCATCGAGTCTCCCGTGTCCAAAACTCGATGATTCCCACCCATTCCAGCCTGGAAAAGGACAAGGAGAGAGGGGAAACTCAACCAAGGTCCCTTCCAACCCCAAAAACCCGATGGTTCCATGATTTGACGCGAGCGCGGGACGAAGAGCGACCTCACAACGAGCGACCTTCCACCCCCATTGAGTCCCACGGAATTATTTACACAAAACCGAGAATTTTCCAAAGGTTTTCCAGCCAATCCCTGATTTTCAGCTCAATGATTTCCACCCATTCCAGCCTGGAAAAGGACAAGGAGAGAAGGGAAACATCAACCAATCCCAACCATCCGATGGTTCCGTGATTTGACGCGAGCGCGGGACGAAGAGCGACCTCACAACGAGCGAACTTCCACCCCCATCGAGCCCCGCGGAATTATTTACACAAAACAGACAATTTTCCAAAGGTTTTCCCACAAAAATTCCAAAATTGGGGATTTGACCTCCCCAGGTCCAGCTGGAGAAACCTTAAAAGTCCTAAGACCCAACCGGGGGTCAAAAACCTCTACAGAACCCCAAGAGACACCGTCCATAAAAAAATAAAGTTTTCAATCTTACAAAATAATCCAAAAACAGTCCAAACCTGATCCCTGATTGGACAGACCTCTTCCTTCCAAAAAAAATTATTTTCCTGTATCAAACCATCGTGACACTTACAAACTCTAAATATTTAATATAAGGAATAATTAAGTATAGCACAAGTACAAAAATAAAAATTTAAAATTCTAAATTATAAGGCCAAAAAAGACAAAATAATAAAAAAAAAATTAAGTTCCACCCATTTTTCAGATCGTCCCAACCACTGCACTCGTCACCTCTGGAGAATCCAGAGGGTACCTGAGACGTTCCGGGATCCGCGTTTTTATTAAAATTCCTCTTTTGTGTGGGTTTTTGTTTAAAAAAAAAGGAATTTAATGAAGTTATTCGGGATTTATCCTTGTCTGCTTTTCCAAGGGTTTTGAGGAATGTCTAGAAATAGATGAGGAGGAATAAAAAGCTGAGAGAGG